ATACTGTACAACTAAAGCCATCAGCTGATACCTGTCAGAAATGATAGAAAAGATAAAGGATGGAGGAAAATGGTTGAGTTGCTATATTTTGTCTAGTCATACACAGAAACATGTTCACCCACAAAGACCAACAACAGGGCGACATGTGGACAGCTGAGGAGAGAGACACTGGTATTAGGCTGGCACTGTTGGTATTCTTTGCTCATATCAGAGTTGATCCTGTAGTCCTCACTCACACCAAGGTCGTTGAGGTCAAGGTGGCACTTTAGTGGGCTCTTTGAGTTTAAAGTGTAGGATCAGGTCCTTTTGTTTGCATGCAGAGCACCTACGCCACTTTCAGAGCGTGGCAAGCAGAAGTGATCTGCATGTTCAGTTTCCTTAGAGAAATTAAATGTTTGCTTTAGGCACTATCTGCTTTTCATATCTCTCGACACAAAACGAGCAGTGCAGCTTTCCTTATATGAAAGCTGTTAAAGCCGTGTGGCTACAAAGAACTGAAGATATACTTCTGGTTTAAAAATTAATCAAAGTCATGTGATATTTTGGAGAACTAGATGTTTCATGGGATTGGTAGTGAGATAGGAAGACTTTCACCTCCAGCTCATTAGTTTAAATCAGGTCAGCAGTGACCAAAATTACTTTCTGTTGGAGGCTATTCAGAGGCCCTGTATAAAATGGAGGCACACGGGTGGTGCGGGGAAATGCAGGGGAAGTGGACACTGAACTGGGCTGGCCCATCCTTAACCATTCAGTACATAAACAAGGCACTTCAGTCTCCAGGCTGTCAGGCCTGCACCCTTCACAAGATGCATGGAAAAATAAACAGAAAGAAAACATCATATGATCTTCATGATTTTGCTTCTTTTATGATGTTTGACAATCAAGAGCAGAGCAAACTGTGCCACCAGCTTATGCAGCCAGTTTATCACTTCTTCTTTTGGCATATCCTCTGTATACCAGTAACCACTGTTAGATTTCATTTCCTATGCAAATCTTGATAAAGTTTAAAGCTTCTGTTCAGCTGCTTTCTTGAACTAAATAAACAACGTTCCCCTTCCCCGCTTTCCAAACCGAATGAAAATCTCTTATTGTTCAAGGGCTATGAACTAAGATTGTCTTATAAAGTGCCTTAGAAACATTCTTACCTCAGTAAGAGAACCAAAGATTCTTATCATAGCAGCACTGGCCTGCGTCATTTTAAAAGTTGACAACTAATTTGTCTCACTGACTCATATTTCTGTGAACTATAGGCCCCACTGCAGACAAGAAATTGAAACAAAACCCAAAGTAACTCATTCTCATCATTAGAGCCCAGGGCTCAAATTACGCTCAGTGGAACCACATTCACAGTGCAGTTGGACTCTGGTGTGTTCTTCTACTGTGGCCACAGCTAACATGGCTCAGTTCATGCACACAGCAACAGGTTTTCCTGCACAATCTGGTGTCAGTTCTGTTGGTCAAGTCCAACCTGCTGTGCTGCACAGCCATTTGGTATTAGTGCATTCTGGGCAAATTTTGGTGCATAGGTACCATATTGGTGGTGCAGAAGGGTGCGGCTGGGGCCAAGGCATGGATTTTTGTGAATAATGCATTTTGGGATGTCCTCCCTCCCACACCGAGATCAGGGCTTTAGGAGGACTAGTTTGCCCAGTACACCGACATAATTAAGACATGATTAACCTACACAATGGAGTCACTATGTTAGAAACCACTTACAATCTGATGTTTATGTTATAAAAGTCCTCATAAGCAGGGTTAGAATAAGTCCTCAAATACTATCTAAAATAGGGATCTCAAACTCAAATCACCACGAGGGCCACATGAGGACTAGTACCTTGGCCTGAGGGCCGCATCACTGACACCTTTTCATACAAAGATACAAAAGCCCCCAACTCTGCCCCTGGCCCTGACCCCACTCCACCCCTTCCATAAGGCCCTGCCCCTGCCCCGCTTCTTCCCACCCTTCTCCGCCCCCATTCCAACCCCTTCCCCAAAGTCGCTGCCCTAACTTTGCCCCCTCCCTGCCCCTATTCCAACCCCTTCCCCAAATCCCAGCCCTGGCCCCGCCTCTTATCTGCCTCCTCCCCTGAGCGTGCCACGTCCCACTCCTCCCCACCCCCCGGAAAGTCCTAAGCACCACCACATAGCTGTTTGGCAGCGGGAAGAGCTGGGAGGTAGGCAGAGGAGCGGGGACACTCAGGGAGGCGGAGGTGGGGGATAAGGGGAGCTATGGTGGGCTGCAGGAAATAACTCTGGGGGCTGCTTGCAGCCCGTGGGCCACGTGTTTGAGACCCCTGATCTAAAACTTAGATGGATACATAAGGTCAATAAATAATGTAGAAATACAGTCCCATCCAGGTAGTTAGGATCTCATCCATGCTACAGCCTGGTCATAAAATTGGTCAAAATCTGTGAAATGACTTTTTGTATGAGATACTGAAGCATTGCAACAGCGCTCCTCTGCTTACCACTGGGTATATTACAAGGAAATTTGAATGCTTCTGACATTTCCTTTTTTTATCTTCTTTGCATAGTGTCACATATTACTTATGGATAGCAATAGCCAAAAAAAACCCCAAACCCTGAAAAATATTTAAAAACCGAAAGTTTGTTTTTCCCCAGAGAGAGAAGGTGGGTGAGGTAATATCTTTTATTGAACCAACTTCTGTTTCCACCAAACATGTATTCTGATGTATTTATTTGAAGTATAGGTGCCAATTCCGTGGCTGCTCTGGGGCTGGAGCACCCACGGGGGAAAAAATGGTGGTTGCTGAGCACCCACCAGCAGCATCCTATCAGCCCCCCTCTCCCTCCCTCAGCGCCTCCTGCCTGTCGGTGGGCACTGCCAATCATCACCTCCCCATGCCTCCCGCTTGCCGCAATCAGCTGTTTCGCGGCATGCAGGAGGCTCTGTGGAGGGAAGGGGAGAGCGAGGACATGGCACTCAGGGGAGGGGGTGGAATGGGGTGGGAAGAGGCGGGGTGGGGGTGGGGACTTGGGGGAAGGCGTGGAGTGGGGGCTGAGCCTGGGGCAGAATCGGAGATTGAGCACCCCCCCCGGCACATTGGAAAGTTGGCGCCTGTGGTTTGAAGTGAGTATTTGGAAAACATATGAAAAAATGTGACCAACCTTTGAGACTAGCCCATGAGTAAACGATATGGGTAAATGTAGTGACGAACTGAGAATTTGTTGCTAAAGCAAAGCATGTTAGGGGAATATGAAATTATTCCCAAGAGGAAAAAAAGCTAAAAATAATATATTTGTACATCTCTTTGTATGCTTGCTTCATCCAATGCCTACTTTATTTTTATTTTACGCATTTGAGATCTACTCAGTATAAAATCATAGCACCAAATGAAAGACTGATGACTAATGATTCCATGTATTATTTATGTGATTAATAACGTATTGAATCTATCCTATGCATGTACCGGGCATATATATATATATATATATGCCCGGTACATGCATAGGATAGATTCAATACGTTATTAATCACATACAAAAAGTCAATAGATACTATACAAAATATTGCAAATATTCAAGTTCATAAGCTCTCTTTTTTTTGAGAGGTTACATTACATGATCAAGTAAATTTCTTCATAGTCCATACGGTCTAAGTGTTTGCTGATGGTTTTTCAGAGGTTATAGAAAAGGTTAATTAAAAGGGTTAATGCTCAGGCACACTAATGAACTGTAACTTCATTATATAACAGCCCCCTAGAAGCAAAAAACCCAAACCAAACCAAAATTAAAACACTTGCTAGGTTTAGTAGGAAGGTGAATTACTATTTAGTGCAAACAAATCAGTCAAAGGGGAAAAAAAGAGATTTTAAGGAACAAGACTTGAAGGATCCTCCTTAACCATACCAACAACATTTGGCAATGCATCCGTTGTGCCATGTAAATTGCATGCACACATAAATTTTGTGGGCACAGTCAAGTCATTGTTCTTAAAAATTAGGGACATTAGGAGGTATGTAGTAATAATGTATTGCACTTTCAAACCTGGAAAACGGGTACATCAGTAGCAGTATAGCAAGGAAAGCAGCAGGAACATGGTGCTCATTCTAGCTTGTTGACAATCACTAGGCTTTTAGCTAACACACCCAGGGGGTATTAAATTAGGTCAGTAGTTGGCTTGATGTGAACAAAAACAACTTTTTAACTGGACATTCCCACTACACAGTTTACGAGTACTATATACAAAGAGCATAATAGCTGTAATCAGTTCTTCCTACCTCTGCAAACTACCCACCACCATTGCATTACTCCTCTCCCCTATATGGGATCTTCACCTGTGGTGGAAGCACCACAAGAAGTCCTGCTGATGAACTCACCTGTACCTGGATCTGTGGTGCGACAAGCCTATTGGCACGAGAAGACAGTGGCTGAGATTTAGGCTTGTTGGCATGCAAGGATTATTGGCCGTGGCTTTGTGATGCAGAGGAGTAGCAGTCACCCTATGCAGGGATGCTCTGTACCCCATCTGTACCATTGGGAGGGTCTCCACAGCTCCTGGCTGGGGTTGGGGGTAGAGAGAGGTGGGTAGGGGAGAGGCTGGTAGGCCAATGTTCTATGATCTGCAGGGTGTGACCCAAAACAGCCCTGTGTTCACACCCTCCCCACTATTATAATAATCTTTGTACAAAATGTGCCTCGTGAGGTATCACCTGGAAACTAGTAAGTCACTGGTCAATAATATTATGCTGAAATGTAGATAGCAACATTATATGTAAAGTTATGAATTCCCCCATGTGATGTTATTAGCACGGGTTCAAAACCAGACTGCCCTGCTGAGGCAATAGTTGTTAAACTATTGGTTAAACAAAAGAATGTGTGTTTACCTCAATTTACATACAAGTAGTAAACAGGCCCATCAAGGCAGCAGGGGGAGGAGATGTCAGGAAACAGAAGGATTTGCATTTCAGCAAACACAAGTGGGGGACAAAAGAGCATGGAGCTTTCTTCACCACCAGACTCTGTCGCCTTCCTCACAGCTTGAATGAACTTTACTTTGAGGGGTATCCTTTGGAAGAATCCACTTCAAAGATTCACTGGACTATAAAAGAAAGGCACAGAGAACCCCAAGTTAGTTCTTTCACCTAAGAAGACAAAGGCACCAGCACCTTTGGGCCTCTGGAAGAGATCCTGACTGAGGAGAGGGCCAGTAACCGTCTTGCTGGAAGACTGTGGGTGAGAAAGGGCATCTTGAACAAAGCCTTGAACTAAAACTTGCTAGATTTAAGTGTTAGACTTTTAGATGCATGTTTTCACTTTTATTCGCTTGTAACCATTTCTAACTTTCTCTCTTATTCTTGAGCTCACTTAAAATCCTGTCTTCATTTGTTAACCAGCTTGTTTTACTGTTAATCTAAACCAACCACGCTGTGTTTGTGCCAAAGTGAATATCAGCTCCAGTTAATGTGGCAAACTGGTGGGTGTTGTTTCCTTAAAGGAGATTACGGATTTTATTATTCCTCAGAATGTTGCAGGAGAGGGGTGGACAAATCCGAGCACATGGCTCTGGGGAAGTTCAGGACTGGGGGTGTGTTGGGGTTACCTGCTAACATTAACCAAGTCTGGTAAAGACAAAAGTGTGTCTGTGATAACTGCTGGCAGGCGGTTAGATTCATAGCTGTTGAATCAAAAGCTACAGCATACAGAACAGAAAGAGCATGCTGGCTGTAGGTCGTATCCATTACTGCTCCCCAGTGCCTGTACTAGTGGCTGTGGTTCAACTGAACAGGCCTCCTGGTGCAAGACTCCCTCTCCATCCCTGCAATAGTTTCACATGGACCTTTTATTTCAGCCCTACGGTCTAGGGGGTCTAATACTTCTCCCATTGAAATAAATGGAAGTTTGCATTGACTTCAATAGGAGCTGGATTGGTTTCCAGCTTCCCCCTCATCTGCCCACATGGGAAACGCTACAGAACTCTCACTCCCCTGAGTCAATGGTATCGAAATACCTTCCTCCCTTTCCCCAAGTCCCATATAAAAAGGTGACCTCTGACTGCTGAGTATTTTGTTTCTTTAGGCTTCATGATTTGTTTTGAGCAGAACAACACTGCATTAATATACAACCCATTGTATTTTCTTTGTAAACACAGAGTAGCTTTAAGTCTCCCTCCCCACTTTTATCCTCCCATTAGAAAGGCCAAGAGCAGTGGGTTTTTTATTTTCCCCTACTCAACTAATCGTCTGAGGTTCAGTGGTGATCGATTTATTGGTTCAAATAAAGAAGTATAACAGAAAATTCAGAGTATTATATGATTGCAGATTTTCTTTTGCAGTGAGTGTTTCATAACAGCTCTGAGCTGAGACACAGTGCCCATTTACAGCACTTGACAAATATGAACACAAGGACCACATAGAAAAGACATCTGGAAAGCAATAGATGCCTTTTGTCCAGGATACAATTGATTAAAAAGAAATTGAAACAAGTCCATGGCTTTCCTTTTGTAACCTACCCCAGCTAAATAAAGGAGTATCTGTTGCTCCTGGAATTTTCTGCAGCAACTTTTCCAGATGTCAGCCTTCGAAGGAGGAGAAAAGGAGTATACCCGCGAAAGAAACAGGCAAAAAGAGAAATGAGAGGAGATATGATTTGAAATGGGAGGGAGAAGAGTGACGGAGAAGAGGGAAAAGAAAGGGAGGATGGATAGATGAATAAATAGACACACACAGAGAGAAAAGAAATCAAGAAAAGAAGATTGAAAAAGGACAGAAGTGAGAAAGAAGAGGAGAATGTGAGGGAGACGATAAGAAGGAAAGTTTGTAGAGAACCTTTAAAGAATATTAGAGAGGCAATACATTAAATAAATGGAGGGTTGATATTTTTCAGAGAATATCAGGGGTATTTTGTCTGATGAAACAAAAAAGGGTTGGGATAGGAGTTAAGGACAATAAATGGAGTCAGGCATTCTCTGGATATTGCTACAGGCCTCCAGGGTAGCAGGTAAAGAAGTGGATCAGTATTTCCCCCTTCAGATAAGAAAGACCTGTAAAAAAGCCAGAACTTTTATCTGGAGTTATATGTTTTACTCATCTATTGAGTAGGCTAACCACTCTGATATTCTAAGGTGGGAAAGTGACAGACTTCAAAAGTTGCATGGTTTAGAGCTCTGAGCTCCTAGGAAATGAGCCAAATGTAATAAAGATTTTATTTGGGGCGTGATTCTGCTCTTATTGAAATCAGAGTTTTTTCCCCGTTGCCCTCAGGTGCAGCAGGAGTTGTGAGCTGGGAATCACAGTGCTATTAATATTGAAATGCTCATGTATATAATGATATGAAAATTAAAGGTGGCACAAGCACGCTTACAGTCTAGGGTTGGCTGATTTTGTGAAAATATGAAATGGAGATGGAAATTTAACTTGTTTCACAAATGTACAGAGATCAAATAGAAGTTATGATAAAGCCTAAACTGGCAAAGGGCAATCTGCTTAAGTACGAGTATAAAATGAATTATAACGTGATAAACAGAAGGCTTTAAACAGTCTTGTAAAAAGGAACATTACCCAACAGAGAAAACACAACCTGAAGGAAGTTACCATTAGGTAAGCCTCCAAAACAGCAACAAAATCAGCTCCTGAACATCAGCCTGCAGAGAATATTCCAACCCTCAGTAAAAACCACGGGTCAGATTCTGCAGTCATTCTTTAGGCAGAGTTCCCAGTGTTTTTATAGCATGTTGGGGGGGCCTCAGAAAGAAAAAGAGAACCCCTGCTATATTGTATTGTTTTCCTTTATGTGGGGTGGGAGAGTGAATCATTATTCTAATGACAGAGTTAGCAGTTATGTAACTACACCAGAGATGATGTACTGTGTTGAGCTACCTGGTATTAGCTGTGGGCATTCTCTGCCTAAGGCTGATCTCTTTTGGAGTTCTCCGCTGAGGGCCAAGAGCTAACCAGTAGTAGGAGAGCAGCAACTGAGTCTGTGTTAATCAGACAGTGAGATATTCTGAGTGAGGCATTTCATGCACCTGCCTGACAGGTGGGAGTGGGGCTGATGTATGTGGAGTCTGGAGTTGTGCTGCAGATAAAAAAAGGAGCTATTAGGCCAATTATGTAGCGTGTGTGGAGCATGTAATGATTATGCTGGGAGCCAAAGAGAGAAAAATGCAAAGGGCCACATTTAGCTACTGTATTATATTCTCCTACATTATACCAGCATAAATCCAGATTAACTACATTGGCTTCAGTGGAGTTAATTGAGTTCACACCAGTGTAAATGAGAACAGAATTAGCCCAGCAAAAGTTGGATTTTTTCCCCTTTTTTCCATCCAGGTTCTACATATTTGGCTGCAGGCTTGGCTGCGGTTCTTTGTTTATCCATCTAAACTTTAGCAGGTCAAGCCAAGTCTTCCTGGAGATAGCCAAGGCTCCATAGAGGGAGCTGCTCTGGAAGGCAGACATGTGTCTTCTGGAAGGCAGACATGTGCCTCGGAGTTGAATCACTCATGTTGGACTTCACGCTTTTATAAGTAGTTTCTTACAGTTTTTCCCTTGTGGGAATTAGAGGGACTTGGATCTCAGAAAGTGTCCCACTATGTGATTCTGTAAAAAATAATCTATCATTCTCTTGTTCTGACCTGAGAAGTGAGCAGCTCCATCAGGCTATTTGTTTGTTATCCCTTAAGAACCTCACCCAGTGGAACATAACTGAAGGAAATGAAACTTCAGCCCCATTAATGATACAGACAATGCCTTTCACTAAACAAACTCAGCTTTCTTGACTTTTCCTTGCCAAACAGAATGGCCTCTGCCCCTTCCCTTACAGACTCTGTTGGCACTTCCGGTAACTGGGAGTGGCTGTGTAGCCACCAGTAGTTGGCAGCTAATGGGATAAAGTCCCACAGTCCCTGAATGTAACATATGACATGGGCTAGAATTGTAGTCACAAGTAGCAGCTTAGTGTTAATTCCTATGGCACTGATGGACAGTACGTGCCTGCCAGCCATAAACAGACACTGTATCTTAATGGACAATAGAGACCTTGCCAACACTAGATGAATAGGTTCATAGCAAAAAATGAAATGTTACAATGAGGGAAATAAAAGATCTCGAGCTGTGCATTGCACAGCTATCAGGTAAGCAATGTACTGTGCCTCACTGTGCAGCTGGTTAAATGCTATAAAGGCCTTATAATTAGTTTCAAATCCTGCTGTCTTTGCTCTGTGAAATTCTTATTGATGGACTTAAAAACTGAGTGTAGAGCTTGTCACTGCAAGATAGCAGAAGAGCCAAGATCCATCATCACATTCCAAGTAATTTTGGATCAGAAAATAAAACTCAAGACTTACATTTTCAAAAATGAGACACCCAAAAGGAGTGGACAAGTAGAGCACCCCAAATAAGTGTGCCCTTTTGAAAATGTAGTGTCATGTGTTACGAAATAAGAATTCCAAAAGACAGCAATTAGCACTTAGCCTGTAAGCCATTAACTCTAACTACAGGACGGTCAACCATCTCAGAGATAGATAAAATTTATGGAACGCAGCATGCAAAAAATTGGTTAGGTTTGCAAATTCTAAATGAAATTAACTTGAACTGTGATTGAAATAAACCAACAGCCAGTAAGATTAGATTAGATTAGATTAGCAAACTCACTAAAAATGAAATAAAATAAGAGCTCCATAGAGGAACAGAAGCATTATCTCATTGCAGATCATTGATCTGTTTAGTTAGGTATCTTGTCTCTAAACGTGGCCACTACCTGATGCTTCAGAGGAAGGTACCAAAAAACAAAACCTACCCCCCCAAAAAAGAAACCATTATGGCCAATGATTATTAAGGCTGGGAATCTGTCATGGATATCATGGAAGTCATGGATTCCGTGACTTTTCAGGACCTCCATGACTTCTACAGCTGTCAGGTGCAACTGAACCCGGAGCCGCCCTGCCAGCAGTGGCTGTGGCAGTCCCGGGCTTTCCCTATACCGCTGAGCACCAGTGGGTGCCCCAGAGGCCCCAGCACCAGCAGGCACCCTGGAGCCCACCCTTGAGCACCACCAGGTGCCCTGGAGCCCCCCCAGCACCAATAGGCACCCCAGAACCCCCCCCCCAGTACCAGCAGGTGCCTTAGAGCCCCCCACCGTAGCACCAGCGGGCACCCCAGAGCTCCCGCTCCAGAGCAGCAGCCCCCCAGAACACCCAAGATTTAGTCGGGTATATAGTACAAGTCATGCACAGGTCATGGGGCTGTGAATTTTTGTTTATTGCCTGTGATCTGTCCATGACTTTTACTAAAAATACCCGTGACTAAATCTTAGCCTTAATGATTATCCAGCATCTTGTTATTCTCTTTCTCCTTCCCCAAGCTCCCCCTACTGTTCACTAGTATGTATATAATAACATACCTTTCTCCTAATGCAAGAGAATACCATAGTGATTAGTACTGCTAAAACAAATGGTTTGTTTTTTTAGCTGTCAGAGCAGTAGGGAGTTGTTGCAGAGGACCATCTTATAAGAACACTGGCCTTTCAAATGTTTAAGGCACTGGGGTGTGACTGGCCCAGGTTTGACTGGCTCAGACATACATGGTGTATGGAAAGGTTTTCATCTCTAAAGGTACACTGATGCATGAATCTCAGAATCATGTTCCAATTAAAAACTTCTTGTAGAGCTAATGTCAACCCAAACTTCTAAATCTGTTTACAGATCAGAAAGCAGCAAGCAAGTACTAGGTTGACGGCTATCAAATGGGATAATCTGAAGCATGATTTTTGTTACTGTGCACACATTATAACATGTACCAAGCAAGGAATGACTGTGGCCTGGCATAAATTTGCTGGGTTTTTTGGGTCTGATGAAAATATTTATTTTCAGCATCATAAAACAGTCTAAATGTAACAAGCCAGAGTCAGCTGAGGTAATTTGAGTTGCATGCAGAAGAAATTTGACCTAATGTCTGAATTTGGGTTTACCAGTTACTTGCTAACCATTTTGATGAATGCATAGTTTCAAATAGTCTAGCTGTAAAAAAACAAAAACAAAAACCATGTTGTTATTCCTAAACTGGTTTAGTTAAGAACTGCTGGATAAAAAAGGCACTTGTATGTAAAATTATGTCATGTTTTATTATTTTCACATGAAGAAAAGGAGTACTTGTGGCACCTTAGAGACTAACCAATTTATTTGAGCATAAGCTTTCGTGGGCTACAGCTCACTTCATCGGATGCAATGAGCTGTAGCTCACGAAAGCTTATGCTCAAATAAATTGGTTAGTCTCTAAGGTGCCACAAGTACTCCTTTTCTTTTTGCGAATACAGACTAACACGGCTATTACTCTGAAACCTATTTTCACATGGCAGTTAATCATTTTCCCTCTATTAAATTAGCTGGCCCCTGTGGTAGAATTTGCTTTTGGTTTTGCATCAGGGTCAGTCATGCCCTCAGATTTTTAATTAACTAACAAACCATCACACTAGGAAAATGTGTAATTTTATAGGTACATATAAGAAGTTAACTGAATATAAAAGTTTATTTGCTTTTACTGATGCCAAGTGAAAGCAGTTTCATTGTGAAAATAGAATAAATTAAAGATGTTCTTTCAGATCCTATGGTCTGATTAGGAGAAATAGCTTCCCATTCCAGTTTGTTAAGGATAAACCCTCACAATATTTTAGTCAGAGCCAGAGTATGGCAGGCTGTTAATGATACAAGATTCTAGGAAGAATTAGGGCAGTGGGAAAGAGCGATGGATGTTACATAAAAAATGTGAGAGTACCGTACACTCCCGCAGAAGACATCAGAGTGCAATATGTATTTCATTTGGTCTAGGTTGGACTTGCCCATTGAGAGGAGTGAAGGGGATTCAGAGATGCATGCACCGAGTGAGCAGCAGCAACCTGAGAAACTCTGCCCCGTAGCAAGCAGAATCCCTTAGGGCAGGGGTAGTCAATTATTTTTTGTCAAGGTCCAAATTTCTTGATTAAGGTATAGTCAAGGTCGAGACTCCAGAGAAACATTTTTCACACAGCAATAACAACAAGGACAATAAAAAGATTTTGTGGGCCATTCAAAAGCGTCTGGCAGTCTGGATTTGGCCCGCAGTGGGCCTGTTAACTACCTCTGCCACTGGGGTTGCTGAGGCTCAGCACCATCACTTACTGATGCAGCATGCGTTCTCTATACACCCGCTGCCTGAAGCTAGTCAGCACACAAGGACTGCACATCTTTTACACCTCCTAAATCTGGCAGATCACACCCTCTTAGAGCAGTGAGGTGCCAGGGCCAATGTACGCAGCCTCTCAGTGCTTGTTGGCCTGATCCCATGCCCAGTGATGTCAGTGGAGTCTTTGAGTCAGTGGAGTGTTGGCAGGGGTGAAAGTATCTTAAGGGACTTACCAGTATGCAGGGCGGCCGGGGTCCTGAGAAAAGGGGGGGGGGGCGGATCTGGGCCCCTAGAAGGGGCGGGGCCTTGGGTGGAAAGGGCGGGGCTGGGGCCAGACTCCCCCAGCAAGCCCTTCAGTGCTGCTTGGCCCGCACTGCCCGGGGCTCCAGCGGCGATTTAAAGGGCCTGGAGCTCCAGTTGCTGGCATGGTCGCAGTAGTGGCGGTCGGGAGCCCCGGGCCCTTTAAATCACCGCCGGAGCCCTGGGGTAACGGTAGCTGGGAGCCCCAGGGCCCTTTAAATCACCGCCGGAGCCCTGGGGAAACGGTAGCTGGGAGTCCCAGGGCCCTTTAAGTCACCGCCGGAGCCCTGGGGTAACGGTAGCTGGGAGCCCCAGGGCCCTTTAAATCACCGCCGGAGCCCTGGGGAAACGGTAGCTAGGAGCCCCAGGGCCCTTTAAATCACCGCCGGAACCCTGGGGAAACGGTAGCTGGGAGCCCCAGGGCCCTTTAAATCACTGCCCGGAGCCCTCGGGTACTGGCACTGGCCAGGAACCCAGGGCTCTGGTGGCGATTTAAAGGGCCCGGGGCTCCAGCCACTGGCGTAGCAGCGGTAGCAGTGGTTGGGAGCCCCGAGTCCTTTAAATCACTGGCAGAGCCCCGGGGTAGCGGCGGCCGGGAGCCCTGGGGCTCTGGTGACGATTTAAAGGGCCAGGGGCTCCAGCTGCTGCCAGGAGCCCCGGGCCCTTTTAAACTGTCGGGCCCCGGGGAAGCTGCCCCTTTTGGCCCACCCGTCAGCAGCCCTGCTGGTACGGTCAGCTGTGTACTGGCTTTTACTGGTACGCCATACTGGACTGTACTGGCTTACTTTCACCTCTAAGTGTTGGATCAAGCACAGGAAGTATTTGCATCGTATTCTGACAAGGTCCTGCAAAGGTAGAGACTTCTGTGTACTTTTTGAGGCCTATCTGTATCCTGGTCACTAAAGGAAACGTGTGCGTTAGTAATGGGTGACCTTTAAGGGAACTTAGTTTGGTTAAACAAGTTTTGTACGGTTGGAGTTCTCCCATTAATGTCTGTTTAATAAATTCATGCCACTTTTTTCTCTTTAGAAACCAGAAACATGGCAACAAAGGAGAAGCTTCAGTGTTTGAAAGATTTCCACAAGGACATCCTCAAACCTTCCCCTGGCAAGAGCCCTGGGACACGCCCTGAGGACGAGGCAGAGGGGAAGCCACCTCAACGGGAGAAGTGGGCGAGTAAGATTGACTTTCTGCTGTCCGTGGCTGGTGGATTTATTGGTTTAGGCAATGTCTGGCGGTTTCCGTATCTCTGCTATAAAAATGGCGGAGGTGAGTATTTTTCTCTCTCTCTAATTTCTTCTCATTCACCTATACATTCGTCCCACCATCCATCCTTCCAATACTGTAGCATCGGAGTGCCTCCCACATATTTAAAATCGAAATAACCATAACAATCTCTTTTCTCTTTCCCAAGCTGTAGGGGAAATTGCTTGATTATTTCATAGTTAATGTCCAAGCTCTGTTATGAAAATACTCAACAACCTTGAATTTTACTATTATTACAGTTGAACTTCACTTTTAACTTAAAAATAAATATATACATTAATTATATGGATTAATATTCTCAGTGTAAATGTAGAATAACTCCAATTAATGGCGCTACTCCAAATGTATAGTGGTGCAGCTAAGACAAGACTTGAACTGAACACTTCTTTTGGGTTTTAAAGTAAAAATACTGCTTTAGCTTAAATGAAATGAAAGTATATCTAATCCTCATCATCTTTATAGATGTTTTCTTTAAAAAGGAATGAAAATGACCTTTCACTTTGGTTTGTAACCATTCTATTTTTAATCTTTGAACAGGAGCAATAATCCCAGAAAAGTAAAATTGTTATGTGTGTACACAAGGGTATCAAATTTGTTTCTTTGTTATATATATCTACTGCAGCATATGTATTATTCTTCATTTTGAATTCTCTTAATCTCTTTTGTACATTGTGTTTTCTGTACAGGTGCATTTCTTATACCTTATTTCATTTTCCTGTTTGGGGGAGGTCTTCCTGTGTTTTTCCTGGAGGTGGCGCTAGGGCAGTATACCTCTGAAGGAGGAATTACATGCTGGGAAAAGATCTGCCCTATTTTCACTGGTTAGTTATTTTCCTGCCATATCACGACACAAGACATAGTTAATGAATGTAATGACATGTTAGTGCTAGTTGGAATTTTTCAAAACAGCTGTGCTAGATGCACTGATGGTATTGTTAATGTTATTAACGGGTAATTTCCATTTTGGCAACCAGTCCTGCAAAGTGCAGAATGCCTTTGACTCCCATTTTTGTAACACTCAGGCCCCGGTTCATCAAAGCCCTGAAACACGTGCCTCACATTGATACTGTGGGGTTTATGCATAAATTGAACTGCCTTGCTAAATAAGGATGGGATTACTCAGGTGCTTAGCGCTGTGAATGGGTTTAAGTGCTTTGCTGAGTTGAGACTAAATACACTATGGGGGAAATTCACCCCTGGGCAGAGGGCCACCACAAGGCATATGCACCATTTAAGCTGCACTTAAATCCTCAGATATTAGGGTCTGATCCTAGAAAGGGACTCACATTGATTTCAGTGGTCTTTGGATCATGTCTCTAAGGTACACCCTTGATGTGGTGTATTGCTTAAAAAACAGGGGGCAAGTATATTTCCTTCCTGTCCATCAGCGCTGCTATTTGTTGTAGTCGCTGACTATATGATATTGGTTCCTTGAAAGGTAGAAGTCTGAGAGTATAAAGGAGAAATCAAAGTATTAATTTTTGTTGCTGTCGTCTTGTTAAATGACAGAAGTGCCAATAAATAAGAAAGAAATAGCATGTTGTGCACTAAATAGGCCCATAGCAAGAGGCCGTGCAACCTGTGAGAAAGAGAGAGGTCATTTCACATTGTGTTGACGAGAGTTGGAGAAGGTAGTGTTCCTCTGAAATACTAAGTGATCAGACTCTTTTCCATCGTCTCATATCCTTTTGCGAAAGTGCCTTTCCAAATATTATCCTGGGCTGAAAACCAAACTCTTTTTGCCATGCAAAACCTTGCCATTGGCATCACAGTTATATTACAAGCACAGTGGGAATTTGAATGGCTTTCTGTGGAAAGATTCAGGCACAGAGCTTTTGCAATAATTAGATCAGACTGTAAAAAACAACTCTGGTTGCTGCATATTCTTATTAAAGGGCATTTGCCAGCAAACGAAGAAACACTTGCCGTTCACAAGAATTGTGCGAATGCCACTCTGAAATGTAATGGGAATATAAAATTAAAAGCTGGTTACCAAAATCCTTTAGAACCCCTAACTGCATCCCACACATCGACTGGCTTCAGAGAGACACTGGGAAATGAACTGACTCATTAGAATTAACCCCCACTAATTATGAGTGATTACATTGGATAGAGATGCACTACTTTTCCTTTTCAAAATTGAAGTGGGAATGGGCACCTTAAATTGACTTAGGCCTTGATTCTGCCACCCTTACTGATACCGAGCAGTATCTTACTCCTTGAAATGAATGGAACTACCTAAGTAAGTAAGATCGTATCCAATGGGCCAAATTCTCAGCTGTTCTACCGAAGTCAGTGGAATTATCCTGATTTCCACCCCTTTCTTTTCTCCCCCTCCTCTCACTGGGCCATAGGATGGGGGGAGAAGTGATGCTCTTGGTTTAAATAAAAATCACCTTGGTATCCCTGGAAAAGGAAATTTATGGTTCTAATAATATGGCTAAGTGAATGTTCTGACTGAACAGTAGAATAGATAATACACTCTATAGGGGGATAATACACTTCCATTTGCACTCAGCACAAAATTATTGGCTGTGGAGAATCACATTGCAATATGGCTTAAGATTGTGCAATATAAGGCAGCTCTGCCAGGTGTTGATACAGTATATCAGTAAGCACCTTTCATATAAACCTATTTATTTAATTTAATTTATTTATTTTACAAACTATTGTAAGTCTTTGTTGGGAAAACAGGTTTTCTTGCTCCCATTCCTAAATGGAACATTAGCTTCAGAAAGCCCTTCAAGATTCTAAATACTAGTGTTCAAAAGGTATCAGAAGAAGGATATGTATGCAGACCTTTTGTTTCTTACTTTAAATAAAGAGACTGTTTCTCCTCTGACACAGAGGTATCAATCAGAAGTAATGGCAATGAGATTACGGTGGTGTGAGAGGAGTCAGACCCACAGAATAGTTTTGGTATTTAATTCTGCCAGAGCTGCATTCCATCACCTCCCTGATTGCCATTTTAAGTTGTGGAGGACGTGGCCTTATCTGCCCATGACCCTGTGTTTAAAAACAAACAAAGGACATTTTTTATTGTCAAGTATTGATAGCAGAGTTAAACATTGATTTCATTAGCAATAACAAGCACAAACAGCATACTTTCTTTGCAAAAGAGAAATGGGTGCATAGATTACGGCTTTCACTTCACTCACTTTGGAATTTTTAAACACACGTCTTATTTTGCACATACACTGAACCTTCTGCCCAAGGATCTCATTAATACCGCTGCAACCACTGGTGCTAGTGACAATCAATGACAGTATCATGGTTATGCTTTAGTTGCGTGTGCTGTTTAATGGGATCGAGTTTCCAATAGTGGTATATCATACACCAGGATCTAAATCCATAGAGTATTAAAAAACAGCTTTAAATGTCTGGGATTTCATAGTGTTGGAACGATAAGTGACCATTATGTATGTGTTTTATTTATTTATTTTGTATTAGGAATTGGTTATGCTTCCATAGTGATTGTGTCCCTTCTGAATGTATACTACATCGTCATCCTGGCTTGGGGAGTGTACTATCTGTTCCAGTCATTTCAGAGCGTCCTACCTTGGTCACTTTGTGGTCAGAAGTGGAACACACCTACTTGCATGGAAGACACTCTCAGGAAGAACAAAACACTCTGGCTGTCACTGAACATTACAAACTTCACTTCGCCTGTCACAGAGTTTTGGGAGTAAGACCATGCATTATTATTTTTTAGTGCACTTTATTTAAAGGAAAGAAATCATAAATGCAAATAGCTTCTTCTGTTGAAACTCCCTGGGGAATTTTAGGTAAGGGAAAATGAATAGATCTAGGTTGGAGGCCTTGCCTATAGCCTGACAGAGTATTTGGTGGCCAGCAATTAGAGAAGGTGCACTGGTGCTGACCCTAAAATGTAGACAACAGGAAGCCAGGGTGCTGAATCAGGGCTATACCCAAGCATAGATACGGCCACAGCGTCACCTTCTTATAGAGTGACCAGATGTCCTGATTTTATAGGGACAGTCCCAGTATTAGGGGCTTTTCTTTATATAGGCACCTATTACCCCCCAACCCCTGTCCCCATTTTCAACACTTGTTATCTGGTCACCCTACCTTCTTAATGCCCAACGTTACGTGCAGCACTGATCCTGGCCAGTCCTTAGTGTTGTCCCATCCCAGTACTAACAAGACCCAACTGTTCTAGCTTCTGAGATCTTAGCCTGAGGTGCAAAAACTCAACCTCAAAACAAAAATTCAGCCTCAGAAAACGACTTTTAAAGTAACGTTAAGGATCTGACTTGAACCCACAAAAGCAAATGAAAGCAAGTTGTGCTAACAGTATTGTCTTAATTCTTGTGGTACTTGGATATTGCTGCACACATGAGTGTAAATTCAGACCCTACTGTAAGGGCTGCAACGCCATGGATTTCACTAAACCCATTGAATTTGACCTATGGCATAGGAGATAGCTCAGTCTTCTCAGATCCTTGCGAAAATAGAGGACAACGATCAGAGTTAATGGATAATGAACAGCATGGGTTTTCAATCATACATTTAATTGTGATTTTCTTTGCTTCTGGAGATAAGTGAACGTCTAAATATTACATTAAACCTCTTCTTTTTCATTGAAGGTTGTAGGAAAGGGAGAGGAGGCACAAAGGCCCAGATCTGCAAAGGTATTTAGGCACCTAATTTAAGAGTTAGATGCCTAAATACCATTGAGTATCTGGGCCAAAAGATATTCAGATGTAATGTATCTAAATGCATAGGTTCACCCAGTAGAGTACAGCAAGTCCCCAAAAACCTGTCTTGGTTTGAAAGGATTTTGGTTTTGTCTTCTATTGTGAAAAATACCCATTCATTTCTGGGGTGCAATTCTCTACATCAAATATGAGTTTGGAACATTTCATTTACAAGTACCTTGATAATAGGGGTTTACAATGGAAACAATGACAGACCATTAATTATGGTTTTGTGAGCACAGCTGTTGTTGCCTTTTCCCCCTCCCTTCCTTGTAAATTCACTTTCTAAATGTATAACAAATCACTTACTAACCTGGCAAAGATGCCAGCCATTAACCTGGCAAAGAAAACTGGCAGAGATTTTAAACACTGCCCGGTATTGTACATTTCTGTGGTCATTTGTCTTGCACTAGCCGACTGTGTTATCTTGGAGAAGATCTTGCTTTTGCCAAATGCCTGGAGTTTATCAGGCTTAAGGTTTTTGTCACAGTTTCTCCTACATTTCACATTATAAATTCTGTTTTGCACAATCTGATTTCGGAATGGAGAGGCACCTCTGCAAACAGTGTATTTGCACAGGCATCAAAAATGTGCAGAATAAAAGGGAATACAAAGAAGATCTGTGTGATGTAAGACCCCCGTGAGCAATTTCAGAGATTATTTACTTGCTTGGCTTGCCCTGGTGGTATTAAGTGTAGCATTTGCTTCTATCCCACTTTGGCTTCTTCAGGCCACTTAAATTCCAGTTTGACTCCTTGAATCAACTTGAACACACTTCTGTATTTTATAAATAAACGTAAGCCAGTTGCTGCACCAGAAATGACATCCAGACTGCAAATATTTGGCAGGTGTTAAGTTTGGAAAAAAGATCCTAGGAACTGTGCTGAAACTTGTAACCCAAGAGCTGAAGATGAGCCCGTAATGTAGAGTAGGTTTTGGACCATCAGATGATTGGTGTAACTGACAGAGTGCATCCTGTATTACCAATTTTTTCAGTGTCATTAGCACTAAGCTTCTGTGCTAAGTGACAGTTACTTTCCTAGATCTGATTTCCTGGGTGGTTGACTGGTCCCTCTGTTTGCTAGACAGGCATTCCACATCAAGAAGTCAAAGACCAAGTGGAACAGGTCAAAAAGCAATCTTCTAATGTGGATAACAAATCAGGCTAATCTTCCTCAGCTCTATTAAGTTTATGCTGTCTCACTTTTACATAAGAACATAAGAATAGCCGTATTGAATCAGCCCAATGGCTATCCAGTTCAGTATCCTGTCGTCTGACAGAGGCCAGTGCCAGATGCTTCAGAGGGAATGAACGGAACAGGACAATCATTGAGTGATCCGTCTCCTGTTGTCCAGTTCCAGGTATTGACAGTCAGAAGTTTAGGGACACCCAGAGCATGGGGTTGCAGTCCTGACCATCTTGGCTAGTAGCCTTTGATGGACCTATCCTCCTTGAGCCTATCTAATTCTTTTTTGAACCTAGTTATACTTTTCTGCACACGCAGAACAAGGATGATTTATGAAAAGTCAATGATTAGAACCCATAGAATATATCTGTACTTGGAGCTGGAGGTGTGTTTCTCAGCTCAAGGAGACCTACTTGTACTAGGTCTGATTGCACAATGACAGCACAGACGGGAGGATGGGCTAGCTGCCCCGAGTACATGCCTCTGGCCTTGGAAGGGTACGTATTCAGTGTGGCTAACCCGTCCTGCCATCCATTCTGCTGGAGAGTCATTCTATTTTTAGTTCTCTAGCTGGATGAGAGCTAGTTGTGAGTACATTTCCTTGAGCTGGGAATCACACTCCCAGCTCCAAGTGCAGAGATACCCCTCTAGGCAATTCTTTCTGCACCTGGCAGCCTCATTAACTTCTGTGCTCAAGCAGCCATGTTAAACATCATAGGCCAAATACATCTCTGGCTTCAATGGAGTCATGTCAGGGAGGCGTTTGGCTCCAGGATACTGTTAGTGTGCGTGCACTGCCCTGGTCAGCCACTATTCCCTTGGGCGTTAAACCGTACCATCGTGAAACAAGCCGTGTTCAGAACTGACGACACTGACAGGAGCAGTAGAAAAAAAAAAAAAGAAACAGGCGTTGTTCCCTTTCTATTCAAGAATGCATATTAAAGAGTGAAAGTATTAATGCGCAGCTTTCAATATACCACATCTAAGGCCAGGCCAGGCCAGACTTTACACAATACATTCTTTTTAATCTCCATTCGCCCCCAGCTCCCTAAAGCCTTTGATAAAAGGCAATGCGACAAACCAGTTAGATTTCCCAGGTAAAAATATACCTGCTGCCGGACAGTCTGCCTTCAGAGGCAGGACTGCCACTGTTAGTCGCTATCTCAATAGGCTGGGAGGATCCCAATGCCCAGGAAGAGTTTTACCCCGGAAGGCAGAGGAATACCATCTTGTTAGCCTACCTGCAAAACTTCACTCGTCCTTGGGAATAAGATCATCGGCCCTTATCATTTTTATTTTTAAAAGCTTGTGTTATTGCCATGATCTTAAATATCCCATCACTGAGACCCTGCAGACCCACAACTCTCAGAATGACCTAGTCATGTCTGAATGAAGGAAGGCAGACACAGACGTCTCTCTAGAAACACAATAACATAGCCTGTGGGCAGTTAACAATAATTTGTGCTGTCAATCTTACTGGTCTTGGTGGACTCTTTGGACCTGAGTTTTAGTGGGACTTCAACAATGCTTCTCCTTGTGCACCTGCATGCCCCCCAAAACCACACTTTTTGAGCCTCAACACATGCAAGTGATGTATTTAGCACATGCAGAGTCTAGCATCCATATGGCCCCAAAGTGTGTGCAAATGCAAGTTGTACATGCAATACGTGATTCTGAAAATAAAGCCCTTTTCCTTAGGAGCCAGTCAGCTAGGAAACTTGTTGCCTACAAGACATTTACATTTGCCACTCAGTGCTCAAGCATTAACAGTCATACAAAAAGCCCACAATGCTTAGAGAAGAGGCTATTATTCTGTGATTGAAGGAATCCACACTGTTTTGTTGTACAGTTAATGCCTATTTAATTTTTTGTTTTTGAAACTAACTGCCCTTTCCAATCTGGGAAACGGATGTGGTTATCTTCATCAGTAGTGTGTGGTAAAGCTGACTCCACACTGGTATAATTGGCTCCACTGATACATTAGCCTCTTCATGCTGAATGACATGTGCCCCTTCCCCGTCCTGCTGGACATACAGTGGAGCCTGACATTTCAGTTCATCTGAATTAACATTCTGTGCAAATCACATGCTTACTTGAGCAGCAGTAAAAGGGGTTAAGCAAATCTGGCTTTATCTCAGGAGACTTACATCTTGCTATCATGTGCTTTAGGTCTTATTTCTTCAGATTTTCTTTTAAAGTTCTGAATTTTAAAGTCTTACAAATGCAGTAATGCGAAAGGGGTGAGAATTATGGGACAGCTCCCATTAAACAAGAGCTCTGATTGTCTGATGCTGACCAAATGTTTATAAATGGCTGGTAATCAGCAGACCTTGTTCATCCAAATCCAAGAAAGCCTGTCACATGTTCCTGGCATGTAACCCTGAGGAAAGCAAAACAAAACTAAACAAAATCCGACTTAGTCTTATGTGCCCTTGGAGGCAAACAAGATTTACGAAATTGCTTCTTTCATCGCATTCCCTTTAGTGAGTTCCTTGTACACCTGATTATAGTACTAGTTGTTATTGCTCGTTCTATGTTAAAAAGCACTTCCTCTCTCTTGGTATGAAAGGTCCTGACTGCATTTATGTGATTAATTGACATGGGACACCCTTCAAGGATTGCCTAATTCCGCAACTCATTCTATTTTTGTGTACATTCTAGAACCAGTTACAACTCCTGTTATTACATTCTCCGTGTTATTAGTCCATACTGGCTCTATGAAAAAAAGCCCAAAAATCCATGTTTGATATTTGTCCCACTGAATACATACATATATATATAAATGACAGAATACATCTACATATATATATAAACGACAGAATACATCCTGCAGGCTTGGTAACGGAGGGAGTAATGGAGGTTTGTCCATATAACCAAAGCTGTTATGCAATACAGCCCTTACTCCACCTAGGAATGAAATTATTAAGGTGTTACAGATGCAGACTGATGTGCTTCTGCTACAGAAATGTGTGGATTTTGGTTGCCTGACATAGCCTAATGCAGACACTGTAGTGGTGTGTGCTGAACTGGCTCCTTGAGGTATTCTACCTTTGCAGGGGAGGATGGCTCAAGACAGCCAGGGAGCACATCAAACAGTGCACTTTACTAGTCCTATATAAAAGAGAAACCTACCTGGCTCCTAATAGCAGATTCTGGTCTCCTCCATAGAATGTGGGCCCAGAATCCTGGGTCACATTCTAGGTAAGATGGCCACCTGCTTTTGAATCTATAAGAGAAGAACAAAGAGTGGTTCATGAAACATGCCACATACATTCACAGATCTCCAATTTCCAAAAGGAAAAAGGCTACTCAGTGTTTTCTTGCACCAAGCCATGTTGGCTGCTTATTAGCATTTTATTCCAAACTACCTTTCAGCTTAGAAAGTTGGACTTTATTTAAAAAACCCCATGAGAGCTTGAAACTGAACTTTGGTCTCCTTAAAAATTCTTCATTTTCTTCTCCCACATACTCACATCGGGCCTGATCCTGCTGCTGCTGACTCCAGTGAGTAAGGACTCACTCATATGAGCAAGGACTGCAGAATTATACAATTGTTTGTTATCATAGGGTTGCTCCTCATTACTGAGTAGCTACACTGTTTGGGGAGCATCTGTTCTATTGAGTCCCATTAGTCTTTTTCCACAGTACTGAATACACTCAAACAATATTTAAAAAATATAAAGCATTTAGTTCTGAGAACACACACACACATGCTCAAATTATCGTAACAATTTTGCAAGCTAATATTAAAAAAGGGAACCATTTTGGGCCTTCTAAACTGGTCAGTTTCTCTTTATTATCAAAAATTTATAGCACTTTTAGATCACTGGTTTTATTAATTTTTATTGTTTTTTCCATTGGGAACAAATAACCTTGATACACACTAGGGGGGTGGGTAGAGCGGGGAGCTTAGTGCATCAGATTGCTATGACCTCGCAGGGTTTGGTAAATGTTTTTATCCTGATGATAATCTGTTTACACTAAACTTGTGTACCTCATCTGTGTGTGCAGACACCCTGACCTGGTGTGCCCCTCGCACTCCTGATTTGGGCTGCTGACTTTCATCATTGGCAAAAAACAAAACTCAGCGGCATTCTTTCATTGAACAAAGTAGTCTGTGGGCAATGCCCTGCAGTTCTGACGCAGCCAAAACTTTCATTGACGACAGTGAAAGTCTTGCATGATGAGGAGTTCAGGATTTGGCCCACTGATTTCAGCATAGTTTTGCCCAAGTAAGGAATTAGTAAAAAACCGAATCAGGACTTCAGGATTTGATCCTTTATTGCAGGCAGCGAGTAAAGGTGTGACACAGCCTGTTCATGTTAGAAAAAGTGACGAACATGCCATTTGGAGCATGTACATTGCCAGAGAAAGTAAAGGAAGTAGTTTTATTTCAATATTTGTTCTTACCCATGGAAATTGACAAAAGAAAGAAGTTAATAAAAACTTGTTCGTATGAACCTAGCTGTTCTGATGCTCATGTTTTTGCCTCCCCAGTAGAAATCTGTGTTTATTTTCTAAGTTGAATAACTAAATAAAGTTTACCAAATATCCTTGGTCAACTAAACAAGGACCTACTTGTGATGACTTTGACTACCCTTGGCCTTCATCAGTAATGTTTGTATGCATCTGAGCCAAGATAAATGGAAAGGGTAACAGAAATTGTAACAAATCCAGGCTCTGCACTGCAAACCAAACTCCTTAATGTGTTAATTTGACACACTGTTGTCTCTGATCCCCATAATGATAGTCACGGTAACAGACTGAAAATTAAAAACTGATGTACTGTGGCCTTTTTGAATAAGTCTGTGTCAGACATTATGGGTGATATTGACATACAAGTACACTATGGCTTCAAGGCTGTTTTGACACGGTCTCCCACAGTATTCTTACCAGCAAGTTAAAGAAGTATGGGTTGGATGAATGGACTATAAGGTGGATAGAAAGCTGGCTAGATTTTTGGGCTCAACGGGTAGTGATCAATGGCACCATATCTAGTTGGCAGCCAGTATCAAGTGGAGTGCCCCAAGGGTCGGTCCTGGGGCCGGTTTTGTTCAATATCTTCATAAATGATCTGGAGGATGGTGTGGATTGCACCCTCAGCAAGTTTGCAGATGACACTAAACTGGGAGCAGAGGTAGATACGCTGGAGGGTAGGGATAGGATACAGAGGGACCTAGACAAATTGGAGGATTGGGCCAAAAGAAATTTGATGAGGTTCAACAAGGACAAGTGCAGGGTCCTGCACTTAGGACGGAAGAATCCAATGCATTGCTACAGACTAGGGACCAAATGGCTAGGCAGCAGTTCTGCAAAAAAGGACCTAGGGGTTATAGTGGACGAGAAGCTGGATATGAGTCAACAGTGTGCCCTTGTTGCCAAGAAGGCCAATGGCATTTTGGGATGTATAAGTAGGGGCATTGCCAGCAGATCGAGGGACGTGATCGTTCCCCTCTATTCGACACTGGTGAGGCCTCATCTGGAGTACTGTGTCCAGTTTTGGGCCCCACGCTACAAGAAGGATGTGGAAAAATTGGAAAGAGTCCGGCGGAGGGCAACAAAAATGATTAGGGGACTGGAACACATGAGTTATGAGGAGAGGCTGAGGGAACTGGGGAAGTTTAGTCTACAGAAGAGAAGAATGAGGCGGGATTTGATAGCTGCTTTCAATTACCTGAAAGGGGGTTCCAAAGAGGATGGCTCTAGACTGTTCTCCGTGGTAGCAGATGAGAGAACAAGGAGTAATGGTCTCAAGTTGCAGTGGGGGAGGTTTAGGTTGGATATTAGGAAAAACTTTTTCACTAGGAGGGTGGTGAAACACTGGAATGCGTTACCTAGGGAGGTGGTGGAATCTCCTTCCTTAGAAGTTTTTAAGGTCAGGCTTGACAAAGCCCTGGCTGGGATGATTTAATTGGGGATCAGTCCTGCTTTGAGCAGGGGGTTGGACTAGATGACCTCCTGAGGTCCCTTCCAACCCTGATATTCTATGATTCTATGATAGAGATGCCAGTAGAGGTCTGGCTTCCATCTCCATGAAGAACAATTATAGCAAATAACTTCAACACTTACAACATACATATATGATCATTAGCTTCCAAAAGGAGCCTTGGTTAAGATGCTGTATCGTATGTTGGTCAGACGAATCCTATAGGCAGCAGACATACCTGGGGATTAATCCTGCAAACCTTTACCCATATGAGTAATGCTGAGTTAGGCAAGTACATGTTCATAAGATTGCAATATTAAAGTGCAGCCAGTCCAGTCATTGCCATAAGTAATGTGTGTATAATTGCAGAGCTTGTAAGAAAACTCCTGACTAACTGCTTTGTTGCATCTTTGTCTTGCTTCTTTTCCTTTCACGCATTAAGGCACAACGTACTGAGCTTGTCTACAGGGATTGATGATATCGGTGTTGTCAAGTGGGATCTAGCACTGTGTCTTCTCTTTGTCTGGGTGATATGTTTCTTCTGCATTTGGAAAGGCGTCAAGTCTACTGGGAAAGTAAGTGCTCTGTCTACCCCTTTACGATCACTACCTTAGAAAAGTCAGCAGTACAGTGAATAATAGGCTGTGTCTTTTGTCAATAAATAATAACAGCTTCCATGTGAAAAATGTATTTTCACACTAAGAGATGGACTTGATTGGTGTTGGAAGGCAGTGGCCAGTGCCATAGTACAGAATGCCTCTGAACCAAGCGGATGTTAATGGAATGGCATCAAGAATCATATAAAGATGACTCAGGAAGCCTTTTAAACACACCCATTTAAGACAATGGAATCTAGCCAGTGCTACCTGAACTGGTGAGGGTGCCTCAGGCTTTCCTGAGCAGTACACTACTTGCCTCTTCCCACATAATAATAATAGTTATACCACTGTGTGCTTCTATTACTTGTCACCCACAGAGCCACCTTCAGCTCTGGTGCAGTGCCACTGGAATCAGTGGATCCACAGTGGGGATAAACTGGAGTCACTGGGAAATGCTGGATGCTTAGCAGTTTTGGAAAATCTGCCCACGTATTTAGGTTCCCCAAGACAGATTTAGGAGACTAACTTTAAGCACTCATTTATTTAATGAAAATGCTCGTCCTAAAACAGCAGCACCATCTTCTTCTCCAGAGTCATTGTCCAAGGGCTACTCTGACACTCAGATCTATTCCCTGTTTATTTAGTCATTTCTAGTGTGCCTCTCACTGCAGGGCCTACCTTCCTCTCTGAAGTTTTCTATTAGGCATATTGAGTTCAGGGCTGAGTTCAACAACATTGATATCTAGAGTCTATATTTTAGATGCCTGTTGAAGGCCACAGTAGTTAAACATTCACAGACTCCAGACCATTGGGTGCTCCAAGGTTTTTGTTGAATGGGACCCATCTGTGGTTCTTTCCCTCCCCCATGCCCTTGCCACTGCACTCTCCAAAACCACGCCATTCCATATGGCATTAATTAGACAGCATCTGAACCTCATTCCATTCCAGTAGCATACCAGGAACAAAGTACAGAAGTTTCCACACTGTCGATTAATGAGGTGATGCCTGGTATTTATTGCCTCTTTAAATATATGGTAGTGGTTCTGTACCATCATTTCTCTCTCCCTTTGACTTTATCATAGGGCCTCATTAAAAACATGGTGCCTTATTCTTCTGGTCTCCTGCCAGTTTTAGGCCCAAAGAGCAGCTTCCGCACCCCTAAATCTGTACTGACTGAGGATGGTTTTATTCCCTATTGTCACTGATTGGCATGACCTGTTGAGTTGGCTTGTCAAGGGTATTAATGAAAGAGAGCATAGTAATCTCCTCAGCAATAGTAGAATGGAAACAAACACTTCCTGAGTACCTTTTGCGATCATGATGTCTGTTTGATTCACAGTTTAGACAGCACCAAAAGATTTTCCAAGATGCTTATTGTGTACAAAAACCAAACACCTGCTATAATATACCAGCATAATCAAAATCAGTGAGGGTGTATGCTAGTCTGAGAAGGTCAAAGGGCTGCAGTGACTTGAAAAATTTAGAGGTTTGCTGGGAACTTTCACAGGTTTTTCAATGCAAATCTCAACAGCTGAATATCTATTTGTGGGTATGTTTTCTTGTGCATCCCAAACTCCCATAGACTTGAGATGGAGTATGCAGTGCACAAAGAATGCAAGACTGGACTCTGAAATGTTCCCGCTGCCCTTGTATTTCTGCACCAGGGAATTAATGCTGAACCTTTTGAAGGTAAAAAAGCAAAAAGGAACGGTTAAAAAATATCAAATAACCAACAGGTTTTTCTGGAAATTAGGTGTATCTCAGAACTTAATCAGAATTTACTGTCTGTTCCTCCATTGTATTTTGAGGACACAGGGCCCGGTCAAAAATCCATTGAAGTCAGTGGAAAGATTCCCTTTGACTTCATTGGCTTTGAATCAGGCCAAAGCAAACTGCAGAACTCTTAATGTAGGCCTGGAGTTATTGGATGAATGATTAGCCCATAGCTTAATTTTATAGATCATTTCTTACACACTTAACTGCTTTCCAATGTACTAACAACTTCCTGAAGGGGAAATAATCATTTAAAAAAATCTTGTTGGAATATACTGAACAAAAGAAACAGTCATGAAAAATAATAGCCCAGTGTTTTGGGGACTTTTTTGTATAGAGTGCTGGATCCTAAAAACTCCTTCAGTCATGCAGGGGTTTTCCTGCCCTGCAGTGGGAAAGTCCATTGTGTAATACTGAGTTCCTGTGAATGCAGACACAGCCTTGTTATTAGAGAGCAGGGATTTTTATGGGTCAAGATTATATAAAAAGGGATCATACAGGACAAAAAGTAAATAACTTTTCGAAAGTTTTTAGATGAAACTAGGCTAATGTTGCAAAAAGAAAAGGAGTACTTGTGGCACCTTAGAGACTAACAAATTTATTTGATCATAAGCTTTCGTAAGCTACAGCTGAAGTTAGTCTCTAAGGTGCCACAAGTACTCCTTTTCTTTTTGCGAATACAAACCAACATGGCTGGTACTCTGAAACTAGGCTAATGTTATAAGCCATATTATTTATCAATGAAAAATATTACTGCGTTCCAAGAGGAAAAGGAAGAAAACCCATATGCATGAAAAGGTTTTCTTTGAATTTTATCAGTCTGGCTACCTGAGTTATATCAATGCTGGCTCTGATTTCTTCTGGTTACTCTCCTAGGACACACTTAAAAGACAAGTGGATGCATCTCAGGAGCTTTTCCCCGATTAAGTTAAATTTTGAAAAACAAAAATGTATTTTAAATAAGGCAGCAGCGCTGTAATTACCTGGCAGAAACATTTGACTCCATTTGAAAAAAGGAAGAAACCAATCCTTTTTGGAAGGCAGAGATTGCCTGGCAATAGAGTGTTAGTGCTTCTCTGCTTAGGGAAATTGATCAGCATAGCTATTCTGAAATAACTATTCTGTAATAGCTATTCCTGAATAGCTCCCTGTGTGGACACGCTATGTTAGCATACACATGGTTTTATTCTGGAATAATTACTCCATTCACAAAGCAGAGTAATTATGGAATAAAGTCCATTTTATTTTAGAACAGGGTAGAATGTGGGTTATTATGGAAGAGCTATGTCAGTCAGCTTCCCCCCTCTGGGCAAGCCCTCAGCCGTACGTTCTGAAGATAGTGCCTACAAGGTTTGGGTGAATCAGTCTTTAGTTCTGAACTATTGTATCATACTCTGTCTTGCCAAGATTCTGCTGGTTATTCCTCTGAGCTGGAGATGTTTATAGCTGCAAATGGGAAAGCCAGTCTGTGGGCAAGGAGGGTGTAGGCATCTCTTGGAGAAGGGGAGTTTCTTATTTTGTTTTTAAAAGAAAATCACCTTTGAGAAATTGTGAAGTGGATTTAATGCTTCCAATGAGGAGTATAGTATCGGCTTGAGCCATACAAAGGTTCTAAATGCTAACCAGCGCACCCTAGTCCTGAGCCTTCACATGGGATAATATACCTCAATCCCAGCCTGCAGCAACCCCTTCTGTTCTAGTCCAGCATCTCTCTTGAGCAGACACTGCCATTCATACCAAAATGAGGACTGGTTTGTTTCTCCTAGGGTGAGCCTGCCAAACTCATTTGCACTGTGGCCTGGGTCAGGGATGAAACTCAAGTCTCCACAGGTGAACAGCTCTTTCACTGACCCAATACATTGCCAAAGCCTTTCAGCTGGATTCCTTTTTATTTCTGAGAAGTGCCTTTAAAATCCACACAGAGGACAGCAGTATTCTCAGGCAAAAGAACAAGCCTGCAAAGCCTTCAGTGCTCATGGACTTCACTGGTCCCTGCATATATATCTAAGCTGCCCCTCTGTTAGCAAGATACATGGCAACACCTGTGTCATGAGAGAGACGTGTATATTGGCCTGATAGAGGAGCAGTAAGTAGCACAGTGCTTAGCAGTATAGGAGATTCAACTCTGGGCGTGGGGCCGGCAGCTGGGACCCCAGAGCTGGGGGGGGGGCGGCAGCCAGAACCCCAGATGCGGGGCTGGCAGCCGGGACCCTGCGTAAAACCTGGGGTTGCTGCAGCATCCCTAGTTCCTGTGCCTGTGACACCTTTCATACATTCAGGCTCCCAGTAGTTAGATGAATAGGTGGAAGATGCTTAAGTTGCTCTCCAGAACATGTCAGAGGCAATGGGTTAGGGGAGTGGTTGGAGCAGGTGTCTGGGAAGTTCATTTCCTGGTTCTGCTGCTGACTGAGGGACCTTGGGTAAGTCTCTTAGTCTCTCTAGGCCACAGCATCCCTATCTGCAAAATAATTCTTACCTACCTTACGAGAGGGCTAAATTCACTTATTTTTGTAAAGCACTTGAAGAGCCTCCACTGGAAGGTTCAAAAGAAGCTTGACGTAACCCGTTACTGACCCTTTGCAGTGGTGGCTGTTATTCTTCACTGCCAAAGGTGAGCCTGTGGTAAGAGAAGCTGGCAGGGGGGCAAAGAGGAAATTATGACTAGTGTGAACAGTCAGCAGAAAAGGCCTTTGCGGTTGTAGGCTGCTGGCCAGGGAAGGACGAATGCTCACCCAAATGTGTTCAGGCTCTTCCTTCAGGGCACAGCTTATTCTTCAGACAAATAACTCATTAACACCAAAACAAAGCTATTCCCCTGACCGCAGCTTGCTTCCAGGGTTCAGGGGCCTTTCCCCTTGCATCTCCAGGTCTTGCTCCAGGGCCCACCTCAGGATCCACCCTGCTTCCTGCAGCTCCTCCCCTCAACAGTACTTTTCCAGCCCTTTTACAGGAATCACTTGACCCCTTCCCAGCTGGGCTGGACAACCCCCTCTCCCAGGCAGGAACAGCTCCTCTAAAGACAAGCACTGTTTCCAAACAGAGCGGCCAGCTTCAGGCCCTGTGGTCCTTAAAGAGGCAGACCACCCTGTTCCAGCACCCCCTTTCCCTGGAGATGCAGATAGCCACTTCCTGGAGACAGATCAGGCCAGACTGTTATCTTTGCATAGATCGAAGATTGGAGGAACTTAAGGCACCAGTTGAACACTACAAGCCAAGAGGACAGTTGAGAGTGGAAGAGAGAATTAACTAAAAATGTGCTTAAACACCCAGATCAACCAACAAATCTGAGCCTCATGAAATGTAAGGGGGATTTGAATTCAGATCCCTGGATCTCCATCAGTTTTGGTTCTGGGTCAAAAGGACACCAGTTATATATTTTGTTTCTAAATTAATTGTCAAGGACTCTACATATTGTCACTTTGTTTTGGCAGGTTGTGTACATCACCGCTACATTCCCGTTCGTCATGCTTATTGTGCTGTTAATCCGTGGTGTCACCCTGCCTGGAGCTGCAGAGGGCATCAAATTTTACCTTTACCCTGATGTATCACGGTTAGCAGACCCACAGGTATGGGGCCAGTAAGTAGGAGCAGGGAGACTTCCCATGCTCTGAAACAAGAGGGACATTTAGAGGTGGGTGGTGGTGCAACAGTAGATTTTTTCCCGTGATCTTTATCAATCCAAACATAGCATGGACATTAAAACTTGGTTGTATTTTTCCATTGTATCTGGTTGAAAAGGTCATTGTTAAATGTGTTAATGCATCTTTCCGTGTGTGTATTTTTGTGTCAAAGGACTCTGAGGCTGTAGACTCTGTCCAGTTATAGAATCTCAGCTTTCTTGTTGGTATTAGGCTCTGGACAAGGTAAGGGAGATACGTTTTTTTTAGGAGGATAGTCTTTAGTTTCGGAGGGAATCGAAAGAAAGGAGAGAAATATGAGCGTGGCAGATGGCACACCAAGGAGCAATTGTGAGTATCTGTTTCACTCTGCCACCACCTCTCAGGAGCAGGACATTGGGGAAAGAAGTGAACAGAGTAGTAGAAAAATGAAAACCATTGCAAACATGCAAGAAATCTGTTTTCTCATGTAAACTCATGGGAAAATGCCTGGGAGATGGCGACTTAGCACTGGGTAGGAGGAGTTGCATCTTTTTTTCCTCCACAAGCTACAGCTAGAAAAGAAAAAGACTATTCATTTCCATGGTACGGGTGTAGCAATGAGTGAAAGTTTGACCACTAGCTCTTTGCCCAATGGTGATCACATGGGAAATGCAAAACTGTCTAACCAATAGCAAAAAAACAAATGCAAATGGTAACCGTGATTTTTTTAAAAAGTGATGGCCATAGGCATGATAGGGTGAAAATCCCTTTCTTTGTTGTTTCTTGTCTAATGATTATCTGGTAAAATATCAAAAGCCCAAGGGGATTTGGGCCCTGTAAGGAAGCAGGTAAAGTATCCTTGAAAGAAACTTTTGTGACAGTCTCTGTGATTTTGCCTTCATTACACCAGCCATTCAGACATGCATTTACCTCCGTCCCTGGTAGCATGTAATTGTTATGAGTTATTAGCCGCAAGCTTCATGCCCTAAGATGTGATGATGGATAACACAGGAAGGATTTAGATTCTGTTTAACTCCCAGGCCCCTCTTCCAGGATAGCATAGCTCCCTCCAGGGTTAAGTTATCATGGACTCCCCATTGAAAAGGCTCGTCTTTCACCAGGAGATCCCTGTGTTTCAGGTGGATGATGCTGACAATGGTAGGAGAGTTGTGCTGCAAAGCTGCTGCTTTCCCCCCTTTCAGACCCCCTGGATGGTCCCCATTACCTTTGTCCGGTGTTAGTAGAGAGAAGTACATGGCTGTGAATGGTCAGGCATAGATGGAGGAGTTACCACAAATGTATTAAGCTGGAATTTCTCACTGTAATGGTATTGTATGTTGTATGTTATTGTACTAATACCATCAGGATGATGAGCCATGAACTGAGGTTAGTAACGGTGTTATTTATGTTAAAGAAATGCATTGTGTTATGCTTGTGTCCCCTCCGCACCGGCAGTGTTTGGCCTTGTGCCACCTATGGTTGAAAGGTATGGTTGGGGCAGCAGCATGGAGCCATTTGGAAAAGTGGCAGTCATGGTGTTCGTGTCTGCAGTCCAGTGACTCTGTGGGCTGGTTTTCACTGAACTGCAGCAGATACAAGTGTATACGGGACTTTACAGGGGCCTCTGTGTTGTCCCTTCTCTTGGGAGAGTGTTGATTGTTCTGCAGTAAGGAAAGGATCGGTTGAATGACAAACTAGAATTATAGACCACCTTTCAGGCAGGGATTTTTGAACTGTTGACAGAGCTGTGAAGTTTTCGAGTGGACTCTGATGCTAATGATTTATTTTTCCCTACAACGTCGTCATTTTAAAATGAGATGCTCTCTTTTTTCTCCTGCTTTGCCCCAGTACGTGTCTCCGGGGGAGCAATTTTTGTTGTTGCGTAGCCTGAATGACAGACTGATTGTGATGCACGTTGCTATAGGGATTGCCTACATTAATGATGCTTTCTTCCATCTTTTCTCTTAGGTCTGGATAGATGCTGGGACACAAATCTTCTTCTCGTATGCAATCTGTTTAGGAGCAATGACATCCCTGGGAAGCTACAACAAGTATAAATACAACTGCTACAGGCAAGTCTCTAACCAAGGGGGTTTAGTGTCTTAGCTAAATGATGTAAATAAGTAGGGACAATGGGTTCAATTTTTTTTTTGAATTAACTTGCTCCATGACATATGTGTGACTTAGGGACTGTTTGCTGCTGGGATGCCTGAACAGTGGTACCAGTTTTGTGTCTGGCTTCGCAATTTTTTCCGTCCTGGGCTTCATGGCACAAGAGCAAGGGGTGAACATTGCTGATGTGGCAGAGTCAGGTACGATGGTATCGGTGGCAGTGGTGGTGGGCACTGCCACCTAGTGTGTGAGCAAAGTACTGCGGACTAAATCAGCCAAACAAAATAAAATAAAATAAAAAGAAAGAAAAAAAGAATTCCCACAAGCATCAGAAAAATAATTAAATGCGCACATGTTAGTCTGGTTCTCTTTTAGAACGGTAGTGGGTAGCTGATTAACATAGGACTTACTTTACCTTAATTAGTGTGGCAGATTGAACACATTTTTCCAAAGCACGTTAATAAAGTTTAGCTCAGATTAGTTAAAAGGACCACACACACATTGTTGTCTCGAGTCCAGACATGTCAATCTGTTTTGGAAATCTACACCAACCCTCTTGTTACTATAGCTATGATTGCCCACCGGTGAGAGATGCCGTAGGAATAAAGTCTGGCACTTTCAATGGGACATAAGGGAACTGGATGCCCAAATCCCATTGAAAGGCAAAGGAAGTTGGACACCTAAACCCCATAGGCTTCTTTGGAAAATCCCTTCCACCATGACACCAACTCTTGCAATTCTACATTTTAATCTAGCTCCAAGGTGAAGCTGATACTCTTGTGCCATGTCCATTTTGAAACTGTTTACAGGGACATATTTTCCCCTTGTTTTGCATGTAATTATTCCCATTGCCATTCAGCTATACACATGTATCAGAGAGAGGGTACATCCAGCTTGTGAATATACAATGAACAAGGTAGACTACATCTTTCCCCTGGACAGACTTTATAGGACTTGCGGGCATGAGTGGTACTTTTAGGCTGTCATAATGATGGTGAACAATTATACCAAGCTAGATCAGTATTGCCAACCTCAGGTGTTCAAAAATCATAGTCAGGCCCCCAAAATCATGAGATTGGCTTAAAAATCAGGAGATTTAAAAGACTAATAATACATTTTGGGTGCTTTTTCTTTTCCGTCTGATTTTTTGAGCCTTTAGGGTTCAATTTTTCACTGTAGAGTCATGTTTTTCAGCTGTTTTTTGTAACCAGGAAGACTAGAAACTTACTTCCTTTTTTTTTTTTTTAAATAAAAGATGAGATTCTCTTATAATTACATTAACTTCTGGAGCTGGATCTTTAAGAATCACAAAGACTCATTACAGATTACAGGAAATTACAGATGTTGGGAACACTACTAGATTCTCAGCTGGTGTAAATCAGCCTAGCTCTATTGAAATCAATAGAGCAAATGCCATTTTACAGCAGCTGAGGATCTGGCCCATAAAGGTAATTTTGATCAGACACTGATTGCTTTACTTGCATACAGGAACAAACTAAGGGAATAATCCTGGTGAATACACCCTAACCAGCTAAGCACTTATTTCAGATGCAATCTAAGACATTTTGCATATTTGGCATTTTTTTCTATTCAGATTTAAAAAAAAAATCTTATTCAAAATTTACTGTAATTGACCTAAAATAAAAGACATAATCCATTGCTAAGTGGGCACCTTTGTCCCTGATATTTGATATTTTTAAAGTGGCACCACTGATCAGTTTTAGACTCTGGACTTTAATCCTTTATTTTGGTGCGTGTTTGAGTTCAACCCAGGTTGGCGGTGGCCACAAATTGTAGCCATCTGATGGCTATTCAGTGGATTACACAGTATATACATGTGGTGGTTTTAGGCTCATGTCTAATGGACAGGTAACCAAATCACAACAAACTGCCGTCGAAAGTGGTACCAGTTGGTATACTCGTTGCCATTCTAAGCCGAGAGGCCAAGAATTGAATAAACCTGGGAGCGTGGTTTACCCCTCTCAGTCCGGAGAGATGGTTCCTTCAGTCCATGATATTGGCAGGAGTTGTGGGCCCTGTTCCCTCGAAGCTGGGCACATGCTTCGGCGGCAGGACGCTGGCTTTTTCTTTTTTTTCTTTTTCTTTTTCTTTTTTTTTTGTTGCTTCGGCAGTGTCACAGAAGAAATTTTTTGCACGCACGGCCTGTTAAAAATTAGAGGGAACATTGGCTGTGGGGGGAAACTTGTACTACTGCTGCCTGTGCTCTACCTGTTCTCTGTCAAAGAGGCGACTTGACTTTCTAGGGAGGGCATCCTGAAACCATTCACCAGCAAAGAGAAATTTAAATAGAGTTGGTTTTCCCCCACATATATCCCCCTCCCGCCCCCTTCCCAATTTTTTTTTTAACCCTTATTTTGCCAGTATGCAAATCCAGGACTATCCTTCCAGGTAGGAAAAGGAGAGAGAGAGCCATGAGCATCTGCAACTTGATTTTGCGGCTTGGCATAGGAAGTTGTGTATTGGGCAACCAGATGATTCCGCCATTCTGTATCCTCCCACTTGCCTTACTCACACCTGTAGTTCCATTGACTTCAGTGGATTATTCTTGTGATTTAGGCACAATCTAGTTCACTGACAGCAGAACCCTAGCATCACACTGTTGCTTAGTTACACCCCCCCCTCCCCCCTGCTGCCAAATTCACCCTTTCTGTAATGGTCTTGAGCTGAATTCTCCTTTGGTAGGATATGAGTAGTGAAGATCAAAAGGCAGTGGGAGCTACTCCTATCTTTCATTGGGCAAAGTGGACTCCTTGATTTCAGTGGAGTTACACAAGGGTTGAATTTGGTCTGTCTCCCCCGCCATCTCTCACCCCAGATTGGCAAACTGCCTGATTTTTTTAAGTTCATTTTTCTCCTTTATTTTTCCAATTACATTACATAAAAAAAAAAAGCGAAAAGCATTGTTGCATTTATTTTTTTTTAACCTAAGAAACGCAATGTGGGAACAAAGGAAGCACAGTGAGGCCTGGCTAATCTGTGCTGGATTTGTCTGCGTGCCTGGCTGGATGAAAGATATATTGCATGTACAGTATGTACCAGTGATAAAGCCATCGCAAGACTTCCTTTGTTTTAACGCCGTTTGCAAACTGATTCAGATTAATTGGTCTGACTATTGTGTCTGTCAGCTGATGGAGAAGGTTTGGCCTCCATATTTTGTATTGTTTCAATCTGTCTACCATCCATGGTTCCTTCTGCCAACTGGGTACAATTCCAGCCATAATATTTCATTTAATCAGCAAGTGGCCAACAACTAGACTATGGTTATTACTGTTCTAATAAGCTTTTAACAACTACCACAAGCAAAGTGCGTTTTAACAAGATAATTATTCAGTGGAACGGCGCTCCATATTAAATGCAGTTTTCAATGATTTACAGTAAACTGAAAGGATGCCAGAAATGTTATGTTATTTTACATGGACTTTTCTCTTTATAGTTCAACATTTGCTTTCACAGAAAAATACACACAGAGCATAGAGCACTTGTCATCAGAAATTAACATACACACACATTTTAAGTGAGTTTTAGAGAGCAACAGCAGTTTTACATCTGTCTCATCATTTGCGCAGACTGGCTACAAATGCAATCTAATAGCAGTTCTAGCTGGGAATTCAGTTTTTACTGAGAGAAGACATGATGTCCAGAGATTGAGGGAAACGCAGAACCCCAGAAATTTTAGCTACTCAGCCAATTTTGTGTGTGCGCGCTTTCTGTCACATAAAACCACAGACATGTTTCTTTTTAAAAATTAATGAAATAAAATTAATCAATCAATTGCTGGCTAATTTGTATTTATTTCTATTTAAATTACTTAAATTTTTCTTTTAATTTAAAAATGTCTCCTCCTGCTCTCATATTTTCTTTCCCTTGCTCCTTTCTCCATCTTTCTTGTTGGAAAGGAAAAGTGGGAGTTAGGAAGAGCATCAGTAGCGATTCTCCATGCAGATTAAACAAGAGAATTCTGCTCCTGTGATTTACCGGACTTTAATGTTCCCTACTGAAAAACAAGTTTAATTTGAATCTTCTCACCAAACCTGGAAGATGTCAACACTCCAATCCACCTTCTTTTGAAACAAAAAAAAAACCCCTCCTGATTTTAATGTGCATGTAAATCTGTCCTTGCAAGATTTCCCCACTCTGTAAAAATTACAAGATCACTTTTAAACCAGTAGCAAATTTCAGATTCTTTCTGCCCCTGTTGCCCAATCAGAGATGGCATACTCACTTTACAAAAGTTCTCATGATGTATAACTAAGTGTTACTTGAAACCTGTGTGACACCAGATGAGAACTTCTGTGAAAAACAACATAGAAGTGCAGTGCGCCGGTGCTCTGTGTGAGAGTGAGCCCTTTAGCTGAGCCACAGAGAAGATAAGGCACATTCTGTTACTGCTAGCTATGGGGGAAGCTCCTTTAGCTTAAGTTTTAGAAGCCTGTGATTTTGGAGCAGAAGGACCAAGGTTTTAGTCCCTGGTCTGTGGGTGTGTACAGCATGTGTAGTTGGTCTAGTGGTTGTGCATGATTGTTGGCAGTACCCAGATTTGTTATGGCACGACTTAGGAAGCCTAGTGATATAGGAGAATCTGACTAAGGCGGCGTGTTAGTAGTATCATCGTTATTAGTATAATTTCCAAACAGCAGGGAACACATTTGAGAACTCATAGGTCCAGATCCACAGCTGGTGTAAATAGGGGCAGCGCTATTGATTTCAGTGGTAGTTCATCGCAGCTAAGGAGCTTGGCTATTGGAGTGTAAACCAAAACCTGGAAGGAAGGTGCATGAGAGAGTTGTGTTTTCAGAAAGATAGGTTGAGTTGGCTGCAGCATTGAAGCTTCAGGAGAATATTTGGAGCAGATTCCCTCTTGTCCACCCCCTCCACTCAAATAGAGATCATGTGTGCTAGAAACAGGATTCCTTCATTCTACTGGGGCAGTTCCCTTCATTCCTGTTACACCTCCTGAATGGCTGGTGCAGGAAGTGATCCATTACTGGCATGTTTGAGACAGATGTTAAAACTGGTGGTCGGTTAGCGATGGCCTTTGGGTTTGCTTGGGGCTTCTGCTGTAGTCATGCGTGCTTCTTTGTCAGATGAAAGATCCAAACAATTTCACTTCTGGTATTTCCAGCTGGGTTTGGGTTTATCTGAAAGGAACCAGGCATCCCTGCATTGGTGTGTAGCTACCTCTAGGCACAAGCGGAGTACTTACTATCTCCATTCCCTTTCCCCCCTTCCTATTTTCTCTTTCTCTTCCTCTAGGTCCAGGTCTGGCCTTCATTGCCTACCCAAAAGCTGTGTCCATGATGCCGGTGCCTACCGTTTGGGCTATCCTTTTCTTTGTTATGCTTCTGTTGCTTGGACTGGATAGCCAGGTTAGTAATCATGGTAATGGACATATATGTCTTATTTGTCACCATGATGCCAACAATGGCAACCCCATTATAAATGGGGCAATTAAAAATAATAATAAAATACCAATGAGGATGCTTAAATGAAGTGCCTGTGCTGCGAACCCATGCGTCTGAATGGAGAAGCTGCTTTGGTCCATACGTAGAGACAATGAATAAGTTAGTGATGGCAGGATCAGCATGATCTTGTGCATTAAGGTTTTGTTGTCGGGACCCGGGGGAGTCCAAGGGGTAGAGCAATGCACCCTGGCCCAAATGCTGCCCCACAACACACCACCATTTGTGGTTGGTGTGCAACATTATCTGAGTCTGGTGAAGGAGAGAGACTCATCACAAAGGTAAGGAAGAGCTAGGGCCTGTGCCTGCAAGGGGCGGGGTGCCATTGAAATCAATTGGCACGGAGGTTTCTGAGCCCAGTAGGGCTTGTGGACTATGCGGGAGTGAATTGCAGAGCGCACCAAAACGCTGTGGTGTAACTGCTCCTTGTGGACACTGCTGGTGTGAACTACAAGGTACCTAGTTTGTTGTAGTGTAGTGCTTTTCAAAGAGGAGTTTTTTTCACAGAAATAGCAGCATAAATACCACAAAGGAATCTGTTAATCATTTCTAGATAGTCACAAGTAAACAGAGGCAACCAAGGATTACACAGTAACTATAAACTGAGTTTGCCCAAGGTTTCAGAGCAACAGGCAACTCTTTGTACTCCGCTAACGTTATAAAATTCACTCAACAAAGGCAACATGTTTATTGAACTCAAATCCTCGCTTATATGAGGAGAGATTCATAAGTGGTTTTTTTCCCGGTTGTTACCAGCTTAATCGCTCCAATTTGTAAAGTGTGGCATGTGTTCTAAATTGCTCTTTACCGCTTAATCTTTGAACTCTACTAAGTGACTTTCAGTCCCTTCCAAACTGAATGTTACAATGTCCAGTGCTGTGGTTCTACAACTAAGTGCTTATACAAATTTTAAGCTGTCTAGTAATTTTAAATAGCTCCTCACTGTGTAGAATAATTGAAACTAATTGGAGCGCTTAATTTCGTCTTCCTCCACTCCCCCTTTTTGGAGTGCAGTCAAGCAGGGTTTTGGAATGCCAGAGCATCTTAAGATCAAATCCAACCAATGGGAAGGGTTACATGTAAAAAGAAAAACAGTTTTACATAAGACTTTCAAATAGGAGTTCAACCAAGCGTTCAGTATTAACCACTAGATGGCTAGATGGTCCAGTAATATAGCTGCTATCCCATATTAGTGAAGGGTACAGAGTACAATCTGTTTAAAGGAAGTTTCTGGACATAGTAAGTTATTAATGCAAAGGATAGGATGATTTATATACACCAGAATATTGCTACTTCATGAACTCACTGCGAGATGTCACTGACTGTGGGATGAACCATTTACTTATTGACAACTCAGTGGGGCCAAACTGCTCTCAGTTACATCAATGCAGCTCAATGAAGTCACCGTTATAAGGGCCTGATCCAAAGCTCATGGAAGTCAACGGAAGGGCTCCTGCTGTCTTCAGTGGGCTTTGGATTGTGCCAGATATGAGAGCAGATTTTGGCTGTCTTGATTTCTTTCTTTCTATTAGATTTGTTTGTGCACCATTAAATGGTCCATTTTCCCATACATGAAGTATCAGGTGGGTAGCTGTGCTGTGTTAGTTTGGATCTGTAAAAGTGGCAAAGAGTCCTGTGGCACCTTATAGACTAACAGACATATTGGAGCATAAGCTTGCATGGGTGAATACCCACTTCGTCAGATGCAGGTCATGAAGTTCTTCTGGCTGTCAATAAATTAGAGCCCTTTCCCCAAGTCTGGTTTTGTTTTATTTGGACAACTCTAGTTATATTTGTCTTACATTCATTTTTTCAGTTGCAAGGACATACAGATAATTTTTAAAAAATAAAAACTATTCTAAGATGCTGAATTAGACACAGTAAGATATTAGCTGATCTGCTCAGGACTTTGGTTTATGTTGCAACTGAGAATATTTTACCTACCCTCTGTAAAGTGGCTGTATTGTTACAGCTATTAAAGAAGCACCTAAGGGTCTCAGTCACAAACCAGATGGCCCTATTATGCTAGGAGATGTAAAAACATATGTAAAGAATCAGAACTGTAGGACTGGAAGGAACTGCAAGAGGTCTTCGAGTCCAATCCCCTGCACTCAAGGAGGGCTAAGTATTATGTTTGTACAGCGGCCAAGGTCAGCCCTGGGGCTGTCAAACAGCTCACCAGCAGCCCACTGCCCGAGAGCAGTCCCCTGCCTGCCAGAGCAGCGCCCAGGATTGGGTCAGCCCCTGTGGCTGGTACAGCAGTGGTCAGCTCCTGCCGCAGGAGCAGTAGCAGGGCTGGAGCAGTTGCTCTGTTTGTCCACTCCCGCCTCAGGGTATTTTTAGTAAAAGTCATGTCGCAGGCTTCTGTGAATTTTTGTTTATTGACCGTGGCCTTTCCCTGACTTTTACTAAAAATACCAGTGACAGAATCTTAACCTTACCCTGTACTGTTACTGAATAATTGGTCTATTTACAGTGTGTAAAGTATATGCACAAATTTTTGCAGGAGTGGGATCTAAGTTTATGACAAGATGTAATAGGTGGATGAAACAAACAAACAAACTGGGGAAGTGGGGTTTTGTGGAGAGAAAAAAGATTTGCAGGGCTGTATTTCATTGAATGAATTTTCACCAGTATAACTGAAAACAGAATTTGTCCCTAATTATGTACTTTAACTATGCAGTGTATATAAATTTCACCAGCACATCAAATGAAGACAAAGATTGAGAGATGCTGCCTCAGTTCAGGAGGTTTAGCTTTTCGAGTATTTTTCCTCTACCTCTTTTCTCACATGCACTTTTTGTTCATCAGAAACATCTACAACATAAAAGCCACATGAGCATTTTCCTCTCATCACATTCATTTCCTTTAGCCTTCTAGCTTATGTTTATAAGAAAACCAACTTAATGTGTAAATACAGAGCTCCTAGGGGGTGTTTAATTAAGACAAAAGAGAATGAAATGTATACTGTGTATATTTCAGTTTGTTTTTTTCCCCCTTTAGTTTGTTGAAGTTGAAGGACAGATCACGTCACTAGTTGATCTGTACCCATCCTTCCTAAGGAAGGGTTACCGACGGGAAATCTTCATTGCTATAGTGTGTTTCCTTAGCTATCTTCTGGGACTAACTATGGTGACTGAAGTAAGTAATGCTGATGAAGGCGTGCTTTATTTAATTTAATTTAATATATTTATTTATTTATTTTACTATCAGCATGTATCCTCATTGACATTGTGAATCAGATGGCATAAAGCAAACCGCTTAGAAGAACACCACCACTTAGCTCCTACATAGCCCTTTTGATCCCTAGATGTCAAAGTGCTTTGAAAGGGAGGTAGATATCTTTATGCCCATTCTACAGATGGGGAAACAGAGGCACAGGGAAGTGACATAGAACCCAGGACTTCTGACACCCAATCCATTAGTTCTCAACTAGTGGAGAGGGGATGTCATGAACAGTTACATGGATATATGGCTACCCTTCCTTTCTTTATGGCTACATAGGAAGAGGGTCCCAAACCTTTTTTCTGTTATAAAATGGGGTCACAGTATAGAACCACTGCACTAGCCAATAATGCCTCATTGCAAGCCAAAAAATAAAGCACTTGGAATTTTCAGAAGCATCTACTCAGCAATATGACATATCTAGTCTGAACGTAAAAAAAATAAAAAGATGGAAAATCTGACTGTCATTCCCGTATAACCTAGTTTACATCTGCTTCCTAATCAGATAGGTGCAGAAGAACAGCTAAAGACTTTGGGAATGAAAATCTTTTCAAAACAAAAGCTTGAAAATTAATCACCCCTTTCATAATGCAACGAGAATGACAGAAAGGGGCTTAAACCAAAGATTACTTTAAAGAGCTTTGCATCTCATTTCTGATTCTGAAACTTTTAAAACATATATATAATCCTAATAACTCCAGATAAATTCACTCATCTGCTCTAGCGAAATTTGTTTATTATGCTGTATATTTCTCTTTGATGAAGTAGCAATTTGGCTGAGTAACTACGTTGTCCCTAGCCAAATTCCCTCTTGACCTAAACTGTTGACTAGTAGCTCCTGACTTTCACCACAGCTGCACTTCAGTTGTGGAATTTGTGTATCTAAATCAGATCTCTGCAAAGTACATGCACATTATTGTGTGTGCCCAAGTGAAAATTTGAGTCAAGTTTGTAGTACTTTAAGATCTTTTAAAATGAAGTATTTCTTATTAGTGTAAAATATTATTTTTACTGTGGGGCAGATTCCGATACCACTGCTCAACTTCCTCCACAAGGAAACTCAGTAATTTCAATCGTGGTGTCTAAGGTACTATACAACATGAGTAAAAATGCCAGAAATCTGGCCCCAAATTATCAAAAGGGTGGTAGGACTCTTCAATGCATATTGTAAAACAAGTTGAGATTGTTAAACTCAAATCTAGCATGATGTGTTGGGGTGTACAGCTTCCATCTAGTCCATTCAGTGAAGTAGGTTCTGATTTTGGTTATAGACATTTGAATCAGTGAAGTTACTCTGGATTTAATTTGGTATAAGCAAGCCTAGAATCTGTTCCAATAAGTGCACTATTGTGATATTTATCTTAGAAATAATAAAAGCCTTCTTTTGAAGATCAGACTTAAAACAAAATCTGAGGGATCTCTGTAAGAATTAAAATAATGTCCATAACTGACATTTCGAATACACTGACAATTTGTCCAGAAATGTTAATGTGAAACTAACATAAGGAGTGAAGAAAATTACATCCATATAGAACTACAATTCAGCACATTTAGAGCAATATGTGGCAATGAAACTGGACAGATCTGTGTAATATTTAAAAGTAATAGAGAGAGAGAGAGAGAGGGGTCATGCTGAGAAAATATCTTTCCATTAGACTCATAAATGGAATATCTCCTAGTGCAGAGGTGGGCAAACTCGGCCCTCGGGCTGGATCCGGCCCCTCAGGGCTTTGGATCTGGCCCGCGGGATTGCTACCCCCGTGGCACCACACCGCTCCGGGAAGCGGCCACACCATGTCCCTGCAGCTCCTGGGGGTGGCAGGTGGGAGGGCAGAGAACTCCGCACGCTGCTCTTGCCTGTGGGTACCACTCCCAAAGCTCCCATTGGCCAGGAATGGGTTACCGCGGCCAATGGGAGATTTGGGGGAGGTACCCCCCTATTGCATCCCGCACCCCTCCTGCACCTCAACCCCCTGACCTGAGCCCCCTCATACAACCCGCACCCTTCCTCTGCCCCAACCCCTTGCCCTGAGCCCCTTCCTGCACACCTCACCCCCTCCCGCACTCCGCCCCTGCACCCCAACCCCCTGCCCCGGCCCTGCAAGCAATTTTCCCACCCAGATGTGGCCATCAGGCCAAAAAGTTTGCCCACCCCTGTCCTAGTGAGATGACTTTAGTCTCATTAGAGGAGTTTATGTTAAAGACCAATTATTTATTTTCATATGTTTCTATAAATGCCCGTACAAAAATATCTTTAAGAAGGAAAGACTTAAGTGTCTCAATCGGTTATACTAAGTGGCTTAATTTTAATCAATAAGCTTCTGCTTTAAAGTGCTTTCAGTGATAAACAAGCATCTTTTCTAGGGAGGTGAATGCTAAGTACTAACCTTTAATAGTTGATTGACATCTGTACTTGCTAAAAAGCAATAAGATATTTTGGTAGAATTTTACTTTTTATAAACAGTCAAGAATTTGGTACAGCATGGTTTTCTGTTCATAAGGCTATTTTATTTTGAATTGAGTATAGAGCACTCAGGGTTTTAGTGACTGACCCTAACCCTTTTGCGTATCTCTTTTACAGGGTGGCATGTATGTGTTTCAACTCTTTGACTACTATGCAGCTAGTGGTGTATGCCTTTTGTGGGTTGCATTCTTTGAATGTGTTGCTGTAGCCTGGGTTTATGGTAAGTAAGGATCCCTAGGTCTAACATGAATCTTATCATGAGTCCATAAGTTTTACCTATTTGCTGGTCAAAGCTAGCAAGACACCATTCAGCAGACTGAACCATCCATTCCTGACTAGTCTGTGGAAGCACCTGCTATTTTGCCATTATTGTCATTTTGCTCTTCATTCTGAGGGCCACATTTTCAGCTGGGCTCAAGTCAGCCTCCAATTTTTTCACACAGAAATGAATGTTTTTTGTGTGCTCATTGGTAGTTAGATGCACAATTAAGCATTCCCATGTGTAAATGTAACATCCAGAGCTGAACTTTCGGTCGATAGTGAAAAGCTCTGATTGTGTCTCAAAGACCTATCTTCTAAAACTGTCATCTCTACATGGGTCAAGCCAGCCAAATAGAAAACAGATGAGAGAGAGCCTACAGAAAATGTATTATGTCTGGTTATTTTTAGGTGATTCAGATTTCCTAAATCTGACAATAATCTATGTTGCCGTTTTGACTGGCTATGACTGGTCATTTCCACAGTTCTTCATGAACTATTAATAGTATAGTATTAACTATAAATACTATTCTTTTACTTCATATTGAACCACAGTAAAATTTAGATTGAAATGGGCCATATCAGTTGTTACTCAGTCCTTTCTCAGGCAAAACTTTTGCCAACTTCCATTGTAGTTCTGGGGTTAGTATTCTGCTGTACTAATGCAGTATTCTACTGCAACAGTATGAGAAGAGAGACTTCCCTCAACCTTTCAGTGCCACCATGCACGGCCTTTTTGAAATTCCTGTACATCACGCTTGTTGAACAATATTGTACACAGCCCTTTAATGTAACCTTTCCTCTTTACTATGGAAATTAGCATCCATGAAAATATAAACAGTGCATCTGATGCACTTAGCCACAGACACTCCTCTCTAAACACAAACAGCTCCCATAGACTCAAAACAAGCCACTATTTTTCCTCTTCAGCTCCTTCTCAGCCCCAACTGTGCAGCTGTATTAGTGCAATACCAGTTGGTTACTGATGTCCTATACTACGTGGCTTTCATATCCAGGCTCCTGTTAATGCTCTTTTCTTCACCAAATCACCAAGTGACTATGTATTCCAGGCGCTGATAATATTTACGATGCCATTGAAGATATGATTGGATACAGACCTGGTCCCTGGATGAAATGGAGCTGGATTGTAATCACACCACTTCTTTGCGTGGTAAGTACAGAATCACACTGTTTCTCATCTTGCACATGTTTCTTCTTCCAACCTTTGTCCTGGTTTTTTGTCCAGTAAGGGGGAACTTCCCAGAAGGCACTGTGTGCAGGTACCAAACTGAAAGAGGTACATGCAGTTTGGAAATGCTCCATTTCTCATTTAGTATTATATATAACACAAAAAGCTACGCTGCAAAATCAGGCATTCAAACGTTAGGAAATGCCAGAATGAAGGTTGCCTGTGCAAGGTTACCTTGTCCGTTCAGTCCTCCCCATAGCTCCTTGTCCAGTTTCAATGCTCTCCCTGAGCCAACTGACTCCCAACCCTACCCCACCCTGTTTCCCTCATTGATTCCCAGTACCAGCCTTCCCACCCAGCCACACCTAGCCTCACCTCCTCCCCAACTAGCTCCCTGTCCTTGGCTCCTAGCCCAGCCAGTCCTAGTCTCCCTTCAGCTCCAAGTCCCAGTCTCCTCCTCCATCTCCCAGTTACAGTTTCTCTCCCTGCTTTACTTCCAGTCTCACTAGGCTTCCTGTGTCAATCCACTTTTCCCCCCAGCTTTTTCCCATCTGTATAAGAGTTAGACAGCTGCCTCCTCCACATTGTCTGAGGACCAGCAGGGGGCTGTCACTGAGAGCAGAGATAGGTTCCCTATTTTGATTTCCGGTGCCTGACCCTGTGCGGATGGTATATGCACAGTCTGGTCAGCACTAAGACCTGTGAGCGGTTTGAGCATGGTCAGTGAAGATGGAATCGTTGGAGCTTTTAGTGTTGAGCTCTAGAAAGTCTCTGCTGAACATGTGTTAACTATGATTTTTTCAAAGGCTTATTTATAACTTGGCCAAATTTGGGCAGATTTTCTTGGGGATGGTAAAAGTCCGCTCTCTGAAACAAAGGCCATCCTCCTGCCAAATTCCAAGTCCCTACACCAAAGTATGGGGGGCATTAGAGCATTTCAAAGAAAAGATCTCAAGAATTTTTCAAAATGGGCAAAACAATATATTTTTTCCTAGCCTTGTCTTCAGAAGTGACTGAACCATTTTGGCTGAAATTTTCCAATCAATCAATATCTATCAATCAACTTTAGGCAGACACTCAGCATGGAAAACTTCAGCCCAAATGGTTAAAGTTTGGTAAAGTTATAAAACATCTGAAAACAGGATCTTATACTGGGAAGTATTGAGCAATCTTAAGCATAGACAGTAATACCAACCCCTCTAAATCTATAGTGGAGCAGTGTCAGCTAGTCTTGATGAAGATGTTGGAAGTTTTTATGCCAGTGGTGTGTAAATGTTGACACTTTGAGGTGGACAGCTGTAGCATGGCCTCAATGCAGCAGAATTCTTATATGCAAGGCAGTGGCTGGAGAAAATCAAGTCCCCCTCATATTCATATTTCCTGTTTTCTTGCAAACACACACAGAGAGAAAATATTTCCTTTCTCACTGATGCATGTTAATGCAACACAATAGAATCACATGTTCGGTGTAAAACCTCCTTACTGTCAAAGCAAGTGAGCTTGCGTGTTGAGTGTAGGTGTCTTGACAAGTGATCTCCCTCCCTGTCGTTCTGACACCTAACATATATGTATGGCACCTATCATATATGTATTGGCTAACACCATGCTCACTGTTCAAAGTGAACACAGATGAGGGGAGTTCAGGAGATACTTACTGAGTGACTATGTAAGTGAGTAAGGAGATACTTACTGTAAGAGTACTGTCATAATATCCTGACTAGGACTTTGGAACAACAAAAGAAAAGCGTATCCCCTTATAATCCATCATTGGGTTTACACTGAGATCACTGCACGATGGAACAGGACTCTCTGGAGGTTAACCAGTGCTGTATGGATGCCCATGCAGTGCAGACCTGACTCACTGGGCTTATGGCAATCTACCTCACTGTTAAGTGTCTGATTTAAGGAGCATCCAAGAACCTGGCATACAGACTGTAGCACAAAACCTATTAGTGTTGGTTGCAGAGCAGAAATAAGTAGTTTTCCTAATTTTGCAAGGGGGAAGAGCATATCTTTCCCTTGCAAAGTAACCAGTACTGAAATAAAGCATCTTTATGCTGGAGGACAAGTTGCTCAGTGTTAGGAGATGAGGTAAAGAACTGCACAGAGAACTCCATTTGCAATGCACAAGTGTCACTGGTTCTACAAAATGCAGGAACTGTGCTACATGTTTGAGTGCTGTCTTCTGGGACCATATCTATTAACTGGCTATTTACATAAATATGCACATATAAAGCTCTCTTGTAACAATTTCAGTGTAGAATGTCTTTCCCATGGTTTAAAATGCTTAGCAAAGTTGGCCAGTGCTGCCTTTTACTGCCTTCCTTTTCTGGATCCCAGTGATACCCTATCGTGTGTAAGCTGCAGTGGATCCACAATGCTAGTACCTATTCTATAACCCTTCTTCTCGTTTTGTTTTCCTTCCCTCACAGGCGTGCTTTATCTTTTCTCTGGTCAAGTATACACCTCTGACCTACAACAAAGTTTACACATACCCTGACTGGTCCATCGGCCTGGGATGGGTTCTTGCCCTTTCCTCCATGACCTGCATCCCATTGGTCATGGTCATCCGCATTGTAAAGTCGGATGGCTCACTTATTGAGGTAAGAATGACCACACAAATGGTGGGTGGATGCTTACTTCGTGTGTGTGTGTGTGTGTGAGACACAGAGAGAGAAAAGTTTAACATTTAAGAGTAAACGGTGGCTTCAGTTGGGGGCCACTCTCTTTGTATCTGCTTTGTTGATTTGGCTCCAGGAAAGTTATTTTAACATACAGTGGATAAAGCAAGCCACACTGGAGAGGTACAGTATGGCCCACACTTGTCCATGTCTTTAATATGGAAGGGCTGCCAGTGGAGAATACAGACCACAGCATGCTAGCCTCCACCTTCTCCATCTTGATAAAGATGAAGCATGGCATGCTGTGACATGAAGCTGTCTTCTATGCCAGCTGCAGCCTGATCCATGTTATGCAAAATAATCACAACCCTTGGAAAGCTGCCATTGTGGCTCTTGGTAGGGCAAAGTTGAACATCTCAGTTTAACCAATATAAATAATCACTTTTCAGATCATCTTTCAGCAAACATTATGAATCCTATCTAACTAGATTAAAACCTAAGCCTTCTGGCCTCAAAAAAAAAAAAATCAGCTGATATGACGTGCCTTCCATGGCTGTGTTCTTTTTGTTCAACAAAATGTTCCCTCTCTGAGCACAGTTGTTTTTTAGTCTAGTTTCACACAGAAACTAAACTATGCCTATGTGCACCAGAGTTCAGTTTGCAAGGCAAAGGGAGCTCACCACACACTTCAGTAGGAAAATAGTAGAGATAAGATTAGAGATAGAAAAGTTAGAGAGAAGGCCAAATCTAAATCTGCACCAAAGAACCCATGTAATTTTGAGGATATTTAGTACCACATGTGAAGGCCATGCCTGACCTTATCTCTAGTCAAAAGCTTAATTCCCGAATTTTAGGAAAACTCTTCTGAACTTTTTGGCTCTTCTCTCTCTCCCTCTCACGGTCTAAAATGACCCAAATGAAACACTGGCTCCAAACGCTCCCAAACTTTGGGGAAACTTGGATTCAGATCTGAACTTTACAGCTTGGTCCTGCCTCTGGCAGATACATGCTTAGTGCACCTCAAAGACAAGTCAAATACATTCTTCTATTCGCCCTTCACAGTATTTCTTCATCTTCTCTTCAAACTGTGCTTTTTTTCAGTAAAGAAAGTAGCTTTTCCCAGAGCATAGTAATACACTTGAATGTGTGCGTTCTCGAAGTTTTAATGGTCTTTTTAGTGATGGCTAGGACATTTTGTTGGGGCGTGTTATTTTCCTGCCTGCATTCTCACCATCTATTCAGAAAGAGGGCTAAAAGTAGCCAAAGCTGCCTTTTAAGATCATCTTAGGAGGTAACCACTTGTCAAATGCCATCTAGTTCCTTCTTTGTGAACTGAGACTAGAAGAAAGGTCTCAGCTTGCCAATGAACTACCCTGTTTAAAGGCAGGATTGTTTTCAATACAATGAGAGAGAACACATGAATCGGAGGAGACTCTATAGCACTGAAATTCAACTTGTGTTTAGTCAGGCTCTCTGACTTCCCATCCAGTGAGGCCCTAGTGCTCCTTCTTGAATAAAATATTAGGGTTGGAAAGGATATTCTGGGTCCTGTAGGCCGCAATGCTACATAGCAATAGTACAGTTTCCATTAATCTTATAGCATCCCTGAATATCTGATGGCTAAGTCTAGCCTCAAATACCTCTAATGATGGTAATTTCACAACTTTTCTTGAATTACGAGCATGCTTTTTCTCTGATCTCCAGTCCTTAAAGATACTGGGTTTCATTCTCTAAGTGAGGCCAAGGGCTCAAAAATAGACTGAACTTTTACATGGATAATGAGATAGTTACATTAGATAGGATAAAAATAGCTTTAGGGGGATATATATCCATATGCTTCAGAGCATACATCAACTATGAATTGAAGGGGATAAGGAAGAAAGCTCCCTATTGGGCAGGTTGGTTAGCATCTGATATCAGCCATTCTTGGACTAAGTGGACTACTGGTCTGAGCTAGTAGGGTATTTACTAATGACCTAGCCTAATTCAGATCCTGGGTTTAATGGTAAAGATGAAAGTGGACTTCCTGACAGTGAACCAGATTAATTGGTAGAGTCACAGGAGCTGCTCGTGGTAGTAAGCACTATGCTTGCGGATAAGCAGCTGCGAGATGAAGCCCTTCATAAGATGCTCAAGAGCGTCTGAAGCGAACTATGTTTTATGACAACACACTTTTCTAGACTCTTGCTCTTCGGCTCGACGTGGCCATTTTTCTAACCCTTGGCTGTTGCTCTTTCCCCTTTCAGAGAATAAAAGCAGTGGCTGCCCCTAAGGAAATGAATCGGTGGGCCAAAGAAACAGAAAGCACCACCTCGTTCTGCGCCAATGGAACTCCTAATGGTGGATTGATTAAGCCAACTCATGTCATTGTGGAGACTATGATGTGAGCTCTCTCTGTGAGAGGATAAACCTGCTTTAACTGCCATTTACTAACCATAGATTCTCATAGGACCGGGTTTACAGAGCTTTATATTTGCACTAGGATTTATTTTTATTTCTCACAGAGAAAGTTGGTTTTTGTGGTGTTTTTTCTCTCTCTCTTTTTCTTTTTTTTTTACATATTTTGTAAGGTAATCACAGCAGAAGCCTCGCACAGGAGGCAGCTTTCATATCAGACTAGACCTATTACAGGAATTTACTACCATTGGGGTTTTTAAACACATGTTAATAGCTCTCTGAATATTATACATCTTATCACTTGAAATTGATTTTCTTGCCAGCAATATATTCAAATCTCAGAAAGCCATTTTTTAGGTGCTGGTGTGGTTGGGAACAGGGTAAACAAACCCTAGAACTCATGAGTGAGCTCTGTTGAGAGAATTGCAAAAAAAAAAAAAGAAGCCAAAAGGTGGATGTTGCTGCAAGGGATTGGTTTTCAAAGGTGTAGTGCTTTCGTCCTCTGGTTCAGGCAGGGTGAATGACCGATTTCTGAGTCATGATGCTACCTTTGCTATGGTCAATATAAATATATATATATATATATATGGTCAGCTGGAGGAGAGAAATGTATGGGGGTGGGCAATGCAGTTAGGAATTAAATACCCAATCAGGACACCTGTCCCTCCTGAGCAGCATGTAAAAAGTCCAGTCACAGTAGAAGAGAAACTACTTATTGCCTACAGAAGACATCTTGCCTGAGGAAGGAGTTTTGTGCACAGACCCATTAATTTTCCAGCATGCCGTAGGTTAGCTGAGATGTTACTGGTTTAAACTTACACTTTGTACGAACAGAATGGTAGGAGCAGCCTGTGTGATAGTGAAGATCTGAATTATGGAGAGGCAGCATTCGTGTTTTATGGAATTTAAAATATATATGTATTTTGTAAACTGCTGGTCTTTGGTAGCAAAAGAAAAATATATTGAGGACAATGATCACACCAAGCTTAACACCCAGCATGTTATTCATTACCACAGGAGCAAAGCAGCCTAGGTATATATTGTACACCAGGCATTTCCAGCAGGCACATTTTTAATAATAGTAATTAAATTAAGAGAACAACAATGCTTAGCACACCCCTATGCGCTGTTCATCCATATACCTCAAAGTGGTATCCCTGTGTATTTATTTTACTATTGTTGTTGCAGTTGGGAAAGCAGGCCCTGGAGGGAAAGTGACTTGTCCAAGGTTACAGAAACTCAGTGGCAGAGGTAGGGCTAGAACTCAGATCTCCTGACTGTCTTGCCCCAGAGGACCATACTATCACCATTTTGTTTTTTGGGTAATGCATTTATCAGGGACAAAAAAGGGGGAATTCCACCTACTGTAAACTAGGGCTTTATGTAAATTAAGAGAAGTAAGTATGTAATTTTTCTTTGGTTAAAAAACATTACATACCATTCCAATTTAGACTTAAAAGAAAGCATTTAATGCAGTAGAAAGCTGCTAAACAGTTTTTAAAGCTGGATGGCTGTAGGTAAATTGATCACATAGGCCAGGTCAAGAATTTCAATCGAGATTTGCTCCGTGAAGAATTTCAAACATCTGGATAGATCTTGTTTCACAAACTTCAATACATGCTGAGAAGAGGCTCCCTAAAGAAATCCAGCCCTTTCCATTTGGGTACTGTACTTGGGAGATAATCCTAATTGTAGTACCACAGTTAGGCTAGCCAAAGGGATCTGGGGGGAGCTTCAGCAGCCGAGTCTGTACCTGCTTATACTATTGCCAGTTCAGTTTGTCCATGGGTAGATTTTTGCAGTTTAAATGGGAACATATCCAGTTCTTAACATTCCTACATGGGTCATTTTAAAAAAGATGTCCCATGCATTAACTGTATGCAGTGTTGTTACAGCCATGTCGGTCCCAGGAGATTAGAGAGACAAGCTGAGTAAGGTAGTATCTTTTGTGGGACCAACTTCTGTTGGGAAGGGAGATAAGCTTTTGCGCTACACAGAGCTTTCCTTCAGGTCAGGCACTAACTGGTCATTGCAGCAGAAACTTGTAGTGTTAGTATTAATGTAAAATGGAAGGGGCAATTTAGAAATAAGAAAGGGACCAAAAAAAAAAGTGTCTTGTATAGTTGGAGAGTCTTTATAATTTGCGTCTCTGTTTTTAAGTCAGAGGGGCTGAATTCCAGCAACAAAAACAGCCAACACCACATTAATTTTGTTTTCTTTTCCAATTACTGTATTATGAGAGTTGCAGATGAAACACTTATAATTTGTTATGGCAACTATCACATCTCGTGCTGAAGGTAAAAGCCACCCTGAAGCTACTCGGGGTGTCTTGACCACCTCAACAGAAGAATTTTCTAAGCCAACGTGATTAAAATTGGATTTTGAGAACTTTAGTGAAGAAAAAAAACAATTAAAATCAATTCCTGTTTTAAATATTGTTTTAACCTTTTGCTATCAAAAGGCAACTAAATTAAAGCTAAAACTCTGTCAAACATGTTATGTATTCCAGCCTTTGTGGAAATGGAGAAGGCCTGAGTCAAAGCCTGCTGCAGTCAATGGAAGGATTCTCAGTGGGCTTTGGATCAGGCCTTTTGTCCTTCTCAAAATCTTGTCATACTTTGTGTATAGGCACAATGGCATGAGTTAAGGTGAGAATAGCAACCCCATAATTAAATTCCTCATTTCAGTTAGTGTAAATTACAGTAACATATTTTGTTATAGACTCACATTTTGTGTGTGCACACATACTCTAGAAGGGGTACATCTGAGAGAGACACTAATTAGAAAAATAGTTTGAAGGTTGAGATTGAGATTTCATGCTTCACACATGGTGGAGGGTGGATTTGCATTAGGAACCAGAGGGTTAATACTACACCTTTAAAACTACAAATAAACAAGAACGAGAGCCCAGCGCCATTTTGACTCAAACTGTGCCATTCAAATCAGTCGCTTCCATGTTCCAAGTGAAAGTGTCTCACACACATATGCAATGACCTCACCGAAGTTCTGCTGGTGTAAGGTTCGCTGGCCCTGACTGTGCTATTCATCCTGACCGCAAGAAAGGGCCGGATTCATGAAGAGCTATTAAATCATCCTTTCTCTTGAACAGTCACCCAGAACAATGCTGGTCACCATCCCACGGTTTTGAGCACCAGCGAGCCTATTCACAGTTTAGAATGTTTCCTAATGCTTTATCTACATTTTACCTGGTGGTAAACTTGCATTTCAACATTATAGTCTGCTAAATTAAAACAAAAGGTAAAGGATTCTTTCAAGTTCATATTTTCTACGTATTTATGGTTGCAATGATAACTAATTTTCTAATTTACTTTGTAGCAATGTGTGACCTATTTTACCTGCAGCGGAGGCACTAAATATCATGACTAATCATAGGTGAACTGATTTCAGTTAAGGGGAAAATACCCCAGATTGGCCTCTTTTTACATTTCATGCACCTTTGTACTTTGTGGTTTCTTCTGGGTTTGGAAATGGCAATATTTCCAACTTCACTGAAATCAGGTACTGAAAATTTCATGGGGGAAATCTTTCGCTCATAAGATTTTCAGACCAAAGCAGTGCAGATAATCAAAACTTATGATTCTTATCTAAACCAAACCTTCCAAACTCTTGCAGTCCACCTGTCACTCACCTGATCTCATTAAAAGTCACAAAGTATGATAACGTAACCAGTAGACTGTATTGGTACAACATGGTTTCATGAACAGAATTTGTTTTGGTTCTCATTAATTTTCCTTTTCACCTGTCTATTGGTGACTCTGGTCCAAACAGATCTATGAGCTTCCATATGTTCTCACTGAAGTTTGAGATATGGAAACCAATATGGGTCAGTTCCTATGCAGCAAACAAAAATAAAAAAGGACAGTAGTTCTGTGTACCACCTTAACATATGTTGCTATCCAAACTGCAGTGGAAGGTCAGCTCTTGAATGTGGGTTCGGGAAGTGGCTCAGCAAACGTGAGCTGCACTGGTGCACTTGCAAAAAAAAGTGCGGCCTTCTAATCGTTTTAACAAGACAACGGCAGAGAATTTTATATCGTCACTGTAATCACATGATCAGTGGCTAATCAGAACTCCGGCTTGTTTTTAATGTAGTATGTGCCCTAATTGCTCACCTGCAGATGGACATGGCTACCCAGCCTCTGTCCCAAATAGCTCTAGATCTGAAGAAGGGTGAAATGCCCAGCAGTCAGTAGTACGTTGTTGAGCAGAATTGACAATTTGGTAATGTCTTCGTCATAAGTGTGTTCAAATCCTGTACCCACTGATAACAATAGCTTAACCACCGTTTGTCTTCAGTGGGAGAGGGACTGAACACCTGGAATGACTGGTTATGAAGCCATGGCTTGTGGTCGCTGTGGGTCAGGTAGGGAGACAGTGTAAATAAAGGGTTAAATAAGAGGTGTATTGAGTGGAGGGCACAGACTACTAAAGTGTTTCAAGTGCACTGGGAAGAAAGTTGGCCATCACCTAACACCAAGGAAATTCAGTGCATTTGGCACACTCCCTGTAGCAAACAACTGTTTTCAATTCACATCTCAAATGAGACCCCCACCACAATTAAAAACAGCCTTAGGGGAGGTGCTGCTATGTCCAGTCTTCAAAGTATTTACAGCATTCTTGGGAGATGATCTGATCAGGTATTGCTGGCAAAGAAAAGTGTGCAAAGAAAAAGCTCTTTTGAGTGCACTGCAGCAACAATGCCACCCCACCTTGTTTGATGATTGACAAGAGTGCACTGAAGTAGGGTGGGACAGGTTAGCCAGTATTCATAGGCGAGAAGCCTAAACCTCAAGGAGCCAAGATCACCTCTTCTTAACTAGGGATGGGGTGAAATAAAAGCTCAGAACCAACCACCCTGAACTTTGGGGAACGTAGGTTAAAATTCATGGCTGCCTCTGTCATAGGCTGAACTGAAATCCCAGGTCCAAAATACCCCCAAAGAGAGTTCAGATATGGATCTGAAGGTCACAGCTTGGGCCCATTTCTTCCAGAGTTAGATGCCAAAGCCTTGTATTTAGAATTAAAGGTTATTATTAACTCTCAGCTGAGAAGCGTTCAGGAACTACTAGGACACAACCTTTAATCTGTTATATTTATTCATTTTTAATCTAGGATGAACACGCTCCTAATTGTACTAATTTGTTTACAGAGGAATTAATGTTAAATAGGACACGTTGGGTTTACAGCTTTGTGATATATTACTCTTTAGTTTATTCTGAGCTACTCTAAGGAGGACATCAAAGCATCAGATCAAATCCCTAGCTACAAAGATAAACACGACTCAAGCATCTGTGGACACAGAACATAAGAAAACAAGCTGAGTGCATAAAATAAGACCTTGATCCTGCATGCCTTGGTCAGGTTAAAAAGCTCACTGATTTCAATGGACAATTTAATTTCAGCAGAAATTTTGCCCAAGACAGTGCCCAACCACGACTACAGCTGGTCCAATTTTTTTTTTTAAAAGGAAATCCCCCCTGCCAAATGGAAAATGTTTCATTCAAAGAGTGCTAGTTTTTCCAAAGGCAAACAATGTCAAAACATTTTCAGTGCCCCCCCCCTTTTTTAAAAAAAAGTGGAAATTTTGAAAAAAAATTCTTCAAAATTTCCATAAAAACATCAAATAAAACCCAGGTGGCATTTTTCAACGATTTCTAATCAAAAGCTAAAACAAGATATGAAAAAGCTTAACCAAAATATAGCTTTAGAGTTGGTTTTAAACCTGGAATCAAGCAAGGATCAAAGTCTGTGAAGGCAGGTTGAAAAATGTGTGTGCAGGGGGGAGGGAGTCACAAAACTTTTGTTAATTTAGCCTTCCATTTTTTCCCCATTAAAATTAGAATTTTAGGCCCAATCAGAGGGTACAGGAGAACTAGGAAAAGAAACTGGATTTCTTTAGCCTGGCACTTGTTGTCTGTAAATCTTCTGCAGCTGAGGTGTGAAAAGGTTTTTACAATAGACAAAGTGGCAGAACACCAGTGTTGAAAAGGTGTTGGGAGGCTGAATGTTGTGGGACAGATTGAGGTGGGTCCATCATTTGCTCTTGTCGAAGAACTCAAGGATGTTCTCTTAGCATTCGATTAATTGAAGTACTGCTCTGAAATGCTCATTGTTTTGCTCGGATTTTTTTTTCAGTGTGATGTTGTGATTGTTACCTGATAGGTCTCCAGGGACTTCAGATAGTAAGCAGTGGTCCATCTTGTTTGATGTATTTAGCTAAAAACAGTGGTGGTGGTGATTTTTGTTTTTTATTTAATTTCCTAATAACTGTAACTACAGTATGTGATAAGTAGCACGTGGAAGAGTGACGATGTTGAAGTCACCTGACCTTTTTAAAAACTTTAACAATTTTTAAAAAAAATTCTGGTTTTGTTCTGAGCAGGACTGTTTGTATTTGAATAAGATCCTGGAGTGTAATTCAATCCTTAAAACTAGCCTTTGTGTATACAGTAAATGTTTGTATTTTGCAGTATCTGTTTTGATTTTTAGATAAAAATGTATATTGATATTTTTAAGTCATCTTTGCTTTTTTAGATGGAGTTTGTAATCACCTTATAACAGAAAATAAATTTTTCCTTTATAAATTAAACGCATTTGTCAGTTATTTTTAAGATTCAAATAACAGGAGACAACCTGTTATGCTCTGTGCTTATTGCAAAATACGCAAAATGCATGCTATGCTTTGGAATAGATTTCAGAATAGAATACTTTCAAATGACCATATTTCATTCAATTGGGTCCTCACTGCTACACTACTATTAGACTTAGCAATCGGTGAACTCACCTCCAAACGTGTTCAAGTTCCAAAGACAGTGGATGGTTATTCGTACTCACTCACTCAAAATTTTCGGTGACTTCCCCCAATCTGCTTCATTTCAGCCTTGCTTAAGTCTTCACAACTTCCTTGATTTGGATTCTCTCACTCCAATGCTTCCCTTAATTTCAGCTCTGCTCCCTCCATCCTCCCTCGCCCCCACCCTCACTCACTTTCACCAGGCTGGGGCAGGAGGTTGGGGTGCAGGAGAGAGTGAGGGGTGCGGGCTCTGGCCAGGTGATGCCTACCTCAGGCGGTGGTGCAGTGGGGCTAAGGCAGCCTCCCTGCCTGCCCTGGCCCCGCGCCACTCCCGGAATGGCCAGGTTGGCCCTGCAGCCCCAGGGGCAGAGGGCTCTGCGTGCTGCCCATGTCTCCAGACACTGCCCCCGCAGCTCCCATTGGCTGCAATTCCCGGCCAATGGGAGCTGCAGATTCGGGGCATGGGCAGTGCATGGAGACCCCCAACGCCTCCCTGCACCTCCTGGGGACGCAGAGAGCCTGCCTTAGTCGTGTTGTGCCGCCAGATTTTTAGCTGCCTAAAATCTCCTGGTTTGGCTTCAGTAGCCTCCAGGAGATAAAGCCCAATTCCAGGAGACTCCCGGCAAAACCAGGAGGGTTGGCAACCGTACTTAGAGGCAGGACAGGCATACTTGTGTTCATTGGTATCAAATGCTGCAGAGAAGTCCCGCAGGTGAATATGAATGCATTTCCCTTGTCTGTGGAGGAAATAGTATAAGGAGAAGAGAAGACTGGGGGAGGGACATAACCTTTTACATACTGAAAAACTGTGTTACAATGAAGACGGTAAAAATTGTTTTTCTTAACCTCTCAGGATAGGGTGAGACACAATGGGCTTAAATTGCAGCAAGGTTGGTTTCGATTGGACAGTAGGAAAAGCTTCTGAACTGTAATGGTAGTTAAGCACTGGACAAATTGCTTAGGGAGACTGTAGAATCTCTGTCGCTGGCGGTTTTTAACAACAGGTTTGGGTACAACAGATGTCCCACAGATTGCACTGGCTTCCGGTTCCAGTCAAAGAGCTCTTCATGGTGTTCATCTGTAAGTTTTATATGACTCTAGGTACATTAGAGATTCTTGCCCATCCTAGTGCCATGACACTTGAGCTCAGCTGGACTGTTTCGATAATCCTCTAGATTTGAATGTCTGGGCAAGTGGAGACAGGATCTGAGTCTGACCCCACATCTGTGTAAATCCGGAGTAACTCTAGTGAAGCTAATCAAATTAGCTGAAGGTTAGGGGTCTGTTAGAGGAGTGGGTGGTTGTGGTTCTGTGGCCCGCACTGTAGAGGAGGTCAAACTAGATGACCATGATGGTCCCTTCATATTGCTATTCCCAGAAGACTGTGGCGGGTGCCAAACATCCCGCCGCCGAAATGCTGCCGCAGAGAAGCAGCAGCAGGAAGAAGCGTCATTGCCAAAATGCTGCCGAGAAACAGACAACACGTTGGGACCCCTGGCTTAGACTATGAGACTAGACTTCTGCACATGGGCTTAGTCAGAGACATATGAAGGATTAACAAGAAAGTCCATGCTCTTAAATTGGCATTTTTTTAATACAGAATTAGATACATACCATGGTTTGAAAATAACACATAGAACACGTCTGGTTCACAGTGAATTCAGTAACAAGTGGAGAAGAATTGCACAATCAGTTATTTCACAAAGGGCTTGCAGCCTTGGATAATCAGATCAGCTCCTGTTTGCTCTTTCCAAGAAAGGGACTAGCTACATGGATATGTTGGAGTTCAAACAGAAGAAAATCATTTCAGGAAAGGCCTAGGGCCTGTGTTATACAGAGGTCAGATGAGGTGATCACAGTAGTCCCTTTGGGCCTTGGACTCTCTGAACTGTCCTGTACTGTTCTGGTGTTTTCAAGTGAAGTTTGTGAGCTAAAAATATGGAACATGTGCCCATCTTCTAACAAAGATTACTGGACTTGTTTGACATGGAAACTGCATCCAACACAACCAGTCACTCTCAGAACAGAGTTATATTGGGTATTACACTGCGGGGCATGAAATTAAATGAATTGAGCGCCAGAGGAAAGAACTACCAGCCCTGGAGATTTGCATGCTGTTTATCCCCTGAGCAGTAGAGCACAGGCAGTCTAAGGGCTAGGCCCCACCTCACCAGCACACTGGCTCACAGAAGGAGGTGGGCCTCCAGCCATGTGAGTGCAGTTCAGTTTCCACAGACCACTCAGTTCCGGGCCTCTCAGTGAGACAGACAATGAGGCGACAGACAAGTTTCCACATCACACATTCTAGGGAATGAACCATGAGAGTTCACCAGTTTATTTCACATTTCTCTGTGAACTACTATTCTAGGGCAGCAACTGTCTGCCGCTACTGTCTTCAGCAGCATTTCAAATGGCAACCTAGGGAGAAGAATTTCATATATTAACATCCAGCCGCACACGTTTGTCTGTCACCTGCCTACCACCGAGCCAGACATCTCAAACTGGGCATTGATGGAGCCCTCTAAGCCTCTGACCCCTTTCACTTTAAGTGCCTCCTTAGTTTTCCCCACCTCAGTGTCCTCCACACTCATTTCTGAGCTTCTGGTGACCCAAGCCTCAGTCATAGCACAGGCAAGGGTTGCTAGAGAATGATAATCCCTAAAAGCAGCCCACGTCAAGGAGCCGCTGTTGTGCGGTTTGTGTGACACCCAGATGGCTGAATACTTACCCAACGAGAATGTCCCCAAATCCGAGGAGTCTCTTCACATGACCTTGTAAAGCTACCACCACCACCCAGCAGTGAGGTTTGTAAATAACATTTTGTAGTACAATGGGTATCTTATTACAGGGTAGGTGCCTCCAACGTTAAGACAATCTAAAGCATTCCAGATGAGCTGCCAGATGTGATAACTTTTACCTTGTGTACAATGGAGGCAGGGTTAAGAGGATACTGAACTGCTGACACCACATTTGCTCCATTACACCTAACAAGATTTTATGCAATGCATACAGAGCCCTCTGGTTTACCCTGCATGGCTTTGGCAGTTGATTCCAAGTATTAGGTGCCGAACATCTAAAGGTCTTTGTTCTAAGGAATTTGCTACCTAGAAAGACAGACAAAGATCACAGATAAGAGCTGTTTACTGTAGCAATGACCTGACCACAAATATTTCCATAAAAAGATTAGGTAAATTAAGAGGAATGATCACAGGTCAATCAGGGGCTTGATCTTGCAAGGCACTGATCCTTCTGGGCCTGATCCGGCAAAGTATTTAAGCATCCAACTGCTCCTACTAACTTCAAGGGAACTACTGATATACTTAAACCTTGAGACACTTAACAGCCTAACAGTGTGGCTGTAAAATTATACTGCCCAAGGCAACAAATTGAATAAGCCTTAGGTTATGTCTACACTGGAATTAGACACCCACAGCTGGCCCGTGCCAACAGGCTCGGGTTGCGGAGCTGTTTAATTGTGGTGTAGATGTTAGGGCTTGGGCTGCTGACAGACCTCTGGGACCCTCCCACCTTTCAGGTCCTAGAGCCCAAGCCCAAACTTCGACTCCAGGTTCTGTTGGCACCTAACTGCAGTGTAGACATACACTTCGTGGCTTGGGCAGCAAAATTGTACAGCCACACGTTGTTAAGTACATGCTGTAGGGTGACCATCTTTTCAAAAGGCAAAAGCGGGACACATGCAGAACTCCGTGGCTCTGCCCCCGCTCTGCCCCTTCCCCTGCGGCCCCGCCCCCTGACCAGGCCAGAAGCTGGAGCTGTGGTAAGAACTGCCCAGGGAGCCCAGGCTGCTGTGGGCAGCCCCAGACCCTCCACTTGCCCTGGGTGGGGGACTGGTTGCCCGAGAGCAGTCCCCAGCCCGGGGCACATGCCCAGGGTAGGCAGAGGAACCCGGGCTTCCCAGGTGGCTCTTACTACTGCCTGGCTCTGGCTTCTGGTCTGGCCAGGGGGCGGGGCTTCTGGGTGAGAGGAGGACTAAGGGGCAGGGCCTCATCTTGAGTGTGGGGGGCGCGCTAAGGCCCACCTCAGGCCCCTCCTGCCCCCACCAGGAAGAGGCTGGCACCACCCTGAGCCTCGGGCAGGTGGAGAACGGCGCCACAAGTGAGCCAGGAGAAATACGATCCTGGAATAATTCAGCCTTGAACTCTGCATTTCAGGACTGTCCCACCCAATTCAGGATGGGCGGTCACCTTAGTCTCAAGGTTTTGAATCAGAGGGTTTTACCTAGGTACAGAAGAGAGTCATCTACTTTAAGCTTACTGTGCCAAATTATACTAAAGACCGAGGGCTGCTTTTAGGGGCAGCAGCACATGGAGTATCATAGGCAGCCATTACAGATGGGCAAGATCTGGAGTTGGATCCCATGGATGTTGAAAAACACTACATTCTGGGATTGAATTTGTGCCTTTCTCTCAAAGCACTCCCATTTCTCCAATCGGAATACTATTTAAGATCAAATCCAAACTCACAAAGCTTTTCAGTCAAATTTACAGCCAGATTGGGTCTGGTCCCAACGTGGGTGTGTAGGGAGGGTTCAAGAAGCCTTTACCCACAAGGCCCAAAGACAAGAGAAAGACCCTGTCCTGAGGTGGGGGAAGGGAAGGGATTTCTCCATCCTCACGGCTCAGGAAATTGAAATCTCCACAAAGGGGAAGGGAGGAGAAGGGAAGGCCATGTCCCTAATCACCTCTGCATTGGCCTGCTCTGAGTGTACAAATGTGCACGTGAGGGAGACGGCTGGACCATCCAACCAGCCAGTATTATCTGGATTCTAACCTTTAGCAGAAATACACTCAAGAACAAGGCCAGATGCATTTCACTTGTTTTTATTTAATTAAAAAAAAACAAACAAAGTCATTGCAATCCCAGTTAAATACAGAGATTTACAAATAGGTCCAAAACAGGACTAAAATATTCTTTGAAATGCTGTACCTTTAAATATTGTGCTTTCATAGATACATAAGAAAATTAGCATATAAAAATACTTTACAAGGAATACACTCTAATATATGGATAAAAATACACATTTAAGTAATGCATTTCAGTTTAGTACCATTCAAAATGCATAGGAAGGGATACAAGGACCAAGTTGTTGTTTTTTTAAAGCCTTTTTAATAAAAGTCTTCATTAAAAACCCATTAGAAGCCGCACTGAGCTTCTGCCTTTTAGAATATTGCATATAAAAACACTTTCAGCTGTACTGTTAATGCCTTGCAGTATCAGTTATGGCACATTATCTAGTTATGGCAGCAATGGTATGGAATATTGCATACGTGAGACAAGAATGGTTGCACCTACAAATAGCTGGATGTGAGAGACAGTTGCAAATTTGCCTAGAGTACAGACATGGGAATTAGTCCTGGCTCAGCCTTGGTGGAACAATGAACATTTCAAAGCTACATGGCATCCCGAATACACAACAACAACAAAAATAAATAAATAAAATGAGAACAAGCAGAAGGAGGAGACCCATTTCCACTAAGCAGGGATCTTTAAAAGGATGTCCCCTCCCCTGGGGGAAAAAACAAAACAAAACAGGCCCTTACGACATCCGTTAAAAAATAAATCATAATAAAGTGCAAATATATGAAACACGGAGCAGGCAATCACATTTGCCATGTGAAGAAACTGACACGTGCCAGCAATTTTGTGTTTGGAGATGAGAAAGGAAGAGATCATGCCCTTGGTTGCATCGCAACTAGTTTGCTGCAGGCAGATTTTTAAACCATTTCAAATATCACACCCATATCTTCTACAAGGAGCTGGGCTGAGTGCAGGGAGACACAGGGTGAGGAAGAGCTACCGAAAAAGGCATCGTGCTTACTAACCACAGAGAGGTTAACGATAGGTAAAGGAGGGCAGCTATGGCAGACTACAGGGAAGTGTCCAAAACCTATCAGAGACATTTAAAAAAGTGTACACACTTGTACTTGCACTAAGGTGACCCAATCTGGGGCACATATGGGAACTGGAAACACAACATCAATCTAGGAGAGGGCTTTTCGTGCCAGCATTTGGCAGGAGACCACAAGGATTTATTTATTCAAAACACTGGAAAAAAATAACCCTGAAGTTGGCCTGAGATGAATGTTGTTCAGCTGTTTACTTGGAGGAACAGCCCAGGTTTTCAATGAGAGGAATCTCTGAGATGGTCTATGTGAACAAGAGAGCTAGTGATTCAGGACAGCCATTCAGTGGCTTTCCTGGATGCTGTGTTCTACTAAGTGCTCTGTAAAAATGTATGAAGACAGACAACCAAATTGTGTCTTGGAGTCAGCAATGGGGGCAAAGTGCTTCCTTGCATTTCCAAAGGGGTGGGTGACGAGGGTGGGATTTCCAACTGGAGAGAGACGTTGATCCATCAAAAGGATTTAGCTTTCAAAAGAAAGTGCATCTAGCCATTCGCAAGTGAGTGTTGAGTTGGGGTTTAAATGGGACTTAGTGCTGCCCGGTGTGGGTGAATGTTCAGGTGGAAAGGGGATTTTCAAATGTCAGATTTGGTGGTAGTGTTTTAAAAAGGCTATAGGATGAAGTAGCATTTCCTTTCAAAGAAACCAGGATTTGTTTTACTCTTACTGTACGTGATTAAGAAAGCAAACAACAACGCAAAAAAAAAATAAATAGCACCATGTGTGTTTACAGGATGGCCAAGTCCTTCAGAATGACGGCGTCAGAGGAGCAAGGAGATGATCCACCCTCCATGAACCCACGCACAGTGAAAGCTCAGGCCTACTGGAGCTGAACGATGACTGAAGGTTGCCCTGCCAAAGGTGAATTACCCTGGATGCTGTTTTCTGCTATCAGCAGCCCATTTTACCATTTGCATTAACCAAGGTCCACACTGCTCATCTGGTTTAGCTTGCACCTTCAGAGCAATGTCTGGTGGTCTAGGAGTCACAGCTAATGGCAGACCCACCTGCAAGTTACACTACATACAGCATTACAGTTACCAGTGCAAAAACAGAAAACCACAATGGATACTCATCAGCTTTTCCACCATGGCAGGGCCCAAAGGTACCTTCCATTTAAATCCTCCCTCAGAGTGTCTGCATGCTTGTTTTGACCTCCACGCCCAAGGACTGTGGGACTAACTCTCCACTGGCCTCCAGTTGGGTATTGGCAGCGAGTGCCAGGGGGTTTCGACTAATGACTAGGTCCAGTTTGTCTCCTGCCTCGGAAATCAATGGAACAGCCAGACAGCAGTCAAAGTCTCTTGTTCGAATGCGATTTACCTGCGGGGGGGGAGCGAGGAGGGGATGTAGTGGGAAAGAACAAAAAAACATTTGTTAACTTCAAAATCCAAGAATGCCACTAGAACTGAGACCTGGCACTGGAGAGGAGTCCCTATGAATACAGTCTGTCTGGAAGCCCTGAAATTCCTTCAGCCCTGAATGGGATTTCCCAGGACTGTAGGAATTGCAGCAGCAGTCAGCAAACTGCACCATCTCGTCCAGCTATAAAGTCTCCTTAATAGGAAAACTATACAATCACACAAATAGAAAGGACAAAAACTCACTGAGCTTCCACATTCTGCAGGTTCAGATCTGGGGGTTTGTTTCAGGCTGATCTCTAATCCAATCTCATCAGATCTTGGATCTGGTATCAAAACAGAATCTTTGCCTGCTTTGAAGTGCTTTCCTACTCCCCAACATCCTCAAGCTGCTCCAAAAACCACAACAGATACTTCACCTATTGGCACAAGCAGCAGCAGGTGGTCTAAATTTTCATTTTATACCCAGTTTAAACCTGGTCCTAATTCTCAGAGATTCTGAGCACCTGCAGCTCCCACTGACTTTAATGGAAAATAAGGGTGTTCAGCAACTGGGAGAATCACACTTCTGGTCTTTTGAGCCACCCGCTTTTGGGTGTTTGAGCCACCCGCTCTACTGTTAGACGAACAGAACAGCATCTTTCAGCAGACATGCATTTGAGTGGATTATAGGCACCTATCTTATATACATACACAAGTTAAAAAATAATACATATGCATTGTTGAGACTGCTAGAAACAAGCTCTGTTCTTCCAGGGGTTTGCAGAGCATAGCTGGTGCACAGTGGAGGTTTCTAAAGCATTCTCTGGAGACCGCAAGCCCTTCCTGCAGGACTCGGAAGAAAGAGCCAACTTTTCTAGCTGTCTTCAGTGGAAGTTCAAACATATTCCAAGGTTAAATCACCTGCAATATGAACTACTTAGGGGCAAACGCTCCCCCTCCTGTGATTAGCCAGAGTAGATGAGCTTGAGGCAGGGATGTCCCCAGGGCTGAAGAATGGAATTTCCCTTCCGTCTCAGCCCCTCCCCCCGAGCTGAAGTAGCATCTGGAGCAAGGCTGGGCCTCCTTTACAGGGCAACGGATGGTGGATCCATATAGCTCCCTCTCACAGGCTCCTCTGGGCTCATTAAGTGCCCATGGAGCTGCACTCAATGACACAGGATGGGTTCCCCAATTGCCACGCATGTTGTAGAACTGCACTGGTTCCAAGGTAGACAGGTCCCTTCATAGCTAGGGAGGAAGGAGTGGCTGCATCTACTCCTCACTGGGAAGCGATCTAGGAAGACTTTTAGACTATCAGCTCCACGCTGAAGCATCTTCAGTGCCCCTTCTCTATGTTTTTCCCTTGGATTCGTCGATAGCAATATTTCTGCAAAGCCCTCGTTCAGCACAACCCTCAACGCCAGTACGATAGCTACAACAGAAGACAACTTTGTCTCCTTGTATGTCTACAATGGACCAAGAAGAGACATTGAAGTTGGGGATTGTCAAAGTCTCTGCTCCCGTTAAGATTTCATGCACACACACACAGAACGCTTGGCATTCACTTGGATAGCGACACATCCAGCATTCACCCGAAATGCAGCTGCAGAGCCTAATTGGTGCAAGAACGTACAAGAGGCTAATCTTTTATTGGAGGCTGAGAAGGAATAGCTGTATACCAGCCAACTGGCTACGGACTATCACAAACCCAAATCAGGCTCCCTGTGCTGCTGCCAGTTTTTCAGTTACCTGATGTACAGAATATATTTGAGCTAACTGGGGCACTGAGCCCCCGCCCCTCACTTAAAATTAGTAAAAATAAAACGTCCTTATGAGAGTTTCAAGACTTCTAATGTGGTTACAAAACCCACAAGTGGCAATGCCTTCTCTAGCTGACTGTGCTCTTCCTGTTGCTATCAGAGTTGAGCTTGCTGCACTACAGCTATGTATTTAAGTCTCTTGGAAATATCTAAAGCCAGTCCCCACCCATGCCCCATTACTATTCTCTCCTTGGTGGTCAAATATATCTGCATATGTTGTGGACCGTGTTTACTGCATATTGTATTTCGTTTCTGCAGCAAATATGCGGTGGCTCAGGAGTCATTAGGGGAAGTGAGTCTAGGAACAACACCACCTCACTTGAAGTGTGTGTTTCCTAGAATTCTCTATGCATATGCAAGATGGCTATGCACTGAACTTCAAGCAGACCATTTAAATACACATGGAACTGCACATGCTGTCTTGCTTTGACTGATGTGCCAAACTCTGGTTTACCTGAAAAGTCCCCCTGATGCACCAGGGAAAGGATGAAAAGGACTTTCCACCTAGCACTAGAGAGAAATCTAGGCTGTGCGGTTTGGAGCTGGATGCCAACTTCCCCAAAATAATGGGCGATTCTGATCTGGAGCTCAGGTCCAACTCTGCTACATAGTAATCCCTTAGTGTAACACTCTAGCTAGCTCCAGGTGCATCGTAATGCTAAGGGCTGAGTAGCTAGCTGCCTACCTACTAGCTTTTATAAAGTTGGTGTCACCTTAGTGGAATCTTACAAACTTCTCTCTTCCTCTCAGTTGCTCACTCATTTCCTATCCCCAGAGCTGTACTTTGCATTCCTTACCTGAAGGACTCTGTCGTAAGGTTTGAGGCCACACTGATCAGCCGGCCCATTGGGACGGATCATATTTACATAGACACCTTTCTCCAACAGGCCATCAGAGACACTGAATCCAAAGTCTTCACTCTCTGGGTCCTTGTGGAGTGTCATCTGCATGGAAAGGCATTGAACAAGAAATTCTAATGCAGTATGAGCCACAGATACATGAGAGAAGCATGGCAGGAACTCCTCAGGTAATGTGTACAGTACAGTAGTGTGATTCTGCTCTGGGTCTAATGGTGGGGTTTTGCTTGGACTGAGTAGTAAACATTGGTTGTCTGTTAGTATTGAGAGGAGTTTAAATTAAACTTGTGCACACACTGCCAGCTGTTTATACAGGTCACATGCTCAGATGCTTTGGCAATGGGCACATAATTCACAAACAAATCTTCTGCCCTTGCTTGGGGGAGAACAAGAACGTTTAAGTAGAGTTATAAATCACAAGTTTTTGGATAACCTCCAAAGAGGTGGACACTACCGGTCAAATAATGGAATTTTTAATCAATGGGGCAACTCATTTGCTTTGAGCTATTCTAGGCATCTTGTGTGTCCACCATGCAAGCCTATGGTGCTGAAAATCTGAATGAAATTAATTGACAAACATGAGTGTTTCCAAGCAGGTTGTTGAATTATTTACAGCTCTTACAGATTTTTAATCTTGGTGGCTTATCCAATAGCTTGCTTCAGAGACATCACACTGATGAGTTTTAACACCATTAAGAAAATGTAGTAAAATGATGAAACCACAGTCCCCTCAAAATTGGGTCAGTGTTCGCAATTTGTGACAGTGGATTGGGGTGTGACTGGGCTTCAAACTGGTACTGTTTTCGGCTTTGCGCCATTTTGGTTTTGCCCTTTTACCGCCTCAACCTGATCTGCCTTTTCCTGGATGCTCCAATGTTAGGAATTGCCAGACTGTGGCGTTACCAGCACCAATAGTGAGTAGCACCAAATTCACAACAGTGCTGGCTAGGACAAAAGAGCTCAGCCAAGAGCTGCTGCCTCCCTCCAGCTTCTCAAGGACTAGAGCATCTCCACCACCAGCCATTCAGACAGCTGACACTGAGCCAGCTGCCTGGGGTCAGATCAGAGAAGAGCTGCTGTACTGTGCTGAACCCACTTTAAGCCTCTCTCCTCCCTTCTTCCCTCCTCTCCAGCAGCAAAGGCAGCTGGTAGCTCATCCACCCCACCAGTGAAAGCAATATTTCTGCCTGACAGGAGACACATCAGGACAGATCTTTTCAATGCCCCTAGCCAGAGAAGCAGTGGCCCTCAGCCAGCGAGAGCCAGCTCAGCACACTCTATTTGGAGTCATATTTTGGCAACACAGTTGGGAATTGTGGGGTTGTGGGCACAGCATGTCCCCACAAATTAAATCCAGAAGGTGGAGGCAGTGTATTATTGCCATCACCACCACCATCAACTACCTGTGATGAATACCATCGTATTCTCCCTTTGCCCCCAAGGAACTTGGCGTGCAGTAGCTATGCTCTAGCTCAGTGTTAGACTTTGGCCTAGTCCACACTTAAAACATAAACAGAGAGGGGTGCAAGCCACAAAGCTGGCATTAGAATTCTCCCAAAGTTTGGCGATGTGGGGTAGAGATCTAGGGTCAATATGTCTGAGTCCATCTCTAGGTGGGAGCAAAGACCACTGCTGCTATGTTCTAGCTGGAGGCCACCTCCCCATTAATCTGACACCCTGAGAACATTTACCAAAGAGATAAAGGAAGTGTTAATTCAAATTGACATTTGAAATGTTTCGTTTGACCCAAATGGAATATTTTCCATTTTGGGGGGGGGGGAGAAACATTTCCTCCCCTGCCCCTTTCAGTTCAAAAACTAACCAATTTTTCTTTTCGTTTTTCAATTTGGTGGCTGATCCGGGAAAATATAAATAAAATATTGGCTCAGCTGTAGACATGGCTGACTTGTATTATGCTGGGAACAAATCACAGAAAAGTCACTTCCCAGCAGAATATTTCTCCTGCCGTCCTGTTTGGCAGGGAACATGCAGTATAAGAGCAAGTTCCCGGACAGTTTCGGGGTGCAATCCCCACCGTAACCCCAACAATGTTATTTGTAACCGAGGGATCCTCGGCGTAACACTAAAGTGACCTCTGTCTAAACACAGACCTTGTGCAACTCGAGAGGGGTTGGAGACATGATTTCCTGCACCTCCTCCTTAATCTTCCTCATCTCCAGATTCCTCTCATTCTTCTTGGTGGGAGTGATGCTGCTGTCGCTCTGCCCTTCGTCGCAGCAGTTGGCGTTTCCTTTCCTCAGTGGGCTCAATCCGGACTCACTAACCGAGTCCACGAGCAGTTTGCTCCCTTCCAGACCCAGGCTGTGCACGCTCCCTGTCATGATGGAGGCCTGTGGATAAGGTGGTAAGTTAGTTCAATGAAAGTTTGAGTGGCAAGCGACTGATGGACCCTAGAAGAACAAAAGCAACTTAGAGAGAAGCAGGTGACACACAATGTTCAGCACCAACCAGAGGGAGTTGTAATTCTGACCCAAATGGTAGCACTAGTAGTCACTTCCGGCTGGCTATAGGAGCCACTTACAGAAAGGGCAGGCATCTCAGCAAATGCTCGTTGCTTCTTGTCAGAAATCTTTAGCCAGTTTTCCCCCCCATGGAAAAATGGAGGGAACATTTTTGATAAAAACCACTTGTACACATTTTATGTACAAACACACACACAAAATGGAGGTACTTGTTCAAGGAACTGATAGAAAAGAATGCTGAAATTAATGCATATCTAGCTGAAATGCCCTTAACTCAACCATCAACTCCCAGCAGTCTCTAGGAGGAGTTCAACGTTATCTTTTCATACACTCAGAATGGCCAACAGACAGTGGAACAAGCTTATAGTGAAACTATTACACAGCAAGGTAGACTCAAAATCCTTTATCTAGTCAATATGTCAAAATATGCAAGTTATACTGCCAGCTACAGGTTGTTTAGAGCAAGGTTGGGCTTTGGAGACAGAGAGATAGTTCCTTCAAACAGTCTGGGCCTGGAGAAGTGATCTTTTTGCTTCTGAAACTGGTTTCCCTCTTAAGTGATGGGTTTTGCTTCACAGAAACTCAATGTCATTCTATGGACATCTTGGGAAGGACATTATAGGGTCTGAAACACTGATTTGCTGACACCACTGTAGTTCATAGACTAACAGCTCAGTGAGGCAGCACCAGGGGAATGAAATTGGCATACACGTTATTGGGAAAGATGTGGACAAATTGGAGAAAGTCCAGACAAGAGCAACAGAATTGATCAAAGGTCTAGAAAACATCACCTACAAGAGAAGACTGAAAACACTGGGTTTGTTTAGTCTGGAGAACAGAAAACTGATGGGAGAACATGATAACAGTCTTCAAGTCCATAAAAGGTTATTATAAAGAGAAAGGTGATAAATTGTTCTTCTTAACCACTAAAAGGACAAGGCAAGTAGTAATGGGCTTAAAATGCAGCAGGGAAGATTTAGATTATACATTAGGAAAAAATTCCTAACTGTGAAAGTAGTTAAGCACTGGAATGGATTATTTTGGGAGGCTGTGGAATCTCCAACATTGGAGGTTTTTAAGACCAGGTTAGACAGGGATAGCACAGGGATGGTCGGATAATACTTAGTCCTGCCTCAGTGCAGGGGACTGGACTGGACGACCTATGGAGATCCCTTTCAGACCTACATTTCTATGGATTGTAGGGCAACTTATGGCTTCTTCACTATGGAAGCATACAGAAAATCCCTTCCTCTTTAGTACCCTTGTGCAAAAAGAGCTCAGAATGCTTCAAGCCAGCATTCTTTGGATGTAAGGGAGTGAGAGCCACTAGCACTGCAAATAGGGCTAAATACCCCAGAGATTGTGTGTCTAACTACCCTGAAGAGAGATGTGACCATGGACCCTGGCAAGCAGCAGGAGGCAGACATGGGAGGAGCACATGCTACATGTGTTCTAGAGATACAACAAAGACAACAAGCAATATGCTTCCCCCCATGCCTGTGCCTGCCTACTCAGGTATAAAACCTTCAGCCAGATGCACTCTGATTTTGCACCATCTCCCTATAATATAGCTCTGGGATTATGGCATTCAAAAGGATGGGAGGATAGTTTCTTGGCATGCCACCATACCTCTAGTTTGCCAGCCTGCTCTGTTCTTACGAGCAGGAAGGGAACTGAAATATACCAAAATCTGGATCTCAGAGAAGGATTCTGGTAGGTTTTGATACCATACCTGCTTCCAGAGCTGCAGTATGTTGCGAGTGCATTTGTCTGCAATGGCTAAGCAAGACAATACCTTGAGTTCCACAGCAGGTTTTCCAGCCAAGAAATTAAGATTTTATCAGGAGTGCTGGAACAATTTGAATAGTGGGATGCTGAGAGCTATTGAATCAAACTATAAATCTTGTATATAATGGAAACCACTTCAAGCCAGGGGATGCAGCAGCTCCCCACAGCACCCCTAGTTCCGGCACCTACGGATTTTATGTCAAGAGGTGGCAGCCTTCATTTAGGAAAATTGATCAAGCCTTTTAAAAAAAGTTAATATGAAATTAGGTAGCATTTAGGACCAGTCACCCTTCATAGCATCCCTTTAAAGATCCCCCATGTAGAAAAGTCTCTGTCTGGCAACGTTTTTCATTAAAGGGATTATACTGATCAAAGCTAAGGAATGAGTCAAGAAATCAGTGTGTGCAGCCTTAACTGGTTTCAGGACACACAATCTATTTAAATTAGTAATGAACAGTTTAATTCCAAGGTTCAAGCTCAGTTCTCTTAAATGTCAACAGGCACAAAAAAAAAAAAAAAGAAAGGTAGGGAGCAGATAGCAAAACTCAGCAGTGGCAAGTCAATGACCAGCCACTGGTGTGCATAGTGAAAGAGTCACCTGATTAAGCATGTAAATAAATCCTTCCCTCCAATGGAGGATTTAATTCACCTGTGCTAGTGTCAGATAGCTAGAGAGATCAGATCAGTCTGCTTTGGCTTGGAACAAAGGAGGAGAATAATTAAATAGATTCTTGTGGCTGTGTGAAATATACCTGCAATATCCTCATTTTCCTGAAGAGGGTGGTGAATGGAAACCTTATGTTTTTTAAATTCCCTGTCACTTTCACTGCTTTATGTGAACTGCAAAACTCAAATACCCAAACTTCACTGGAGAAAATGCCAAAAATTCAAAGCCCATTGAATTCCATGGATCTTAAGTCTAGAGAGTCACTTTACAATGTGCTCTGAGTAGGGAGCAGTGCATTGTTGGACTGCCCCAAGAGCAGCCTGGGATGCAAAGTCACAAAGTTCCTCCTGGTCTCACTGTTGCTCCAGACCTATACCCAGTATAGCATACGTTACCTTGTGTGCCAATGCGGTTTTGCTGGCCAAGCGTCTTTGGGGGAGGGGGGGGGGAGAGGGGACAAGGGGTCAAGCAAAGTGGAGCCAAGGATCCATGCAGTCCTCACCTGCCTGCACAGATCCGGGGGAGTACCAGCTGCACAGAACCTGCTTCCACTCCTGTGCTGCAAAATGTGATACAGGCAGCTCACCTTACACTCCTCACTCCTTTGCATCACTGCAAAAGCCAGGCTACAATCTGGTCTTCTGTAATGACTGACGCCTAGATTAGAAGATGGATATTCAGCCAGTCCTGCTAGTGCAGGGTTGTTCCTTACAGAACTTACTAGTGATTTTTAAAGTGGTTTCTGAACAGGGATTTCCTGCTTTACTTTCTCCACAAGGTTTTAAATTCCAACCTGCCCATCCCACAGCCAGAGACAATAAAAGGACTTCCAAAGTGTTGTGGGTAAAGGCAAGAGAGTAGGCCATGAAGAAAGGAAACACTATGTCTACAGGAAGCTGCTGCCTTCTTGTAAATTTTCCCAGGGAGTGGGGTGGGGGTTGGATGAAAACCAATCATTTATCCATCTTACTGAACCAGCAGCGGGTGTAAACACATCTGAATGCAAGGTATGTGCTGGACTCTCAGACATCTAAAGTAAGTCAACTGTTCAATACCCACATTTTTTGGACCCATTTTGGCCAATCTGCAGAGCTTGTCAATCAGAAATACTTCTTCAATGGAGTGGTTGCCATTTGATAGGAAGATTTAGATATTTTATGACTATTGTTTGGTGAGCTATGAAGCTGGTCAAAACAAGAAAAGCTTTTTGTGAATACTTTGACAGTTGATGGGAAAAAAACCGAAGAGACTATTAACAGATGAGTAGAGTGATCTGAAAGTACAGATATTCCAAGGGATCAAACTCGGATAGAATCCTTACCCCCCCCATAGATATAGTCAACATTTAGCATACAAGGGGAAACACTTACTACAAGTGGCGAGAATGGACTGGTTAGAACAATTCCAAGTTGATTTACCTCGATCTCCCTCAAAAGTTCAGACTGGCCGCATGTTTCCAAGTCCTCCAAAGCTTCTCCAAAAACACGCCAAAAACTATCCTCGTGAGCGGTCTCAAGGCCGTTTTGGCGGTTGGGATATCTGTTGTAACGTAGGAACCAAAAATTGTCAGCACTCTTCTGCAGCGGGAAGAAAGCCGCAAGGCTAGAGCAAATGGCTCACCAGTAAAAGCAGAGACTTGAAGAGTCTTCATATACAAAAGCAAACAATATGAACTTTTCAGGCAAGAGAGTCCAAATACAAAACCTCCATGCACTTACTAACAGGGCAAAAGTCCTTCAAAGGAAGAATTAAGTTGGTGTAGTAATGTCAAGTTCAAAAGGGTAAATAAAAAGTGCCTGTAGGAAGACTGTAGGTTTAGGAAGACGTTTTGGTGAAACAGAGAAGTGAAAGAAAAAAGGATGCATTATGGGTAAACCAGGAGCCTCAGAGACTGTTAGTACAAAGGCTGATGGGACAGAGTTCAGATCTGAGACACAGAACACCTGAGAAGAGAGAAAAACACAGAGGGTAACAGACATGGTGAGAAAATGATAAATACATTAGGTCTCTGTGAGAGTAAATAATGTAGAGAGATGTATATAAAATGATTTGCCTGAGCCTAGACAAGTCAATAACACTGCAATTAACAACACAGGGAACTTTAGAGTACAACTCATATGACCCAGCATTTGCTTTAACTTAAGATGTATTTATCACATGGACAGCAGTGAGGGGAACTGGACAATATAGTCAAATAGATCTTCTCTCTTATGTCTTTGAAACAGTGGCTGCACTTACAACATTTCTACCCATTTAAATGTTTTCACGAGATGTACCAGTATTCCCTGTTACATGTGGAAGAAATCTCTCTCAAACTGGTAGAAATATTTGCAGTGCAATACTGGGTAAATACTGATTTTCCCATCACTGCAGCGCCTGTATCTCTGTTAGTGAGCCATTAGACATGATGCGGGAGTACAGTATTTAGATCTCTAAAGCAAATGATAATTGAATGCACTGAAGTGGCTTGATAGATTCATGGCAAGGGAATTATTAGCATTGTTTTGTGGATTGTGGGAGTGCCTAAAATATGCCAGGCACTGTGTAAAACAGCTCCTGAGACAAGGAACTCTCGATCTAATATTTTAAGGTCTCCAAGGAAGTTCTCTCTGTATGCCATACTGAGACACAGCAATGCATTATAAACCCAGCAGTTAGAGTCGGATAGTTCTACTGTATCTAACCTCAGCAATGCTGTCTTCTACCACTATTATTAGTAACTGCATCTATAAGATTCTCTCTCTGTGGTGTCTGGTGACAATTTACCTAGCTAAAATGGAGTCATTAACTTTTCAAATATGAGAAGCTTCTCCATCAGTGAATGCTATTTAACAAAGATCAAACATTCTATTATTTGAACACCAGTCAAAAAGCAGTTGATTTTTTTCATCGAATTAACTGAAGACTCCCCATTTCAAAAGCCCCACTTCCAGATCCATACTAATTTAGTCCCAGATCGTGCAAGGCTTTAAGCACATGCTTAACTTCATGCACTGCATGTAGCCCCATTGGCTTCAATGGGACTATTCACACTGCATAAATTTAAGCACACAGGTCGGTCAGTCTTCGCAGGATCAGGGTCTTAGTTGATTGCACTAGAGAGGCCAAAAGTTATCCAGTGACCCATTTTATAAAAATAAACAAGAACCCCTTTAGACTAAGACTGAAACCTGCTATTATAATGCCAAAGACTAACTTTGCTTCCCTTCCCTTCCTCATTCTCTTTCTTTGCTGTAAAGTTTCCAGTGAGACAGACGCTCCCGCCAGTTGGAGTCCCTCACGTCTTGAATCAGTAAGTCAAATCTATCATTATAAAAATGCATTCAGGGCTCCAGACTGGGGATCTTGCATCACTGGCACCAATACCTTTTCTGGGTTGGAAACAGCTGGGGTTAGATAGATTAATTGTTTTCTCCTTAAGACGACGACATGGTCTAATTGGCCCTCTGACTTGTGCGTGTTGGTTTTCCAGAGCTGAGTCAGAATGGGTTGGGCTTCAAGAACCATTACTAAGGCTCAAATATGGTAGCTACAACTGTCAAGCAGCCACCCTTTCTTTCCAGCTTTACTATTTTAAATAGGTGGAAATGTCCATGAGATGATCTAATTTTTTGTTTTGACAAACAAAAATTTAAAAAAAACCAACCAACCAAACCAAAAAAAAAAACACCACACCTCGCAACACACACAACTATGTGACATCTGGAGAATGTCAAGGGCAGGATTAGTCAATGAAGTAGGAACTCCTTTCACTGCGCGTAACTCAGTGGAGGGGTCAGCTCCTCTTCCCCTCTCAGGGAAGCCCTGTGTAGAGCTGCCTAGCAATATCAGGGGTAGGAGAGGGGAAAAAGCAGGCGTGAATCTCAACAACAGAAGTTCCATGCAAAAGCGAAGAGTAGCTTCGTTCCCTTGCACCCACAGTGTTTATTTACAGGCATTTCTGCAGCACCTGCAGTAGCCTGAGCCAAGGGCTTGATTCTGCTGCTCTTGGTCACCTTGACTTCTTCAGCCGGACTAACTGGTGGAAGAAGGTACAACTCAAGGTGACCCAGAGTGGGAGCAACAGGTCACGGCTTTAGGAGATAGTGCTATCAAGTTATTCTTTCATTGTAAAATATAGTGAAGCCAGCAGTAAGGGCTGCCTCTAACAGGTAATCCACTGTTTTAGGCAACCATGAAATAAAACTTAAGGGGGTTTGTGATACAATTTTTTTTTTTTATAACAACTGAAGACCTGCCTGCTTTAAGAAGAGAGATTCTGCTGCTCCTTGAAGACAGTTTCACTGTATAATGTCCTGGCAAATTGCAGTGTTAATAAAAAAAGTGTCCTGCCAATGTAGTCTGAAGTGAAGACTTCATGGTGCATGATCTTTATCAAAGCCTGTTGGTTAAGTTACCAATTTACTACGGGTCTAATTTTTTTTTAAAAAAGATTACCTAACTGAAATTTGAGATTTGGTAGCAAACTGCAGTACTGCATGCACCTGATATCCCCCATGTGCATCCTCCCCCTGACACACACATACCCCCAACAGCGCACACCCCGCACTGTATGTGTTCAATATTGTAGATAATAACTGAATTCTCAGCAGTCACAACACAACTTAAGAATTTATTTGAGTTGGGCAACTATTTGATTGTAGTTGGGAAGATATTAATAGGAACTATCCTGTCCACTCTCCATTCCTGACTCAACTGCTCCACCACGCACATACATGCACAAATACACCCTACACATTGCAAATACAATATGATGGACAACACAGTCAGTATGGACATCCACATACACACACGCCTACCCGGTCTCCTCCCTGCTTCTTCCAGCCCCTTCATACCTGGTGGGTTTGTCCCAGTCATCTTCACTGAAACTTCCATCCATATAGGGATAGTTCTTCCTGGGATCCCCAGGAGGGGTGCTGTTCTTCTGCCTGCTAGGTCTCCATTCATGTGGATGTAGGGCAATGCCAACAGCCTGAGGTATGTACGTACCTAGGAAAGGCGGGCAGAGAGGAAGAGAGGGAAAAATAATTACACCTGGTTAGACAGTCAGAATGAAACATTAGATCCCAGAAAAGGATGGTCATGTGCTAAAGGCACTGGATTTGTTCTTAAAAAGATCAGAGTTCCATTCCAGGCTCTGCCACAGACTTCCTGCATGATCTTGGGGAAGTCACTTAATCTCTCAGTGCTTGGTTTCTCCCATCTGTAAAATGGGAATTAATAATACTTCTTTCCTCCCACCTGTATCTATCTATACTGTAGGGTCTTTGGGGCAGTGACCATCTCTTACTACGTGTCATCTTGACTGGGACCTCTACGTGCTACCGTTATACAAATAAACAGTGAGATCAAAATAAAATCTGACAAAATATTTCATGCTCCTCTGCTGTTTCCATCTTCCCCACCTCAGTACGCAGGAGTAACTGTGCCCATTAGTAACAGGAGAGCTGAAGGAAGATATCTATACTGTGATACTACTACGAAGAGCAAAAAGTTACCCTTAAGTGCTGAAGTAGCTCTCAAACCCTGGTCCCTCACATAACTGTATTGCCATTGGGTCAGAACTTTTAATGAGAACCCACTTGCTGGGGTAATGCAGAAGGCAGTATGAACTGGACTTTTGCCAGCTGACATTTTGTACTTGGCAGAGATCATTCTTAATGGCAGTGAATTCAATGCAGGAATTATTGCTTGTAAATTTCTAAAGCTTCTTAAAGGAATTTGGACACTCAATTCCCATTAGTTTTAAGGGATTTGGATGTCAGGTCCCATTTGAGAGCTCTGAAAATCCCATTGTAGATTAACTATTCCAGAGTCCTAATGGACACTCTCCCAGTTCACTTTAGTGTCCCAGACCCACTCTCAAGCTTCCAACTCCCCTGCTGTTGCCTCCCTTCGATGGGAAGACAGGCCCGTTCCTTTCTAACCAGCGAATTTTCAGGCTGCATGGTTCTCTGCCTTCAATGTATTTCCCAGCACAAAGATGTTACCCAGGAATACCTGCTTGCTTTCTCGTCAGAGATGGTTAACAGGTGTAATAGCTATACTTATAAAAGTAGCACACAGCACTTCCTATGCAAGCCTACTTTATTCTGAAGGTAAAAAGCATTACATAAAACATAATAAAAACAACAGAAGAACCTTCATACATGCTAATAAGTTTGCCAGAGTTAACCCCAACCCTAACATGGAGTTTTGGGAGGATCCATCCTTCAAACCCCCACCCAAAGGTGATTTTTGTGCTTACCAATCATCACAGTTTCAGTTCAGAACAAGCACCCAGTCCTTCCAACCCCATCTCTCCAAGGGGGTGGCTTCAAAGGGTTGATAAAGGAGGAAGTTCATTCGCATCCCCCCATCCCTGGTAGAGAAGGTACATGCAATGCCACAATAACCCATACACAACTGCATTTTTAACATAACGTACCCAAAAGGTATTAACCCGAATTCAATAAGGTTTAACTTAATTCCATAAGGTTTGTTTAGGATAACACAGGATTTTGTCAGTCTGCCACAGACACAAGGGGAAAAAAGCCATAAGAAGCAGGACAACACAAGTTTGGAAATAGCATCCAAATGTTGCTTTTCACATCTTAAAATCTCATGGTGAATGGAACTCTCACCTTTCAAGGAACATATCCATGCTGATGGAATCCATTGGTTGGTACCATCAGAGTCACCTGCCTAGCTGCCATTTTGCTGCACAAAATGTGAATTCTTGTTGGAAGAGAGTAAGGCCTGGTCTACATTTAAAAATTAGATTGATCTAGCTATGCCACTCAGGGCTGTGAAAAATGTCGCTGGGCTGTGGTTAGGTTGACCTAACCCTGGCGTAGATGCAGCTAGGTCGATGGCGTGACCCCACAACCTCCTAATGACAACTGGCCACAGGGCACAGAGGGGTTATAGGAATTCTGTGAGTCTGATCTGTACATTCTGTTCACCACAGAATGCCATGTGAGGTCTGAAACAAACCCCGATGTCACATTGGTCATCAATATCATTGTGAAATACATGTTCGGATGTTGTGTAAGGCAGTGCTCCTCAAAGTGGTGGTCTGCGGACCGCTGCCGGACCGCGAGCCATCGGCTGCCAGTCTGCGCACACACTGGAAAAAAAATTGCCAGTCCCCCACATCAGATAACTCCTTACACCAGTGCTTCTCAAGCTATGTATAGACACTGAAAATATGTTCTTAAAGTCTGTCTGGGGGGGATTGGTCATCAGCAAAGGCGAAAAACAGGTTCTCTGCCAGACAAGATGATGTTTATTCATTTACATATTTACATGTAAATGGAGCATTGCCTCATTCACAATAGGTCTATCACCAGTCTGAACTGAAGGCAAATGAAAGATTGTGGGGTCTTCAGAAAGAAACTACTGAGGAGAGAAAATCAGCAGGGGTATGGGAGAGAACCCCCTTCTATCGGGATACATATCAAAGGTTTGCTCTACTGTATTTTGGGAGGCAAACAGGACACCATGGCACCCTTCACTGAGGGGGGAAAAGGACAGCGATTTTGCTTCATGGGTTCTCAGCCAGGCTTGCTGAAAACTCTGGAGAGAGCTTTGGGTGAGATAAGCTTCTTTAGTCAGTTAAAGTTTAGTCTCAAAAAAGTGTGTATTGATTTTGTTTGATATATAACCATTTGTTTCCAATATTCTTTACTCACTATACCTGAATCTCTGGTCTTTGACAATAAAACATATTCTTGTTTTCACTTTAAATATATCTAAGTGCTGTGGTGTTAAGCCAAGTGATGCTCTGGAGTTGAGTCTTACAAGCTGGTGCATACTGTGAGTGTCCAGGGACAGAGGAGGGGCTGGACTCTGCAGGGAATGCTTGGAATAGTCGGGAGTTGGAGTGCACCTATTGCTACCTGCAGACAACCTGGCAGGCAGAGCTTGTGCTGCCCGAGGCTGTTGGTTTCAGGAAGCTGGTCCACAGCAGGCACAGACAAGACAGTTTCACGCTCAAGGCAGGTGATGGTGAGGTGCTTCCTACCCCTGAGGAGCACCACAGATGGAAGAACTCTTCTGTAGACCTAGCTACTGCCTCTCAGAGAGGTAGATTAACTACCTCAATGGAAAAACCTCTTCTGTCCATGTAGGAAACATCTACTTTTATGGCACTACAGTGGCACAGCTGCACCGCCAGAGCTATGCTGCTATAGAAGCTGTAGTTTGGACATACCCTTAGACCTTGATCCGGCAAGGAGTGCCCCAGTACAGGCCCCTGTGCCTGTGAACAGTTCACTACAGGCTCAGAGACTGCAATTTATCTGGAGGAGACATGAAGAAGTGTATCTAACTAAAATATACACATGTGCCCAAAGAGCAGCAAGAGAAACTGGTTCATAGCTAGTACAAAGCAGTATAGCCCCTATGTGCACATAGCTCAGTGGTTTGAGCCCACCCAGGGTTGTGAGTTCAATCCTTGTAGGGGGCCATTTAGGGATCTGGGGCAAAAATTGGGGATTGGTCCTGCTTTGAGCAGGGGGTTGGACTAGATGACCTCCTGAGGTCCCTTACAACCCTGATATTCTGTGATTCTATGATTAAAGCCCCACTGATCCTATATACGATTAACTCCTCCTTCCCCTTCACATAGTAAAGATGGAAATATACAAGCTTCCCCTATTCCTTACACTAAGAATAATTCTTCACGTACCAAGCCATTTGAGATACAAAGATTTGATCACCCTGGAGCAGCAAGAAACTGTAGGTCTCAGGGGGATGAAGCAGCATAGACAGCGACTTTTCCAAACAGAGCATTCATTGGTAATTTAGGTGCTGTCGGCAAAGGAAATAAACTCACTTGCAACCCCTCCCCACCTTCCTCACTCCCCGGCCTATTCAGTGCGTTTTTCAGAGAAACTCTAGCAGCCTTTCCAAGAAAAGTTGCACGCTGCCATACAGGCTTTGCCAAATCAACAGGAAGAAGTAGCGGAGCAACACATAATTAAAGGAGATTTGACCTCCTGGACAGCCAAGAGCAATGGAAATGCCGAGGGACAATGCCAGTAATTCCTGTGAAAATGCCAAGATCCATTATTTTCCTTAGCCGAGTGTTCTCTGTGCTTAAAGGTTAAAATGTTCCGGAGAGAGTGCCCCAGAAAATACTTGCCAGCAGCTTACAAAAGCTGAGAGCATCAGCCATTTCCTGGGTCAGGAGAACATCATGGTCGCTTTGCCCAAACCTCTATGGTGCTACGAGTCAAATTCCCCCCGGTGCATTAGGGCCAGAATACAGCAATATATCTGGCTGTCAACCTGGGTGTTCCTGAGCTCTCTCCTTCCACTCAGTCCCATAAGCACAAGTGTTTCTCAGGCTTTTCTCCTGGGAAATCCAACATAAAAATCCTACTGCACTGGAGCCCCCTGGTGGTATGTTCATGACACAGTCTAGTGCAACAGCCTCACCCAAATCCTTCATATGACAGAGCTATTTTGTTGAGTTAACAGCTGTGAATGGTAGGTACAAATGGAACACGAGGTACATTTATTTAATCTGATCCTGTGCTCTTATTTTGCTGAATGGGCTTCACAACCAGCCCTGTTAACCCTACCCACACACACCATGGCATCAGCAACACTTCTGGCCCTGCAGTGGCTGAGGACAGGTTCTTCACTATTGCTACTCAATGCTTCTGCCCGCCAGACAGTTGAGTCTACTTCTTAGCAACCTTCTGTCCATTCCACACTCACTTCAGCCAGTGTCGGTATAATGCGATGAAGCGTAATGCAATAAACAGAAAATACAAGAAAATCCCTTTTAGCCAAGCTGCTTTTTGCCTATGGCTCCATCTCCTCTAGATAGTGAGTCTCTCCTTTCGTGTTTGTGAGAGCCAACCGTATTGCTTTACTCTGCAGTATCTTTTGCTGTTATGCAATGGTTTCATTAAGTCCTTTCCCCCAGTGATTAGGGAGAGATTCTAATTTATTGGTTTCATTATCCCTAATGCAGATATAAAGTGACATATCTGCAGAGGTTAGAAAGATCCGAAGCAATATTCATACTTCATTGAACAAGGTATTCAGTGCGTGGTGAACCCAAGTGCTACTAATTACACAAAGGGCTTATAGATTTCAAGCAACCTTCCATGCTACTGGCTAAAACAGATAATATTTTGAATGGATGAAAAAAACCCCAAGCATCAGGTGCAAAAGCTATTTAAAGTGGCATAATCCAGAAGCTAAAGAAAGTGGTTGGGTGTCAACAGACTTGAGTTCTATCCCCAATTCTATCATTGACCCACTGTGTGATCCTGAGCAAGTCAGAACCTCTACTGGCCTCAGTTTTCCCCATCTATAAAACGGGGATAATATTTATCTATCTTTGTAAAGGGCTTTGAGATTCTCAGGCTAAAGGCACCATACGTGCAAAACAACAATAGTAGAACTAGAAATGGCAGCAAGAACTTGCTCGGATAAGTACCCAAATGTTGGTGGCTCTTCAGCCTCTGCTCAGAATTGTCCTGAAAATCTTGCTCTACATCAGGCTGAAAATACCACAAGAACAATGCTGTCCATGGTATTTCAGCAATTCAGTGCCCCACTGCAGCCAGGAAATCATGCAAGAGGGTCAGGCTCAGTCTGAGTTTGGGGCAGCTCTCATTATATCCAATTTGGCTCCCACATCTACAGTAAAGAGACCTAGACTCACCTTGGCTTCCATAGCCTGCGTCAATGCCCGAACCATCCCAGGATTCCATAGCGCTGTCCACGCTGGGGATGGTGGTGGAGTAAATCTCAGAGAGTTTGCTAGTTTTCTGAGAGTCAGTCAGTTCATCTTCTGGGTCACTCACTTCATTCATACTCCCCGACTTCTTGGGATAAGACCCTGGAACCAAAACATGTCACTTGTTCTTAGGCATTTTATTGAGTATAGGTGGGACGCATGTTACTTGACAAAGACCATCAGAAACTGAAGACCTGCTCAGATAAACATATTTACAAAGGTGGTGGGCAAACGTCAGAGAGAGGTGTATGCTCAGATATTTGAACAAGCCAGAGAAGAAATATCCACTTCTTGGAAAAACAGGCCTCCTATGAAAGGAACCATCACTCTTAACTGCAACCTTTATATTTTGCTAAAACACACTAAACTTCACCACCAGATGGTCAACTGGTATTAAGAGTAGATTTTTGGCCCTGCAAATCTTCTGAGAAAGCTCTTTGGAACATCTGTATCTGAAAAGGGAGACTACTATTGGACAGTTAGAATGTCTCCATACATATGGCCTTACAATGACTGCTCTCACAGAGCCCTAAACAACTGGCCATCTTTTTATGTTGTGCATGTTCTCATATACATGTTGTACATAATAAACTAATCACTGGGATTTTTTTTTTAATTCCAGAATGCAGAGACTTGAGAGCTACGCTAAATCCCCAAATCCACCCCTTCCTCCTTCTGGAGCAGGGGATGGCAAACTATGGCTCGCAGGCCAGATCCAACCCATAAGGGCTTTCAATCTGGCCCGTGGGATTGCCAGCCCCATGGCGCAGCAGGGGGCTAAGGCAGGCTCCCTGCTTGCCCTGGCCCTGCACCGCTTCCAGAAGCGGCTGACACCACATCCCTGTGGCCCCTGGGGGAAGGGAGGCAGAGGGCTCTGTGCCTTGCCCTTGCCTGCTGGCACCACCCCCTGCAGCTCCCATTGGCTGGGAATGGGGAACTGTGGCCAATGGGAGCTTCAGGGGTGGTACCCACAAGTGAGGGCAGTGCGCGGTGGAGCCGCCTGCCCCACCCCACCCCAGGAGCCACTGCCGGACATGCTGGCCACTTCTGCAAGTGGCATGGGGCCAGGGAAGGCAGGGAACCTGCCTTAGCCCCGCTGCTCACCACTGCCACGCGGAGCTGCTCAAGGTAAGCTGTGCCGGACCAGAGCCTGCACCCCGAACCACTCCTGCACCCCGCACCACAACCCCCTGCCCTGAGCCCCCTGCTGTACCCCAATCCCCTGCCCTGAGCCTCCTCCTGTACCCCACAACCCTTGCCCTGAGCTCCTTCCTGCACACTGCACCCCCTCCCATACCCCGCACTCCGTCCTGCACCCCAACCCCCTGCCCCAGCCCTACTTTCATGGCCCTGCATAAAATTTCCCTACCCACATGTGGCCCTTGGGCCACAAAGTTTGCCCACCCCTGTTCTGGAGGCTTTCTACACACATCATCACTGATCAGATTCACCTCAGATAAGAATATTCCCTATCTGGAAGGGCTCAGGGACTTCTTCCTTACCCCCACGTTACTTAGATTAGACACAGCTTCAGTGCAAACAGTTTCTAACATGGTTTGCCAGCATGGACAGGACCCAAACTGTGTTTGAACAGTGGTCTAGCATGTGATCTGCGATTTGGACACAACGGGTGGCTTCACTGTGTTTGAAACCATTTTAGCAAGGTTATCCCATGGGGATACAAACGCAATGTGGACAGGAACCTAAGCCATCTGGTTAAAGTAATAACATGTTGGAAGGTGAATATGAGTTTATTTAAATTCAAATGAACCATCCCCCCTCAGAGGAGAGGGCTTGAGGAAATTGTAACTTGGATCAGGATCTGAATGTCACAGCTCAGGCAGGCCCCTCTCTTTATATTATTTTAGAGATAGCAGGCCCTATTACCATTAGATTATTCCCCCTTTTTAGCAGAAGCTACTGATGGAATCAGTTTCTTTGTGTCATGATTTAACTTTACTGAACATCTCAGTTTGTTTGGCCCCACCACCTTTGCCTTCTATCCCCAACATTTTACCCTCAGTGCATCAGCACTGTCTGTCGAATGAGGACAGAGGACTATTTTGCCAAGCAAAGTTTATTAGCCTTAAAAATCCCTGCATCCCAAGCAATAAAAGGATTGCTTGCTATGATTAACCTAAGATTACCTTGAGATTTCAATTACACAGCCTTTATATTTAGAATGGTTAATGTGAAGCCACTTTTCTGATCACAATTTGGCATTTCTTCAACTATTTCAGTGACCTACAGAGAAAGCACCCACAGAGCATCATGGGCAAAAGGTTTGTTTTGGAGAAGGCCCTAGAAGTTTGGCCTAGCAGATTGATGCTGGACTGGGACTTGGGACACCTGGATTAAATTCCCAGATCTGCCACTATTTTGCAGGCTGACCTGGGACAAGCCACAGCTGTCCCTATGCCTCAGTTTTCCCATCTGTAAAATGGGAATGATGATACTGATCTCCTTTGTAAAGCACTTTAAAATCTACAGAGAAGAGCTAAGTAAGAGCAAGGTACTTTTATTATTTTGTCAAACCTCTTGGACTTTCAAATCTAGACTGGAATAGGCTTTCCTGGAAGAGTTTCTGGTGTTTCCTGCTATTAAGTAGAACAGGAAGAAACTGTCTCTCCCACGGCACTTCCACATCTGGCCCCTGCCAGCCCTAGAAAGTGCAAAAGCACAATAAAAAGGCAATACATAATGTGGGAAGGGGAAGGAGGGATTAGAGACTGGTCACAATCTTTTTGGAAATTGATGGGAGGAGTTTCGTGTGGTTTGCATTTGGCAGGGGCCCTGGAGAAGAAAATACTTTTAAAACTTACCCAGATTAATATTTTTTAGCAGGGACAAGATAATCAATTTTAAAAATGACCTGTCTGTCCTAGATACGCCTCCTCCTTCTTTGATGCTACATCAGAGTGGAATGACTTCAAAGCTACACAGAGGTAAGTAGGTGGGGGGTGGGGTGCGGAATTCGAATATAAAAAGAAGGGAGCTTTGAAGATCTTAGGACCACAAGCTAGGCGAGGTTTTTAAAAGGATAACAACCAGTGTGAAACCGAGTCTGTTTCAAAAGGAAGAGTTAAAGGTAGTTTTTCCAGGAACTACACCAGATAATTTTTGTAGCTTTATAAAAATCACATTTTTTATTTTAAAAAGATTTCTCTCCGCCCTCCCTTTTGCTGTGCGAGACATGCATACAGATGGGGAAACCTGTGAAACCACTGACACACAAAGTGCTGTCTCGAAAAGTACATTTTAACTAATTATACATTTTCCATCTAATCTCTTTCCACCTCTAGTCAATTTAGGTGTTACTTGGAATGGCAGCAATTTACACATTTGCAGACCGAGATGCGATTATTATTGCTGATTGTGTCCCTTTATATATAATTTTTTTTAAAATAAATATTTTACTTTTAGTCATGATTTTCCCCAAAATTTCCCCCCAGGCCTTCCTTTTCACATCTGGATATATGGGCTCTGCAGCATATTTTACCCCTAGACAACCAGGTAGCAGAACACCGGGGTGAGGAATTAAATCCAGATTCTCCTATAGCATTGCAGAACACGACCTGCTACACCATGAGGCCAACCTCATTTCTACTGTAGCTGTAGACTTTGGACAAAAAGGTTGCAAAGGCTTCTGCCCTTACTTTCGGTTTGTTTCTTGATCTTCAGCGTTACAGTCTCTCCAGCCATTTGGAGTAGGTGGATGGCTTCACTGAGTGGTTTGCCCTTGAGACTCACATTATTAATAGCTAATATCCGGTCTCCCACATGGATTGCTCCAGTCCTAAAGAGGAAAGACACAAAGTTAGAAACTTTGAGGAAGGCTGCTGTCTTCCCTAATATAAGGGCCGTTAACAGATTGCTTTAAAATAATGGCGAACTAGCCTTCAGTACTTTAGAAGAGCAGGGATAGGGTCTTCTTGTACATGTGGAGAGTGTCTATCATATTATGGTTTCAGAGTAGCAGCCATGTTAGTCTGTATTTGCAAAAAGAAAAGGAGGACTTGTGGCACCTTAGAGACTAACCAATTTATTTGAGCATAAGCTTTCGTGAGCTCCAGCTCACAAAAGCTTATGCTCAAATAAATTGGTTCGTCTCTAAGGTGCCACAAGTCCTCCTTTTCTTTTTATCATATTATGGATGGCAGCAGAATACTAAATCAAACATCACTAGGAATCTCTCTATATAATGTCCCAGTCACCATAATAGCTGTGAATCTGTAAGAGTGCAAATGAAGTTCAGCTTTTTAAAATTGGCAGCTCCTATAACTAAGTCAAATGTATATGAAAAGCACACAACGATTCCAGTGTGAGATTTCTGTGAATACTCATGCATGCAACTTTAACATTTGTTTCCACATTCATGGAAAGAACACAGGAGGGGGCAAAACCAAAGACAACGTAAATTACTTTAAAAATTCAAACCAACATATATGCAAACTATTTTGCTTCGCTCGCTGAGTTACCAGCCTTGATTCAGCAAAGCAGGCGACTAAGCAAAAAGGACTTATGCACATGTACTTAGATGAGTGAGGACCACACTGCCGAGCTTCTACTAGAAGACATTTGGTTACAGCCCTAAAAGTTTTTCCATGGTTAACTTCTGCGATCCAAGTTTTCAGACTTGAGGAATGGCTACAGTTGGCTTCAGCTTGTTGATTATACGATGTGGAAGCAATATTGAATCATGCCAAGTTTTACTCTTTATTGCTCAATTATTGCATTACTAATCTACAACAGTGACACACATTCACTTCGCATCTGCCACAGATTGTTGTGCTGGCTGGCAGCTCTGGTAACCTGGAAATGCAACAATAGACTCACCCCAACGACTGGCAACTGGGAGGGAAGATCTAGGTGCTTGTTGGATCTTACTTATGGTACCAATGTTAATGCTCCCTAATGATAAAAGTCAAAAGGAGAAGCTTCTTTCCCCAGAAGTTCCACAATTTTTGGCTATATCATGGGAAACTCATGACTGAATCAGAAAGAGTGCAAGTCTGGAACATCACACCTTTCTATCAGAACTGGAGTTCTCAGCTAGGTCACTTTCATTCATTTAGTAAATTACATTTGACTGCAGTTCCTCTAAATACAAGCTTTTTGCACTTTGCCAGCTACTGACAAAAGCAGATACTTATCTACTCCTTTAAAATCACACGCTGTTACAGCGAAGACAAATGAAAGTCGAAAACCACCACCTGTCAGTTTTAAAAATCTATTTTACAGTTGCAAAGTTGCAAAATTAAGCCATATTTTTGGTAAGATTTTTCAGCTGAAGTACACTATTTCTCTAACTGGCCACTAGATGTCCCTGTAGTTCCACTCAATTTCCACTGAAAAACCCTTGGGGAAAAATTGAAGTCATTCAAGTAAATTATCGATTCAAACTGGATCTGGAATATCTGCCTTAAAGTTTCATCTATACAGCTGAATTTTTTAAAAGAAAATATTTTAAATGGTAGCACATTACAGAAGATGCTTAACTTGCTACAGTAGTTCTAACACTTAGAAACAACCTCTCCTAGCAATGAAATCAATCACTGAACCATGAATGGGACCAAATTCTCCCCTCCGTCCCACACCATAAAGCAGCCTAGCTAGAAATAACCTGAGTAACGTAACTGTGTATAAATTGGTTAAATGACTCAGCAGAAGGAAGAAAAAAAAGTCACAGTTAGCAAGGTCTTTTCCTCAAGTATTAGGAAAAGTAAACCAAGCCACTCAGACTACCCTGGGTATGGAGACAGACCGAACCAAAGGCTTTCCTCCTAAGCAGTCACTGATCTAGCCTGTGCCATAAACACTTCTGCAAGGGAGAGGGAAGCTGAGCTGGAGTTAACCCCTTGTTAACCAGAGAGCACGTAGGTCCCGATACCTGTCTCATACCTCCCTATTTATTTTGAATCATGCTACCCTTTCCTTTAATGCTGCTCCAGTGCAAAACAGTCTAAAGAGTTTCTGCTGACAACACGATAGACACATCTTCTGCCAGAACCAAGACACAAAGGATTGGTTTGCAGTGATAGGGTCCTGGCTCCAGCAGGGGTCTGATGTGGATCTGAGGCAAGGCAGTTTTGCACTCCACCGGAGGGTATTCAAAGAGCCCATCCAAACCTGAAAATTCGGGCAGTGAGACACACGACACTTCCTGGTGACCGATTTAAACCCTGGCCAGGATCTCACCCAAGCAGTGCTGACCTGACATAAGCGTTCACCAGTATGTGAGTTTAGGGGTGGGGAGAAAGCTTTGCATTCCCACAGATTGTGGTTGCCCTTGGGTAGTGCAGCTGTGCAAATGAGCATAAGGATTAATGGTGGGAGACAGCTGTTGCTTCACAATGACCCCGTTAACCTGAATCCTCCTCTGTAGGTTTACACCAGATCAGATGTTTGAAACATAAAAATACTCAAGGTTGACATAAAACTAGTCACTTGAATCGGAGCCTTCTAAGCCCAGCCAGACAGTCGGTCGCCCAGTATGACATACACGTGGCAGATCCTAGAGGACACTCTGCCTTCCCCATTATCCAGAAATCAGTAGCAGCTGCAGTCCCACTACGGGGCGAATCAGCCAGAACATCTCCATTGTGATAATAGGAAACACATCCACTGCACATTGTGATGTCTCCTGAGCAGCATGCTGTGCTCCTGCAAAAGCTGTACATAGGCTTGGGATTGGGTTTAGCTCTGAATTCTCTAGAAGCCGATGGTGTAGACATAGGGACCCGGCTCGGCTCTGGGGGCCCGCCTCATTTCCAAGAGGCATCGTGCTAAGGCGGAAGGGAAGGAGGATTGCTGGCTGCTGGGAGAGGGGGCAGAACAAGATGCTTGGGATTAGCTGTTCCCATCCTCCCTCTCCCTGCCAGCCCCCCTGAGATGTGAACTGGCAATGCCTCCCCCCCACCCCCGCTCCTAACTTCCTAGCCCCTCTATCGTTTTGGGAACAGCATCTTAGAACAATATTCACCCTACCCTCCTGGCAGACTTCATCCCAATCATTCCTGAAAGGAAGCCAAGGTTACACAGAGAAGTCCCTGCTGTGACTTTTCTATTTTATATCTATGCTGCTGCTATGGACAGGCATTTCTTCGTTAGACTGCTACAGTACACACACTAAACGACTCCATTGCTCCCCTCAAAGGTTTTATTTCTTGCTCTGTGCCAGCACCAATCAGAATTCAATATCACTGCAGCCCTTGCCTGCCCTGTGACACATACAGTTCTTGACCAACCAGCTGTGCACATCTCCGAGGAAAGAGGGGAACAGCCAGGAATGCTGTACAAGGGAATAGAAAGCATTATGGGTATAAGATCACTGTGTGCTGATCCCAACAGTATTCCACCTTCTCATACCAACACTACTTTATGCTGTGCAGAACGGTCTAGCTTCCAAAAACAATGCAGAGTTTTTCGCCTGAAAAAGGAGAAAAATGCCAGAGTCCACCAGGTCCACTGAGGACTTTGCTACTGATCCTCATTTTACATGGAAGACGCACAGCTACTACGATGACAGGCGGCTGCATAAAATCCTAAAATAAAACAAATTAAATCAAGAGATAGATAAAGCCTTTGGATATTGCAATTTAATTCCACATCTCTCTCTCTCTCCTTCTTTCCCAGAGCACACAATTGATCTGCCTTCTGTACAAAATGAAGCACAGTGTTGGAAACATTTAGCTGGTACCTGCCAAGTGAAAATGAACGTCAGAGGCAAGTGGAGAATTTATGTGCAGATTTCCTCTAAAAACCCAGCTGCAGGAGAGAATCCAGCACAGAAAGAAAGATGAACCAAGTTCAGATCTGGGGTGCACGGTTTTGAATTATGCCAGCCTCTAGCACCTCCCTAACTTAGGAGCCTTAAGAGACATGTTTTGATGCTTGCTGCAGCTCTACCCTTTGTGCAGAAGAGGGCTCTGCAATCCTACAGAAAGTAGTCAGCAAGATGCTTACCTATGCGCCAACATAAAAAGAAGAAATTAAGACACAAAGTGTGATTCAACTCCACCTTAAATTTACATAAGGAACAGTTTATATTCTGAGCAGCCTCGAAACCCCCCAATTATTTAGGTCGTCCTCCCTCCCCTCCATCTTATTGGTTGTTAGAACCAAAATAACAGCCGTATTTACATTGTCTCAGAGTACACCTACTGTAATGCTGTCCAAATCTAGATCTAAACAGCAACAAAATGAGCAGATCCGTTCACATTTGGATCCAGCATTTGAACCAAAATAATGGAAATCTAGCAGGGACAGTGGTAAAGGCTTCTGGGATTTGTAGCTTCAGCAGGTGGCACTAGCAGCAGGGAGTGCTGGTACCACACTCACTTGTGTTTAGGCAGAATCTCCAGAAGCAGCTCCCCAGATTAGATGAGGTGGTGGCAGCCCGAGCTGACGGCGCAGACTCCTAATAGAAGCGGAGGTGGAACTAAATGGAACCACAGCCGGGATTTCAGGGATGATGCTCTGGCTGGTTGCCAAGTGAACACTGTGTGGGGCCCTCAGAGGCATGAGTGGAGAGCATTACATGTATGTAGGCATGATAATACTTTGCACCTCTATAGCACCTTTCCTCTGCAAAGCTAGGCCTGGGGACTCTGTGTGCTAGACACTCATTCAGAGCACATTAGACCAAAGAAACATCCCTTCCTTTGCTTCTTTCTAAATTTTGCAATACATCATGACCCCCTCCAGTTTCACCGTAAACCTCCACCCTGCTGGGGTTCCTCGGGAGGGACATGTGGGGCCACCTGCCCCTCCAGATTGCTCAGTCACATGGTGCAGCCAGGCCCCCTCCCTGCGGGGCAGCTGAGCTGCAAGGGGCAAGGAGAGGCAGCTGCTTTAACAGTGTTGGGAGAGGCAGGAAGAACAGCTGGGAGCTATGGGGAGGGGCCGCTCCTTTCCAGAAAGAGGGACTGTTGGAGAGGGGGGCATGAGTCAGCTATTCCAGGGTTGTGTCCCCCCACTATCAGCAGGCCAGGGTTGTCTTTGCTTTGCACCTCACCTTTCAGCCAGCCCTCGTTTGGTCAGGCCTGAAATGATGATCGGATCGAAAGGTTCCTCTGTTCCGGAGATCGTTATTCCCAGAGGGCCACCGTACCTCTTTAGTTCTACAGTGTAGATAATAGCACCGGTTGTCTCTTGCTCATCTGAAATGGGAAACAGGGATGCTGGAAAGTTTTTTAAAAATAAATAAGCCATGAGGAAAACTCAGAACATTCAGAAGCGAAATCCTGAAGTCTCCTGCTGTGCACAGGATGAATAGGATTTACACCTTCCATGCCACATTTAAAAGAAGAAGGAGGGGAAAAAAGATGCTCTATAATCAACTGGAAAGTGGTCAGCAGACTGACTGCCAGCCTCATCTTTGTTCTTTCGCATTATGTCTGGGCAAATGTTATTAATATGGTCAGACAGTGCTTTGCATCAGGATTTCTATACCAGAGTTATCTTCATCCTTCCTAATCTTCAATTTGACTAGGTCTTCACACTGCCTCAGAATCTGCACTGCATCCTCCATTGAGCAGTTGTCGAGTCGGATGTTATCGATGGCTAACAGCTTATCCCCCGGCTCCAAGGTGCCTGTTCTGTGTGGAAAAGAACAACAAATGGTCATTTCGGTTAAACCTTTCAGATCTTCTGACCATTCGTTCATTTTAGGAATTAAGGCAACAATATTGCCTTTTATCCTCCAAGACCTCCTAGAAATGCCCATCAGGACCATAGTGTGTGGGGGTGCAATACCTGGGCCAATCTAGAGCGGTGTAAAAATATTCACGTCCAACCCCATACCTGCTTGGAACAGACCACTCGTGCCCAATTTGAGGCACAATGTAAGGGCCTGATGTTTAGTGCTTTCTGGAAAGCAGTCCTCTTTAAAGGGATCTCACAAGCTGCACTAGTCCTTTTGGTAGCCTTGGTTTAGATGTGTACAGGCCCAGGTTCATAAAGGCTTAGCTAATAAGGTTCAGGTTACACACCAGTTGAGATGCACTACGGCTTCTCTCTCCCCACAATAGCTACCCTTCTACCTTAGTGGCCTCCTTTGTTTCCCCCCATAAGACATCCAAGGTAAGGAGTAGGGTCCCCGGGTTCATTGGACGGCAGACGGCGAACAGTGACTGGATGTGTGGAGGAGTGGGAAGAGTCCTATTTGAGAGGCTGCTAGGATTTATTTCATTTGTGCTCCATTGAAGCTGCAGCGGTTTGCTGCAGCAGAATGCAGCATGCAAACACCTTCGAGAACTGAACCCTGCATGGTTTGCATAGACCAAATTAATCCACAATGAAAACTTCTCAAGGAAGAGCACTTCCCGGACAGGCTGGGAAGGAGTTTGGAACCAGCTGGTCTTCTCAAGAAGTAACCCACTCCCAGATTTATATATAAAATTCCGTCAGTGTCCTCATAAAACTGCTTACTCTACGGAAGGGAAGACTGTGCGCTGTTCACCTATGCAAGAGACACTTGCACGCTGGGACAGAGCGGCTGACAAGACATGACACTTCATGTAAGGGGTCTGATGAGCCACCTGTACTGAATGCATTGCCCTTAAATAGAGAGAAGGGGAGGGAAACATCCACACACAGAGGGGCCAGCTGAACAGCTTTGGCTCCAGATCCAGAGCTAACTTCTTTGTTGGCTTAATTCCTTTGACTTCCGTGCAGTTATCCCAGCAGAGAATTTGAACCCCAAATTCTATAATGGACTGAACCAAACCTCTGTAACCGACCTCCCCTTGAACTTTGATGTATTCCAGAACCAAACACTGTGACTTAGGTCTCTACATTGAATTACTGCATTGCATATTGTCATACAGTCAACTGCTGCGCTTACCTGTGAGCTACGCTCCCCTTCTTGATATCAGAGATAATTAAAGGCTCACCAGGCTTTCTACTTGCAGCTGCAAAAGAGATGCATGCATATAAAACACACTTCAGGCTCTGGAATCTATCAGAGTGACAGCCAAGGGGAGAAAAAGGAGTTACAGGGAGGGGAAATTTACATTAATTTGACACAAGTGCAGCTTCACACTTGGAATTTATAAAAGACAGACCTGCAAGAATAAGGGTTGGGCCCAAGCAATTTTTGCATTCTGTCTAAATTAGCCAGCTGATTCCTTTTAGCCTATTACAGAACAAGGTGATGAAACTGTGGAATCAAGTGATTCAAAGCAAGGGCTTCTAATCTCTGTGTAGCTCCATCTGCCCAAGTCTAACACGGATGTCTACACCTTCCAAAATGTGTGAAGGCCACGCAAAGTGAGCCTCACAGAGAGATAACAGTTGTTTCCTGAATATCTCACTGTACATTATTATTATTTGGGCGTTCTGAATAAACGTGTAGTCAGCCTGGAAATCTGCTCGATTTGTTAGTAGCTGGCAGTCATGTAAGTGTTAAATAGTCCTTCTCCCCCTAGATTGTCTGTAAGAAATTGGATGTGCCCTACTTCTCTGAATTCTAAATCACAAAAACGTGGCCATTCTTAATATATGCGTTCATTGAGCCGAATCCCTCCAGTACAGAGTGTCCTGTAACTTGTAGTTTCAGAGTTCAGTGTTTCTGGCATTAGCCTGAGCCCAGGCCTAATTTGTCACTCTGTTACACGAGCTTGATGCAGATTTAACCCCACTGGTGTGACGCAGTGGAGGATTTGGCCAATGATCTGTATAGGACAAGAGCATGTGACGACCATGAATCAATCCCTCTACCAAGACATGTATCTCTGAATCCCACTTAGCTCATGAGATGCTGATAGCAAGAAAGCTGTAGATCTAGCATAATGCATAAGGTGGTCATGATTCTCGCTCTCCACCACATCTGAGGTGGTTAAGCCAGTTATGCACTGGGTCTCATTTGATTCAAATTTATGAACCACAAAGCCTCTGTGCTTAAACCTGGATCTAGCAGAGAGTCTTTATTTGTCCACTGATTTCAACATAGCATTGTTAAAAAATTTAATAGTTATCGTTTAGCCATTAAAGAGTGGCAAATCTTTTCATATTCAGGCAGCGTCGCGTCTGCATAAATTCCCCACCCAATGGTTCAGCTTCATTAAATCTGCTGGAGACAATTGCCTAACATGTTGTCTGTACATTTTCTGAATTTTACAGCACCTTGAACATAAGAGGGGTGAAATACTGGCCCCACTGACGTCAATGGCAAAACTTCCTTGACTTCATTGGAGCCAGGATTCTGCCCATGGTGCTGCAGAAAGGGAGTACACACAAGCAGAATTTCAACTGGCTCTCCAAACCCCAGGTGTTTTTATAGACTGAGAGGGGCCACTGAAAGCACAAGGATGAAGAGCAGGGGGGCCGATCTAAGAAGCTGAACTCCAAAATGCCAACATTTAAATGAAACAAGATGGGAGCTCGCTGCATACCATGACCTGACCTACCTCCCAACATCTTCATAAAAGGTGATCTGCAAAGCTTTTTCAAGTTTGATAATTTCAGCTCATGAGACTTGTGGTCCCCGAAGAGCCACTTCTGCTTTAATTTAGTCAAAGCCTGCATTTTCACGATTATTTACATTAAAGATAGTGGCTGTGGGCTCCCTTCCCCACTCAGAAAAACCTAGGTAAGAGATCTGGCCCCTGCTGACCTCACTGCTATTCACATGCCAAAAACATATGCAAATAACATTCTCCTCTCTCTCTTTCACACTCTCTGCACTTACACATTGCTACATTGCCTTGGTTACAGCTGCTATTGTCTCCCAAGGGGGGGGGGAGTGATGGTGGTAAAGAAAGCTCAAAGCCTATGAGCATCTCAGCTTACAGCCAGGGATGAACATGTTCAGGATTTGTGATGTCACTGTTCCACAGAGAATGAATTTACATGAGCTCTGAGAAAAAAAAACAGCAGCCAAAAAGGAAATTCCAGAGGAATCCAAAGACAGGAAAAGTTGGTCTTTTTTTATTATGGCCTTAATTTATTAGTGGGTTTTAAAAACATATGCTAGTATGAAGCTTGTTATAAAAATCGCTTTGCAGGTCACTGTTAAGGATATTCTCTGCCTGATTGCATAGTCAGCTGTATTTAATAGTGTCAAATGTCACCAATCCATGCTCAAGCACAGCAGAGAACTAAACATAAGTGAGAGTCCTGTGCTGTAGGAGTGCTTATGGTGAGTGTTATAGAACCTAAAAGAGCTGTCCTCACAGCCTCTTTGACAATGCGCTGATGCACATCCCGTGCATCTGGTATCTGCAGACCGAGTGCTCTCCAGTTCCATTTAGAGCCAGAAGCTAAACCCAGAGGCTGTTTGGTTGTTCCAATTCACTGAGTGGTAGAAAAAGAGTCAAGAAGGAAAAACGAACTAGTATCTTGACTAGCATAAAGACCCACCTCCATTATAAACCCAACCATGAAAGGGACCAAATTATCACATGGTTGTACTGCACATTATTAAACTTTGTTCCATCTTGTTATGCAGACTGGATCTAATGGTGTTTTAACAGTATCCTCAAACCAGCCTCCTGAAACACCATTGTGTATTGACCATTGGGGACAGGGGAACAAATGGAGACACGTGTGCTGTAAGTAGGTTTCCCACTGGAAGTGCCCCATTGTGTGAACAGACACCTGGGAACATGTCCTGGGTGGTCCTAGTCTTTGGGAGATTCTGTTGACAAAGAGGCTCAGATCCATGCTGCCCCACAAGATTGGGAGAAGCCCCTATAAGCTTCCACAAGCCACCTCATTGTTCTCCTTCAAATCCCTCCTTAACACCTTCTCTGCCATAATACCTACAAAAAACACACAACAAAAACAACCTTTCCAATGGCTAGGCGACTGGCACGCGGAGACCTCTGCCTGTCATGAGGACTAATATTGTCTCATTGCTTCCATCTATACCATCTGTTGTCTCTTGTCTTATACTTAGACTGCAATCTCTTTGAGGCAGGGATTATCTTTTGTTGTGTTTGTACAGCACCTAGCACAATGGGATTCTGGGGCAGGACTCAGGCGCCTCGCTGCTACTACAACACACAACAAATAAATGAATAGGAGTTTTGGGTGAATACATTTCTTCTGAGGTGTTTTCCTGTGCATACCATGTGCTTTCCCTTCTGTTACAAGGTCTGTATAAATATTCCTGTTTTTATAATCCTTTAGTGGTTTTTAATAAAGCCAATTTCACCCCTCACCTTGTGTCTGCTGCATGTAATCATAAGGGAGAGGATGCATAGTCTTGATCAATATACAGCCAACTAAAATGAGGGTTAGCTTAATCAATTACATTTCCCTTTAGAAATACATTTAAAAAATACTGTGATAGGACTGACCGCATAGCTATCTGGTGGTATCAAGCATGTGCCAGCTGTATTAACAAATCCCTATAGAAGCCCCCCCACACTGTGCCTTCAGCATCTCCCATTTTGCCCCATCCCCTGCCTTATGATCTCTGCAACATTTTGTCATAGCTGCTGTCCTTCAAAGAGAAGCCTAGACTAGATCATTCTATAGCTGTAGCTCACGAAAGCTTATGCTCAAATAAATTGGTTAGTCTCTAAGGTGCCACAAGTACTCCTTTTCTTTTTGCGAACACAGACTAACACGGCTGCTACCCTGAAACCTGTCAACAATAGGTGTCACTGTTGATTGAAGCAAGACACTTCCCACTCCCAGAATAGAGTATGCAGTACAATAGGATAGTCTATCCGCCTACTGAAACGTATTGCTTCCTAAAAGGAAACTGATCTACACTAACAGTTTAAATTACACTTTTCACGTACACTTGCTGATATTTAATTTAGATGTAACCAAACAAGTCTTTTACTTTATTTTATATAATGATAATTAAAGAGGAACCAAATTAAATTTTAACAAACTGGTAGGCCTTCCAATTCATTTTAAATAAATAATCAGTTTGGCACATAATTGGAAATCTTTACAAAAACCAACCTTATTAATTCTAAATAAGACGCAACAGCTATAGAAATGAAAGGTTTGTTAAATATAATCTAATATTCCATAATCACTTTGCCCCAATGATGGCAAGAGATACAAGCCTATTATATCTGAGCAAACCCTCAAGGTGTTTAACAGTCACTTAGTATTTAATTAACACAGAATAGCTCTTATTAACTAAATTAAGTCTCCAATGCCCTTCCCATTCACTGCAGTCCACTGAAGAGCTGGGCTCGTTACCTCAAACCTTGAATACAGATTTGCCGGGTTCTCAGTTACACTAAGCCCCTTTTCAGAATAGCAGCCGTGTTAGTCTGTATCCGCAAAAAGAAAAGGAGGACTTGTGGCACCTTACAGACTAACACATTTTCCACTGAATGCATCCAATGAAGTGAGCTGTAGCTCACGAAAGCTTATGCTCAAATAAATGTGTTAGTCTCGAAGGTGCCACAAGTCCTCCTTTTCTTTTCACTAAGCACCTTTATACTTCACTTCACATTCACTTTCAAACCCCTTTACACTGCCAAAGTGGCGAAAGGGTCTTTTGTATAACTGATGCCTTGTCAGCGCAAGAAAATTATATTGGATTTCACCAAGTCAGCTGAGAGAGCAAAGTTGGCCTAGTGGCTAGGACACTAGGCTGGGACTCAGGCCTGGTTTACGTTTAAAAATTAGATCGACCCTAGCCACATTGCTCAGGGCTGTGAAAAACTGTGTGCCCTGAACAACGTGGTGAGGTAGACCAAAGCCTCAGCTGAGACATGGTTAGGTCAACGGAAGAATTCTTCTGCCTCTTTGAGAGATGGATTACCTACATCCACGGGAAACCCCCTTCTGTCAGCGGAGGAACCATCTACACGACGGTGCTACAGAGGCACAGCTACCGCGCTGCAGTCGCACCACGGCCGCAGGTGTAATGGAGACAGGCCTGCAGGAGACCCAGGCTCAACTCTATCCTTAGCCGGGGACTTCCCGCGTGATCTCTGGCGAGTCACTTAGGCCTCATCCCTACTTGAACGTTTAACCAACTGTTTCAGTCAGGAGTGAGATTTTTTTTTTTTTTTAAAAATGAAATAGTTATATAGGTAAAAGCCCTAAGATGGATGCAGTTCTATAGATATAAAGGGGACTCATACCAGTACAGTTATTTTCCATCCTAGATGGGAATAGCTATTCCCATATAAACCATCCTTACACCAGTCCAACTACATCCACAGTAGGGAGGTTGGACCACTATACTAGCATAATGAAAGCGGAAAGCTTTCTAGTGTAGACAAGGCCTTAATCCCTCTGTGCCTCAGGCCAGGACAACATTACAGACTTATATCGGTAGAACTATGTTGCTCAGGGGTATGACAACTCCCCCCCCGAACAACGTAGTTATACCGACCTAAACCCCTGCGTAGTCAGTGCTGTGTCAAAGGGAGAGCTTCTCCTGTCCACATAGCTGCCACCTTTCAGGAGGTGGATTAACTATGCTGATGGGAGAAGCTCTTCCATCGGCATAGTACCGTCTTCACTAAAGCGCACCAGTGCAGCTGTGCCACTGTACGCTTTAAGTTCCTCATCTGTAAAATGGGAATAATAGCATGGCCTACTTCAGAGGGGTGTTGAGAGAATAAATACACTAGAGTGTGAAATACTACGGAAATGGGGATCAGATAAATACCTAAAATACAAAGATTGCCATCAGTGCAGGCCACTCATGTGGGCAACTCTTGTTTCAGTTTACAAATGCCAAGGCAAACCAGTTTAATTAAAACAATACAATGTTCTCATGTGGACAAGGCCCACATACGTTTTAAAGCATCACACACTTCTCAGTGTGTTTAACAGCACACAGGGATAGTTTAAAGGCTACTCTAGGAGGTAAGAGCAGACTCCGGAAGACAACAGCTGGTGACCCTGGAAGAGGACAAAGAAGAGTGAGCTCAAAATGACAGCGCTGTTTGGCTGTGGTGAGTGGGCAGTAATAAAATGTGAGATGGTCAAAACCCTTATTTATTGTTTATAAACCGCTTTCAGTCCCCCGCCACGTCTGCTGGGATTCTGGTGATCTCAGCGTTTACAATATGATGGATGAAGAAGCTCAAAACACACGTCCACTTGGTATTTTTAATAGGATGCATAATGATTTGTATTGGTAAATTATTCCCCTCCAAGGAGTCTGAGCACATAACTCACACGCACCAGCGCTTCCACCGGTTATAAACACCTTTTGTTATTGACTGAGACAAAGCAGCATTTTGCCAATGTGTAATTAAAGAAATGGCATTAATATCATAAAACTGCATTTAAGAATAAACATGTATAATGGGGGATGGGGGGGGGAGAGGAGAAATACCAACTACCAGCCAGGGATATCTAAGCAAAGGGAGCAGGAAAAAAAGGTGAATCTGAATCAACTACAATAAAGTAGCAGTCAAAATACAGTTCCCACTACTAGCTTTTCCCTGTATCATCCATTAACTTTAACGACAGGTTCATAATTAGAATTGCTTCCAGCAGGATATTTACGCTACCATGTATCTATTTATTTTCAAAATCTTTAGATACTGGGCCAAGGTAGAATATTCTGTTTCTGTAAAAGTGCTAAAGTGGAACAGTTCCACGTATTAGCTGAAGCTGCAATGTTAACAGAAAAGACCACCGTGAATTGCAGGCTGGCATAGGTCATGGGCCCCTCCCTAGACCCCCAAAATGGTCCCAGTACATGTGAGAGGTGTTGTCTGAGCACATGACTGAGTTCTAATCCTGGTTAGGAGAGTGATTCCCATAGTAACCTTGATCAAGTCACTTAATCTTCATCTCAAAATTCTGCCTCCATCATCTGCAAATGGGAATAATACAGAGATTTACCTATGGCACCTTACCAGGGGCACTGGGATAGATTTGTTATTTAATTTTCAATTACCTTCCTACTATATAAAGTGTTATTGTATTAAGAAGAATGACAGTTTAAATGCCTATTTAACAGCAACAACAAAAATGCACCCTGCAGTAAAACTCAACTAGCCACTGGGGGAAAACATTTTATATAGGTAAAAAAAAAAAAAATCATTCTTCTAATCAATCAGCATTTTCCTGAGGCTAAAACCAGTCAAAGGACTTATTTGAAGGAGATCAGATACTGACTACACAATAAAACACAACTAGTAGTTTGCATGCCATGCATGCGCACCCACGTCTGGAATACATAAAGGGACCATCACTTGAAGAACCATTACTAGTTCTTACTGCCATAGATTATAATCCGTAAAAGATTTAGAACAAAGTTGTGTGATTTGAACAGAATGCACCCAGAAATAGAGGAGAGCGCTTCATGGGGCACATTCCAGCAGTCTGGACAAGTAGACAGGTCATTATGAGCCTGTTCTCTACATTATTGGGCCTACAGTCACACATTGCACTTACTTTCAACTGTACCACACGGAGTACCTCAGAGTCCTTTGTAAACAATTAAACCTCACAACCCACATGCTGCTCTGAACCAGGGAGAAATAAAAAAGTATTCTGTTTGGATCCGTAAAAATGGTTGTTTTAAAACAAGTGCACACTCCCTTGTGCTGCGGCTCTGGGTGCCTCATCAGAATAAAATACAAGTAATGGGCAGCCGGAACAAATAACAAAAAGTATCATTTTTAATTTTTTCCTTTAATAACAAGCCACGATTTTCAGAGAGAGGAGCCTAGAATTAGACTCATGTTTAGGCCTGAAAATAAAGGACCTGACATACAAAAGTGTTCAAAACCTAGGAACTTCAATTCACAACTGTAGTTAATTCAGATTCGTTTTCCTGAGCATCTCTGTGTAGACAATTACTCTTCCCCCCGGCCCATTTAGTCCACCAGACTAGCTCTACTTAGATGTTATAATACAATTCAAATTATTAGCCTTGGTGCAGGAATTACTGGGTGAAATTCTATGGCCTGTGTGCTATGCTGATGGTCAGATTAGATTATCACAATGGTCCAATATGGCCTTAAAATCTATACCCAAATGTCTTGTCCCAAATTCATACAGTGGGTCAGTGTAAGAAATGTGACTAAAAATCAGGAGCCTATATGTCCAGTTCCCCGCTCTAAGCACTAGATACACTTTCCTCCCTGAAAGGAGAAAGCCTTCACAGGTGATCCCTAAATCTTATTTTGGCATTTGAATCTAAAGCAGTGATGGAAACTGAACAAGATGGAGGGTTTTGTTTTGTTTTTCTCTTCTGACTTGCTGCTTCTATCCAGCATATGCCTCTTCTCTGTACCTAAAGGTCTGCAACTGTTGTGTTCATCTGGTGAGTGGTGGGTAGAGAGGAAAGTGATCTAAAACTTCACAGAGAATGACAAAGATGAAATTGTAACTCCAACTGCCATTTCTTAATTTTCACTGTATTTTCTGCCTGGCAGTTTAAGGAGTAGGAAGTAAATTGGTCTCTCTCTCTCTCCCTCTGAACATGACTCAGGCCTTGATTCAACAAAACATATGCTTATCTTTAAGCATATGCTTAAGCCCCATTGATTTCTAGCACATTGTGGGCACTATCAAAACCAAATAATTTCTGTCTTTATTGTGTTCCTCTAGCAAGCTAGATTGGAAGCCAGTGGTGGCTGCTACTGCCAGCCGTTGTAGCTATAGTCGAAGCAGTACTTACAGCTGATAGTAATTCCAAGCTCCACACCTCTTTTCTTGGGCAGTTTAACATGGAAAGTACCACTGCTGGGTATGACAGACTCTATAAAACCAAAACAGAGAGAAGAATAAAAGTAGGAAAGGACAGATTTTTCAATTGTTTTGATGGACCATTCTGAACCACCGAGAAAATTAGTTTTAAGACATATATTATAGGTGTTGATAAATGTAACATACTACATGATTTAGTCCATTCAATGTACTCATGGTTAACAATGGCAATCTAGATTTTTAGGAAAATTGGATTAAAAATATACATATTGTATGTACTGTTATCAGTAGAGAGAGAATAATCAGGAGGTGCAGGATTCAGAGGCAGCTCTGCCAAGCACACACACACACACACAGGAAACCAGTCATTGCCTTTAGTCTCCTCACTCTCTTAAGTCCATACATTTATAAAATATCTGAAAAAAAGATGACCTCTTCACTTATTAAGCATGCATGCCCACTAAGAGAGGTGGCTTCTGGATACAACAGGATTTAGACAGGGATCGAACGTATCTCTCTATTGCTAGCTCACATCAAATCAGTGACTCTTACCAAGGCTATAGAATGTTTATGGAGCAGGCTTTCCCTATACCGGGGCTAATAAAGAACTACCAGAGCCTTTTGGGGGATGCTGTGAGAGAGGTGAATGCACTGATTACATACCTGCCACGTCAAATTCTAACTCCAACACAACTTTGTTGGTTAGTGCTGCATCGCGCAAGAACTGATTGGCTTCTTCCATGGTCCCATCTTCAGTTGCAATGCCATTGATGGAAAGGACTCTGTCTCCGACTTGTAGCAGCCCACACCTGCAGTCCAGATCAGAAAAGGAGAAAAAGCTCAAAGACAACTATGAGTCACCTTTGCCAGACAAGTCAGTCACAATCTACAGATTGACTTGGAAGAATTCAATTTTTATTTTTTCCAACCATTTTGATGGATAATATCAATGTTTATTTAAAGCATTTTTTCCTATTTTTAGCCATTTCAATTTTCACAGTTGCAGGAAATAAGACAACGGGGCGGGGGGGAATCAATAATTATTATGACAGCAGTTGCTCAGATTCAAAAAGTTAAAGCTTTATATACCCCATTAAAACACAAAAAGAGTCAACTTAACATGTCAAAAGATACAAAGTAAACCTCCTTAAATTAAAACTAATTCATCCTCAAGCAGCATTTTTCGTACTTTGCCTACCTGCAAATGTCAGTTATCGATGGAAATTTTTTTTTTGTTGGTGTGTGTGTGTTCAGTGAACTAGACATTTACTGATAAAAATCTGATGTTTCCAAGTCTATTTATAGAAGACTAAAACAGCTGACAGAGGCAACACACTGGGGAGCCATGCGGGGTCATGTGCCCCCCGAGATTTGCTGCTTGGCTTGTACAGAGCATGCTCAGTAACACTGCTGAAGCCAGCTGCCCTTGCTCTGCTACCGTCCCCCCTCGCCCCCACGCACACACACCAGCAGGCACGGATCATCTCTGACAGCTGAGAAATGATAACATTAGGCCGCAAAAACAAGATACATAGCTCTAAAATACACACCCTAATGTAGAGAACCTACCAAGATCATCAGGAACAAACTCACAAGCACGGATATTTTCAGAGTTTGACCTACTCTTTGCTCAGTCACGTTCTGCTCCCAAATAGCAGTTCTTCAGGTTTCCTGCAGTGTACACAGAGAAATCTCTCTGCCACCCCTAGAAACCAAACCCACAGCTGTGAAATTAGATAAAAACTAGTTGCCTTTGCTCTCTAACCATATCTAATGGTACACAGCTCTCCATGTGTGCATGTCTGAGTCTCCTAGAACCCAAAATAATGATACTGAAAATTACAGCGTCCTCCGATTAATATAGGACTAATATCAAAGTTACAATCCAATGAACTCACCAAAATGTCTCAGCAAATTGGATAATCATTCATCCCTTGTAATTGCATTTCCTGACGCCAAATGTACATTGATGCTGTTTACTGGCCTCGAAAGGCCAATATTATTGTTTGATGCTCTTCCAATATAACCACAACTGACACTTTAAAAAAAAACCAAAACGTAACTGTGTAACAACTTTTTAATTCAGAAGAAACCAAAGAACTCTACAGTTGGGTTGGAGTTGTATAACTGTAGCATGCATGCCACATATTGTGGGTTTCATCTGTGCATATGAACAGAGCAGAGTTTTTGCAAACACTAAGCAATACGTTTGCAAACAAACCCCAATCTCACCTGCCTTAACCTCAGAAGGAAATCTTAAGACTTCTGTGCCATCCACCACAGCTCGTCTTGCCTACCGCGTTATTCCACAAAGACATGAATGCAGTGCTGTACCTGGGCTTTCCATTGCCCATTGGGCAGTTTTGTCTGTCTCACACACAAACATGTAACCATTGAATTATGGCTAGAAGGAAGGGACTAAACCCATGAAATCTTTCCAAAATTTTCTTCTCTTGCATTCCTCTTTAGTTACCACAGCCAAGCACTGGTGCAGAATTCCAGGATTTATAGCAAGTTCTTCTTTCAGTCAACTTAGAATGGTCTCCAAAATCTCTCGATGGGTATTGGCTTTAAGTGTACAGGTGGAGAAAAAGAACTCTCCCAAGTTTCAGAACTCAGGTTCTCCAGCTCAGTGGGATCTTTATCTGTTACTGACCATGCAAAACCTTTAGCTACCCAATTTCAAATATCATCGATTTGTTTCACAGAGCAACCATATCTTAACAATCCCATACCTCACTCCAAGCACGACTGGATTGTAAGAGAACAAGTCACCTGTGGTATCAAGGTTTGTTACTACATTAAGAGGCCGTCATGGACAAAGGAGACTAGGAAGTAGCTGTCATTCCAAACAAGCCCTGGATGCAACCGGCCAAGATGTCATGAGAGCACACTTACATTGTGGTGTTGAAAAATGCACATGCTCAACACCTTTTCTCTCTAGAGGTTGGAGAGGTGATTTTGCTGGGGGGAGGGTATTTATTAAATCTGTGTTATGTTATGGGGCTGCCTGGGTTACGTTATCCATGGAAAAATGAAGATGTATTTTTAAAGAATATGTCAAGGAGACCCAGAGATGCCAGGCACTCTTCTGTGTACTATAAATGTGAATCATTGCAGTTTTAATTGGCTGTACAATCAATTAGATGCTTCACTGGTCCTCTGCATGTGCAGCTACTATGATTTGATGTGGCTAGATGTGGAAATTGTGGCTTATAGAACTTAAGACTCCCAACGGCTGTGACAGAAAGATTTCCTTCAGCACTATGAACTCTGTTGCTGCAGCACTAGGTCTTACTGAGAAGGAACCAACAGCAGCACGACAAAAAGGTATTACATTGTGATCACAAGGTCAGCTAAAGACTGAACCGGCTGTGACACTGCCATGGTTTTCATCACGGGACAGCAGGGTCATTGTGTGCCCTCAAACAACAACAGAGAAGATGGCTGCCCTTTTCCTCACTCGAGCTGCTTGGACAGGAGACGCAGGTTCTTACGTTCCTTCGCTCAAGTTAAATTTTCCTCGCAGGTTTCTAAAATGTTGTGAAGTGAAGCCGTGACCTCATGTCCCCCTTCATGAAGGTGCTGAAGCCAGATGTGCCTTGTTAACTCTAGTCTACAGTATCATCTAGTGGTGAGTGAAGGAGACTGGGAGTCAAGACTCCTGTGTTATTCTTCTGGCTTTACCACTGACACGCTGGTCTTATGCAGACCAAACCCTCTTTCAGTCTTTTTCCCCACCAAGATGACACCCAACTTATGGGTGGGCTGCGTGGCTTTCATCAGCGTTTGTAAAGTGCTGCGAGATCCTTGGAAGAAAAGTGCTACCGATGAAAAGAATGAGGAGGCTGGTGTATTCTTGAGTGAACGACATACTTCTTTGTAACACTGGAGTTCATCGTGTTGGATGCCTTCACTTGGGTTTAATGTCTGCTCTAAATGAGCTTTACATTTTGTTATGGCTGATACGATGTGCAGGTCGCATCCTAACCTGATAAAAACTTGGTGGCAACTTTCACTGGTCACTAATTTTTCTCACTTGTGAGCTCTTAGTGTTACTGGCTTCCAGGTGCTATGATCAAATGACAAAAATCTGAGCAGAACTTGATCATCATACACATTGTAAGGAAAGTGATCACTTTAGAAGGGCTTTTGCCAGCGGGAGAGTGGGGTGGGGGGTATTTTTTCATGCTTTGTGTGTATAAAAAGATCTTCTACACTTTCCACAATATGCATCCGATGAAGTGAGCTGTAGCTCATGAAAGCTTATGCTCAAATAAACTGGTTAGTCTCTAAGGTGCCACAAGTACTCCTTTTTTTTTTGAGCAGAGCTGGAGATCTCAGAACCTAAACAGACTTAGATTTTGGCACCCAGACACAGACAAGAAAGCCTCGCCCATTCTCCTGGCAAATATGCACTCTCCAAAGGGCTGATCCTGCAGACTCTTCCTCCCACGGATAGTGCCCTGAAGTCACTCTGGTAAGGAAGGGTTACTTTACTTGTTTCAGCAGCACGTTTAGTTACATGAGGGAGAGGGAAACAAACACATTTAGAGGCAACCAAGAGGAAATGATAGACACCCAGCTTATACCACTCCAGCTGCTGATGCAGAGGGCTGAGTCACAGCCTAATTTTCAAGGCCAGAGGGCTCAACCTGCCCCCATTAAGCGGAGTGACTGATGGGGAGGGAGGACTCTTAGATGCCACCAGCTGTAAACCTGATCACAGGGGTGTCTTTCCCTTGAAATACCTGTCACAGGGTCACTGGAAACAAACACTAGTTGGGTGACACATTGACTTGTTGCCAAGGAGAACTTAGCCTCTTCCTGCACCAATTGAAAGATGCAGTACATTCTCTTTCTAAACACAGCCTGGTGCTGCTGCCTAGTGTAAGGCGCTGACCTAAAACAGAGCACTCTAGAGGGGATAGGAATCAAATCCTCTCCCCTTCGCTTGGATTCTCACAGACCATTCTACAGCAGGCACACAGCACTGTCAGCTCATAAAGCAAGTTTCCACAGCCAGATGTTGCGTCTCTCACTCAGTAGCTATTGGGAACTGGCTAGCTGCTTTCAAGAGAATAGTGGCTATACCGGGAATTGACTCAACTCACCGGAACTGCACTATGTCCCACCCCATTAAACAGAGAAAAACCCAAAGGCGGTGAACAGGTGAGACCGGCCAATGAGAGAGAGTGAGTTATGATGGTATCACAACATGAGGCAGACCGCATCCCCATGGAGGACAGCCGGATGAGAAAAAAAAGCAAGACTAGGGAAGGAAAAGTTACATTCCTGGGCCTTGCGTCCTTCCTCGCACTCAAAAGGCTTTCCTTCCCTGCTCCGGAACGGCTCCCCCGGCTGCAAATGCTCAGCCAGCCTCCAACCAGCCTCCTGTTCCACAAGCATAGCCGACCAGGCAAACGCATGCTCTCTCATATACAAACCGGGGAGCCCAATTTGTTTGCACAGGTGGCTACCCAACGTTTGTGTAGCACAGAGACTGCACGCACATGGGTGAGCATGTCGAAATGAAGGCCAGCCACGAAAGACGATTTGGCCTCGTAAGTGGAAGAAAATGGCTGTGATATCTGGAGTAGTAGCAGTTAGAACAGTACCTGCTAAGGAGGAGAGAATAAAGTTCCTGGCCTGAATGGAGGTTAGTACAATTTTCTTTTGGTCTCCCTACATATCTCCTCTCTCCCTCCCCCCTAAACACCGACCGGATTCTATTGTGCCAGGAGGGCAACAACAATATGATGAAGGTGTTTTACCTGTGACTAAGAGGCTAGGAAAGGTGGCCTGCTATGTTGAAGATAGCACACATTGCAGAAAGTAATTTTCAACATCCAAATAATCTGTACTGCAAAGCAGGGAAGATAGTTCTCTGCAATCTGAATGCATGAAGGTGATGACTGGCGGAGCGAGAATCCTGCTGGGTGGTCAGCTAAGAAGAAAAGCTGCCTGCATGACACGTTAGATCCAGGCAAGACCGTGCAGCAAGTCTCTGCTCTCGCTTGGGGCTTGGCAAGAGGATAAGAGAGGCAGCGCTGATTCCAAACCCTCCTGGGAGAGAAGGCTTTGTTAATGCCTGATTTATAAAAGCAGTTAGGGATTTCACAACACGGTCCAACTCCACCACATTAATGGGAAATAAAACCACCGTCGTTTTTATAAATTGGATTTTAAATCCAAACGATAAAGGCGCAGAAGGCTTTAGCATCCCTACCAACTGGTGCCACAGCTGGACAATATTTTCAGGGAGACCTCGGAGAACAGAAGATACTTCTTTTCTTTTTGCCACCACCACCACCTCACAAAGTTTGATCCTAAGTATTTAAACTATATCTGCTGTGATTACGTACAACACAGGCTGCCCCACAATATGGATACCGCGATGCAAAGATTCAGATTTTTTCTGCTTGAGACTCTTAAATGCCACTAGGCCCTCTCTGTGGTGTGATCAATGTTTTATTTGTGTAGTGTGGTTTGTGGCAGCTGAAGCCTTGCCAGGGAGATAAAACATTAATCAAGCCTGCAGAGATTTGTTGTGCTAGGGAAAGAGCCACAGTAGGAACCGGGAGCTATTTGTTACTTCCACCACAGCATTTGGCAGGACAGATCATCAGTGTAAATCACAGGCAGTTTAAGGAATTGTCCATAGGGGTGGGTGCATGCGGTTAGTTTTGAAACTAATGTACCTTGTTCAGTGGGAATTAAAAGCAAGGCTGTAGCCAGAGAATGCTATGTAAACATGGCTTCTTATTCAAACCAGCGGTGGTCTTGTTTGAGTCTCCACTGGTGACTTTACTGGCACTATGTAAAGACAATATTTGGTCCCGTAATCCCACAGGAGCCAAGGTAACTCTGGAAGTACAATCTCGATTCTATTCTGCTCCATGAATAATCATTGCTAATTACTCTGCCTCACTCTCAACATTGTCAGCTAAATTTGAATTGCAAGGGTCTTTTTACTGGTAACAATGTAAGAGGGAGGAGGAACAGATTGATTTTTAGAGCTTGAGAGTTATGTTGGGGAAAAAAGCCATCTGTGTGGCCCTTTGGCTGGAATACAGAACTTGGGCTCACAACACCTGGATTTTAGCCCCAACTCCGGCACTGGCTTGCTGCACCACCTTTGGCAAGTCACTTCACTATGCTGTCCCTCAGTTTCCCTGTGCGTAAAATGGAGATAATGACGTTTAGCCACCTTCTTGAAGAGCTCCGAGATGCTGAGTTGGAGAGCGAGATAAGCATGCTACGTAATATTCTCTTCTGACCTGTGAAGCAAACCAACCTACTACTGAGTCTCAGTGAGGTACACATGGAGCCAATAGCGTCATTTTTATAGTCATTTCTGGCTCCAACTGCACTTAAAATAAAAAAAAAAGACGTCACAAAGCACGTGGCAGGCAGACAAAACGATAAACACCAGCATTCAACTGCCACAGAAATAGACGCTTCAGGTAACGCTCACACAAACTGGGTATGACCTTCCACTGAAAACCAGATATCAGACAGCAGCACAACTCCTCCAGGAGATGATGGAGCCATCTCAGAGAAGGGACAAGGTGTTTTTCTGGGTGCACCTGTGCAATGCCAGAAGATCCTGTGGAATTCGCAGCCTCTGGTGCTTCACTAGAGCCCACACCTAGTTTGATTTAGGGCACAGAGCGAAGTGCGTTTCTTTATACAGGTCTTTGATTAGTCAAACCACAGGCCTGCTGAGCCAATTACAGTTAATTTTAATGAACTGTGACCATTTCGTGGTACATTGGCTTTAATTGTAGTGAAAACCCAAATGCTGCTGTAGTGGCCAATGCATACAAATAAATATTGATGCTCTCCTAGATGGGAAGGAGATTAAAATTAAGTTCCATGCTGGAATATGAGGAAATGCAATGTCTGAAACAAACCACCAGCAAGTAGGCCCTCCAGTACAGTACCGATTCACTTCCCTGTACTGAACGCACAAGCACTAAGCCACACCCAGTGAGGAACTGGTGATAATGAAAAGATAATCAATAAAAAGAGGAGTAATGGGTGAAAGACACGTCTTTGAAAAAGGAAACCATCAGCAACATCATGCAGTGATCAAGGGCAAGGTCTCTAACCTCTCTGCTGGGCTGTCGGGCTCAATAAATCGGACGAGGGGCGGGGAAGACAGGGTTTCAGTAGCAAAGATCCCACCCTGGAGTTGAAGGCCAAAGCCATTCAAGGGGTCTCCCCTTAGGATCACCTCTGTTGTTTCTGTGTGAACAATCTGCCCGCCAGGACCCACTGTACTAGAAGCCAGCGACACTGAAATGAGAGAAAGCATTAGAGGCGGTGGTTAGCAGTTAGCTTTGTGCAAGGTCTGTAGAAACGTGGCTCCCGTGTTGCCTCGTGGCTGCAAGTGCACACAAGCCATTCCCAACTGGCCATTCTGCATCGTTCCACGGTAAAGGAACACTGCCGGGGAGGGGAGCCTAACATGAACACACATGGAGGTGGATGCAGTATGTCACAGGAGCACCACTTATCAGCAGGGACAGAGGGGCAAGCTCATGATTTGCAAGGTCTCAAGCAAGAGCAAGACCTAAAAGATGCAGGCAGGAGAGATTGGGGGGGGGGGCGGCAGTGATTAACTTGGGCCAGGACTCTGGCCCCACTGCAGGAAAGGTTGGAGTAGAAGGAGCAGTACAAATTAAGGGAGAGAAACTAAACTCATGACAAAGTTTCTCCAAACTCTGATCCCTGCTGGCAAAAAGGTGGGGAGGAAAAGGGGACTGCAAGATGCTGTCAGCACAGCATTCACAAAAGCACAGGGCCCACCAGTCTCTTCCACTGCTTGTGTCCAAGGCTGGCCCTAATGAGGACACCTGAGTAGGAAGAGGGAAGGGTTGGTGGCACTGAGATCAACACACCCTTCTAGCCAGGCATCCCACTTACAAGAGCTCTTGTGGTCCTTCTTCCTCTGTCTCCTCCTCATCATGGTGGCACGCGGGCTCATGGGTTGGGAGCTCCGAGGTAGCGTATTCGAATTCTGGCAGGGGAAACCTTGTGTGTTCATGCTGGGCGATGAGAAATTGGCAGCAACCAGAGCTATGCAAACACAGAACATGTTACATACCCACACGAAGAATAATAAATAAGAGAAAACAAACCTAGCTCACCAGCATGGTTAAACGCAAACTTTTAACTCGCCAGTTATACATCAAGCAAGCAAGCAAGCAAGCAAGCAACTACTTCAGCAGATTAAAACAGGACATGCTTTCTGCTGGAAACTTCCATTGCCTAACCACGCATGCACTCACTGGCGTGTTTACTGTAAGGTTGCCTATGATTATGCTGGGCACACTGGTGTGTTACTGTAGGACTGTCTCCTCCTTAACCAAATATGCTGGTATCATTAGTATAGAGTTGCCTTCTTTGCAGCATGTCATCATCATATTGTAGAGCTGCCCAAGAGCATGCCTAGCTAGTTACACTAGTGTGTTATTATAGGGTTGCTCAGCACGCTGGGCTTTATTGTAGGGTTGTCTGCTCCCCTCCCCCATGTGCTGGACTGCACACACTCACTTAACAATAAAAACCTCATTACGGATTTTTGGACACAGATTTGGAGACCAAGAAAGTGGTGGGTCACATTCTGGATCGATAACCTTGACAGTGTTCTTTAAGCTTACTGTGGGAGGTGAGTGGTCAGTAAGCACGACCGCAGAGCTACTAGCTCTTGCGGAGAGAGAGACACAAATGCTTAGTGGATGGGTTACATTTGCAATAATCTTGGTTGGAGGTCTGGTTCCAGGTGGGTGTCTTGCAGTGCCCTGGATGGTGGGTGTGGCAGTAGTTGACACAGGGATCCCAGCAATGGTGATGGTCACTTTTCTGCACCTTGACTGCAATCAGCACACACAAGAAACAAAACCACAAAGACAGGGAAAAGAAAATTAAGATAAGCAACGAGGAACAGAAGCCTTTGAGGATTCAGCCATTGGGAGAGCTGTGTAGATCAGTGGATCAATGCACTAGCCTTTCCCCACGGGGGACTTTGAGTCAAGTCACATTAGCACCACTTTATTGAGCCAGGCACCATGCAGGCGTCTCATGCACACAGTCCTGCCAGTCTCGACAAGGGCTGCAACATATACCAAACTTCCACATCCCCACCAACGTCCCATTGGTAAGAACAGCCATAATTTTGTTTGGGTAGGAAAGCGGTGTCAGGGTGCAGTGACAGAGTGTCAGCAGCAGGGATGTGTCACTGAGTAATGTCACAGCACAACAACAACTGGATGATGTGGATGTCGGAAATTTGCTTCCCCAAGAACTAGGCTTCCATTCACCTCAGAGCCGCTGGCGTGAATCTAACCCAGGTTGGTAGTGCCCAAGACTCATTACCATCTGAAAGCTGTTGTATAGTCACGGGTATTGCTTACACTAGAGCATTTTAGCCTGTGAAGCCTGGAAGCCTGTGAAGCCTGGTCTACACTGGGGCTCCTGCTGGTGCTAACACTATTTCAGTGGCACCATGCGCTGGGAGCCCTACTGTAGACAAGGCTTCAGAGGCTGCAGGAGGTTTCGAAAGGGAGTCTTGTCTGCTGTAGGGTTCACACCTACACTACCACTGGTGCAGATGAACTAACAGTAGCACTGGTGGGATTTTTCCCCCTAAAACACACGTACCGTAGATAGGGCCAATGCAAAATGCATTTGTGGTCACTATTTGTTCACCAGTGGTCAGGCATCTATATAAAAAATGACTACCAGAAAAAGCCAAAGATTGAAGGGTCTCTGAGACAGAACCATCCTCTTACCAGGGCAGAACTAAACATATTAACAGAGCACCACAGGGGATTCCTGCCAATGCTGAACACTATATGTGCATGCTGAAGGGAGCTCAGTTTTTAGAGCTTCATCTGGCACCTTTTACCAGCATTAACTTCACCAACCAACAGATAATGTCACACCTAGGCCAAGGCTAATGGTGATGGGAGGGACTCCTGTCATGTTGAGTTGTGGGCTCCAGAGCACTCACCAAGGCAGAAGAAAGAGGGAAGGGTTTTTTGTTTGTTTTTCATAAATCTTATTAAACACACAAACCGCACACACTCCGCCTCCACTCAAACAGAAAAAGGAGCCTACATTACAGGAAGTCTACACAAAAAAAAAGCTTTAAAAACCAGGGCGCAAACATGACACTTGGCAAACATGCAGGAAGCCACTCGACGGCTTTCCTTTTTATCCCTTCTTCCAGCCCAGCACTTCAGGGGGTTCCATAGCAGCACAACGGTTTGCCTGTGCAGATCTGATTGTAGGATTAGGGTCCTAGAGCATAGTCTCCATGCAGGAGCTACCTTGGCTTCACGATACCTATTTATGGTGCCATGCACACTCTTTGAGGTGAACAGATAAATGAATACCAAGATGCATGCACATTTTCTGTTCTGTCTGAAGTGATATTTGAATGTTTTCTTATCAAGGCCCCTGGACCAAGAACTGGCCGTGGCCACTGACGTGGTTTGATTTCCTACTCCCACAGCACTTGGATCTATTTCCCGGGTGACGTGCATCGTGCTACCTATCTATATTTTCGTTTCCTGGTGGGCAATGCTTGACAAAATGAGCAAATTTGCAACAGACCCTCTTTTCAGCAACATACAAACTGCATCCCACAGCAGACAGTCACTGTAGCCACGACTTATAGGGGAGCTCCTTTAACCTTTCACAGACTGATAACCACCCTTCACGGATGAGATATTCTCTGCAAACTGAACTCTCTCTCTCCAAGTGTAATTGCTGGCAGCACAAGCAGGATCAGCTCTGACCAAGAAACAGATCCCCGACAAGGACACCCGCTCGACTAGTGACTTCGCCACACAGATTTGATCTAAAAAGTTATGTTCCCTGATGATCTAAACACTGGAAGTAAATTCTGCTTATGTGATACCCATCACACCATAGGCTTCCATAGGCACTTTACACCAATCACATTGTTCAGCTCAGGCATTTCCTCTGCAATTCTGTGTACTTGTTTCTCTGCGTCCCGTGTGATTTATTTAGCGAACTGAGCAGATGAGAAACTATCTGCTTTTTAAAAGACATGGCTCCAGCTATGCAGTTTGCATGCTGTGAATATAGGGGACACTGTTCAGTAGTTCAGATTAGGGTTGCCAACCTCTAGGAGTGGCCTGGAGGCTTCAGGGAATTAAAGATTAAGCCATGTGTTGAAACCTCCAGGAATACGTCCAACCAAAATTGGCAACCCTAGGTCAGATCCAAAACACAGGAGTTTTGTTCTCATAAAACCAAATATTAAACAGTATTTAATGAAGAGTAATTGACATTCTTGTGTCTCTATGGGATGTCAATGGCATCTACCCACCTACGCTCTGCTGCTCTCCAGAAGGCGATATTCTAGGCCTTACACACCTGCCATCCACTGAAGAAGTTTACCTGTTTTGTGTTGCATGGCCCATTTTTCTTGTGCCCTCATTTGTTCCCAGATTCACATGAACAGGATACTGCAAAGAGGGTGGCAGAGTAACACCCACACCCTGCTCCGTGTACAGCCCTATGTACCCGTACAAGATCAACCACCTGAAGCTTATTATGTGGTCCTGGGGGTTAATCACTATGGGGCAAATTCATATCTGTGCTGGCGTGAGCACTGGTGCAGGGACATAGCGGAGGTGGCTTGTGCTTCCCTTATTCTGGGCAGCCAGGGTCCCACTGCCACCCTCCTACAGCCTCCCCCTGCCCTTGCAGTGGGGGAAGGGGAGGGACTTACATGGAGGGGGTACTAAGACCCTCTGTGCAGGGGTTATTCCCTGGGGAGGGGGGGAGGTTTATGTCTGCCCTACAGCCCCTTTGCACCAACCTAGACAGTATAAAGAGGCTGCAAGGCAAATATCAGTTTGGCCCTAAGAGCTCAATCACTTACGATGCAGAGGGCCACCCATTCCCACGGAGGTCAATGGGAACAGAACGTGCTCAGCTTCTTGCAGGACCAGCCGCCACAAGAAAGCTGCAGATGCCTGTAAGGCAGCATTGTTCACCAGTTCTCCCACTCCTAGACCCCGCAGATAGCGGCCTATTACTTCACTAAGGGCTCAGCTCTATGTATACATATACACACACACACACAGATAGATAGGAGCAGGGAACATTTAAGGACATACACCAGCCTGGATCCACAGCACACAGAGCTCTGCTTCATATCAACGGCCGTTCAACGTGCAGCTCAAGGGCATCTGTTTGTTTTGACCTTCATTCGTTAAACAGTTTAAATAACGTGGGAACAGTTGTCACTTTCATACCTTTTGCCTTGAAGTGCCATGATTATGCTAAGAAATTTGCACTCTGGATTGCTACTATGGTTGGCTGATCTAAGTGGGGATGGGAGGAAATGACTGGGCACATACACAAAGCCATCCCTCCATTAAAGGCACCTCCTGAATGCATGTGTTTTGGAAGGAGATTAGGAGCAGGGCACCAAAGCAGGAAGGAGAATGCTCATTTTAACGGCTGTTGAAAAAGGATTAGTTTTCCATTTTTCTTGGGCACCTGGGTCAAGTCATTAGCCCCTCTGCTCAACTGCTCTAATTCTGCACAAATTAATCTAGGCATTTTAGAGCTTTAAACTTTTCTAGAAAAGGAGCAGTTATTAGGGTTTTATGATCCATTAGATTATGCTAACGGACATTACAAATTCCTCCTTTCCCAAGTCATCCTGGAGGGGTAATGGACTGTGAGCTTCGCCTTGGGCTATTATCGGTCACCAACGACTAAATGGGCGCGTGCAAGATTGGTGCCCTGCAACCAGGCGACTGAGAAAGCACCATAGAGGTGATTGGAACTGGCGGTTACATTATCTGATCCTGGGCACCATGAAACACTAACAATCAGTCTCGACTTATTCAGTCCCCAGAAAGAGCAGGCCTGCTGTGCAGAATGTGAAGTTTACCCCTTAACAGAGCAGGCTGGGACTGCATTAAATATTATGGTATCGGCACTGAATTCAGCCTAGGTTTAGATGAGGATCCGACCCTCTGCCAACTCTTGTCTTATAGGAGGAGAGATTAAGGCACGGTGTACACTTGGAGCTGGGGGTGTGATTCCCAGCTCACATGAACATATTTCATGCTAGTTCTCATCTGAAGGAGCATGCTAAAAATTGTAGCAGAACCACTATAACATGGGCAACAGCAGCGTGAGCTAGCAGCTACGAGTATAATCCCACCTGGACCCTGTGGATAGGGCAGCTAGCCTATGCCATGATGGTCCATGCTACCATGGCTACACTACCATTTTTAGCATGCTCCTTCAGATGAGAGCTGGCACCAGGATGCCCACACAAGCCAGGAATCACTCCCCCAGCTCAGAGTATAGACGTACCTAAGGGCACATCTACACTGCAATCGGAGCTGTGACTGCAGCACTTGTAGCTATACCCATGCGATCACAACTAAAAATACCAGTGTAGACACGGCAGCACAGGCTTCAGCCTGGGCTAGTAACGCAAGTACATGCCCAGGGTCTCCAGCACGCTTGTCCAGTCTGCACTGAAGTCCATGACATTGCATTTACATTGCTATTTTTAGTGGTGCTGGTGTGGGTAAGTCTGCCTGCACTGAAATCACACCTTGGGTTGCAGTAGAGACTTACCCTAAGACGGATAACAACAAGGCTTCCGAGGGTGAAATCCTGGGGGGTTTGTCATTGACTCCTTTAAAGTGATATTTCCTCTCACTGATTCTTCTAGTCCACCACCTTCTTCTGCTCAGACTCAGGGGCACATGATCAAGCAGCAATTACGGCAGTGCTGAGCAGGAAGACCAGCACTCATGTTTCTGCATTTTTTCCATAACTGGACCAACTTGTGGTCTAATTCTCTATCTACTGGCATCATTCACAAGGCAAGTGCCAGGCCCTGCACAATTAAAGATGCACCTTGAAAGCCAGATGCCTATGTAAGGATTGTTGAATAGAAAAAAAAATCATTTTGGGGTACCCTTGTAATAATTGGGCTTACACATTTATTTTAAATGTAAACTCAATTAAAAACAATATAAAGTTCATAAAAAAAATCACAACCTATAACCAATGTTAAAAAGGATGACCCCTCCAACGCTCCTAAATTAGTCTAAAACAAAAAACTAATATAGTTCAAAAACCTATTAAAATCATACCTAGTAAACAAAAAAGTAACACCAAAAATAAATCAAAATTAATCTGAAATGTTTAGCCTAATTAATAAACAAAATGACAAAAATAAGCTATTCCACCCACCATTCCCTTTAAAAGTTCTTTAAAAAAAACTTTAAAAAACAAATTAAAAACTGAAGCAACTAAAGCAATTTTCACCATCATAACTGCCACCCCCATCATCTGCCAAGACCCCAGGCCTTCATCATCATCCTATGTGATGTCCTGACCAAACAGGGCAAAAGGAATGTTATCAAGGATCATCATCACCACCTCTACCGGCTCCAGCCAAATCCCAAACACCACCTACAATAAAATGAAATCAAACTTTAACAGTGGCAGCAGCAGCTCCAGCCTATGCCAACTAACTTTTCTCCTTTACCCAATCTAAAACGCTGTCAAACAAGGGGGGGGCGGGTTCTTCTAAACTCTCTCTCGCTGAAAACAAACAAACCAAAAAACCCCTTAAAATAAAAGCCTTACTTAATGTTTTACATTTCAAATCCTTTAACTGTTTTTCTTATTAATAATGAATGTTAATAGTATATTTGCCACAATAATAAGCAAGGGTAAAGTCCCTGTAAATCAAACCTGCATTTAATGTTAAACAGTAAGTGGGTTATGTTAATACCATTAGCCCTTTTATTCCATCTAAATTAATACAACAGGACTAAGGATGTGAGCTTAGCACAGCTTGTGATGCTGCAGAACAATGGATTCCCAAATCAGATGTGCCCATACAAGCCTAGAGGTTAAAAAGAAAAGGAGTACTTGTGGCACCTTAGAAACTAACCAATTTATTTGAGCATGAGCTTTCGTGAGCTACAGCTCACTTCATCGGATGCATACCGTGGAAACTGCAGCAGACTTTATATACACACACAGATCATGAAACAATACCTCCTCCCACCCCACTGTCCTGCTGGTAATAGCTTATCTAAAGTGATCAAGTTGGGCCATTTCCAGCACAAATCCAGGTTTTCTCACCCTCCACCCCCCCACACACAAACTCACTCTCCTGCTGGTAATAGGCCATCCAAAGTGACAACTCTCTACACAAGACGTTCTGGTTAAACTTGTATTTAAACTTGGAGAGTGGTCAATTTGGATGAGCTATTGCCAGCAGGAGAGTGAGTTTGTGTGTGTGTGTGTGTGTGTGTGTGTGTGTGTGTGTGTCCCCGGGGAAAAAAAAAGGGGGGGTGTGTGAGAAAGCCTGGATTTGTGCTGGACATGGCCCACCTTGATTACCATGCACATTGTAGGGAGAGTGGTCACTTTGGATGAGCTATTACCAGCAGGAGAGTGAGTGTGTGTGTGTATGGGGGTGGGGGGGTGAGAAAACCTGGATTTGTGCTGGAAATGGCCCACCTTGATTATCATGCACATTGTGTAGAGAGTTGTCACTTTGGATGGGCTATTACCAGCAGGAGAGTGAGTTTGTGTGTGGGGGGGTGGAGGGTGAGAAAACCTGGATTTGTGCTGGAAATGGCCCAACTTGATCACTTTAGATAAGCTATTACCAGCAGGACAGTGGGGTGGGAGGAGGTATTGTTTCATGATCTGTGTGTGTATATAAAGTCTGCTGCAGTTTCCACGGTATGCATCCGATGAAGTGAGCTGTAGCTCACGAAAGCTCATGCTCAAATAAATTGGTTAGTGCCACAAGTACTCCTTTTCTTTTTGCGAATACAGACTAACACGGCTGTTACTCTGAAGCCTAGAGGCTAGTCACTTTTTTCTATTAGTTTACTTGACAAACTTCGTCTCATCCACTGTGTTTCAGCAGAATGTCTATTTTTCTCCCCAGATGTCTCTCCCTGGAGCTATCCAATGTTTTATGAGAACCACGGTACAGATATTACATCAGCATTAAAAACAAACAAACAAGGTTTGGCTTCTTACTGCAAGTACACACCTGTGTCTGGAGGTTTCAGGGGGAGTCTGCTCTGGTGAGCAGGGAGTATTTCCAACTTGACATTTTCCGAAGTGGTGGCTAAGAGCTGAGTGGCCTCTAACAAGGAACAGTGCTCTGTGCTGGTGCCATCGATGGAGAGGATGTGATCACCAATGTGCAAGGCCCCACACCTGCAGAGAAAAGACACAGCCCATTATGTAAGAGCACAGATTTGTGTCCTGTGGTTAGGATTAGAGTTGGGCAAAATTCAGCAATTTTGGTTACCAGGGCTTTCACGTGAACCTGTTTTCTTCTCAGTTTTCTGATCTCCCCTTTAATTTCCAGCTTCTAGCAAATGAAGCCAAAAGCTCAAAGGGTGACAATCAAGTTTGGATTGGTTCAGTTGAAGCCAAATCAAAAACCTATGAGATTCTAATATTTTGCACCCACAGGATAAGTTGGCTGAAAACCCAGCCAGCTTCTTTATGAATATAGGCCGAGTTTCAGGTGTACATTAAATCCTGGCAGCCAATGAAGGAATTCAATGACAAGACTATTACACTAATCATGACCTAGGATTGTAGAAAGGCCTGTATTTCCTATACCCTAGCATAAAGCAATAAAGTGTATATAACAAATGGGCACAAGCCAGAAACATCAGCTCTACATTTTGGAACATCTCAAGGCTTGAAGATATTCAGATGTAGACTTTATATTTGGGCTCAATTCTCATATGCATTGGATCAAATTTGTTGCTGATGAATAGAGTCCAATGAGATTTTTTTTAATCCCACCAATTTTGCACAGAATCCTTGGACATTGCTAAAAAAAATACATTATTTTTTCTAGAAACTAGTGCATTTCAATGGGGGAGAAGTGGAATATAACTCAAATGGAACAAAGTAAGCAGCAGAGAAGACAAGTGCAACACTGCCATCTTGCTCGGGTTCATACCTGTCCACCACACTGGCGGGCTTGATCTTGTCAATGACTATGACCTGTTTATTCCGATGTGTGCCTGTTGTCAGAGTAATTCCTAGTGTAGATCCAGGAGTCTTGGCTATTTCCACTAGTAACGGACCGGAAGCATTGGCTACAGTATCTGAAAAACAAAAATAGCATGGAGTTTTAAGACAGTTCTATTGCAGTTTTGCCAACTATAAAGTATCGAGGAAGGCAAGGTAATTTGCACGTTCACCGGTATAGACGGAATCTTAAATACCCAGTTCTCTCTATCCGCCTCTTGCTGCACCTTTACTTCCTCTTGTGTCAATACGCAAGTTCTGTGGCTTCAAAACAAAGATGTGGTAATAGGTTCTAGAGCTATTACAAAGTTGCACCAGTTTCCACATGACCACCTTTTATTACATTGATGAAATAAGATCAGGCCAGACAGTACTCTAAGACTGTGTAATACTTATATCAATAATATTAAAAGCAACTACAATGCTTGTCTCCTGGGAGGTTAGAGAGGGTTGCAGAGTGGAGAGACAATGCACTAGTTCTCTTCCTAGAAAAGTACAAAGAAACCCAGGGAGAGAATAGAATCCTATATTACCAGCTATTCAGAGAAAGGCAAGTGGGTCTGCACCTAAGACTGGGAGCCAGGAACTCCTCAGTAATCATGGCTTTGGCACAGACTCCCTCTATGGCCTTGGACAAGTAATTTCACCTCTCTGCCTCAGTTTATCTATCTATAAAATGGGGCTAAAGACCCAGACTTACCTATTACCTGACAGGAGTGAGGAAATTTTGTAATTTGTTAATGTCTGCAAATGTGTTTTCATTATAACTAACCATCAGATGTTGTATTAGAGATTGTTCCTGCTCAGACATAGACAGACAGACAGAGAGACAGAGGAAGATTCATATATTCATATCTTAACTCCCTTCATATCCAATAAACTATTTCAAGAGGAGAGGGGGGGAAAATCTGGATACCAGGCATCTGACTGCCTAGATAAGGGTCCCCCTCCTCCCTATGATATTACCTAAAGCCATTGTAAAGCAGCAAGATTTATGAAGCAGATAAAAGTTTTTACACTATGCAGTCCACAGCCAGAGTTGGAGCCCTCCCCAGCACTCTGGGATGTGTGTAGGCGGAGAGCTTCACGGAAAGCCAGCCATCCGCTTCAAAAGAGCAGCTAATAGAATCACCTCTGAGAATTCCTGCATTCGAGGCCTCCAAGGCCCTTGATTATTCTGGGCAAGGCTTTTCTCTTCTACAATATGCACACACACTAAAGTGCTGATGTTATCTGACTACAATTGGAGACAGGGCTCACTCCAGCTTTCAGATAAATGGGAACGCATTGATGTATGGCTCTTCCTTGTGATTTTACACTATTCCTCATAGACACTAACTCTCCGATGAAGTGAGCTGTAGCTCACGAAAGCTCATGCTCAAATAAATTGGTTAGTCTCTCAGGTGCCACAAGTACTCCTTTTCTTTTTGCGAATACAGACTAACACGGCTGTTACTCTGAAAACTAACTCTCTGGACACAACCAGGTGAGCAGAAGTTTCCTTCACCTGGGCTTTTGCCAGATGTGCAGAGCTTCAGTTTTCTAGATCTCAGTTAGACCCTGTTCACAATGGCTTTTTACTCCCAATTGGGAGTCATGTTTAAGCTTGGTTTGAATAAGATTCGAGCTAAAACAGTTTTTAACATTAGTGCCAATTAGCAACTTTCAGCGCATCAGGTGAGACTTTGATCCACAGACAAATCACAAACCTCCTTAGAGTCAACGGGTGTCACACATTCTTTCAGACTCAATGAAAGGAGCAATTAAATTACGTCCTTTTCGGTAGTAGAGAGAGCCGAGTACAAACAATGGAGGTACAGCCCAAGGCACCTTGCAGGTCAGAGCTAAGCCATCTGGGTTGAGGGATTTAGGATACTGGTTTTGCAGCCTGTGTGTGCTAGGCCTCATCTACACTGGCAAGTTTCTGGGCAGTAAAGCAGCTTTCTGCGCTGTGACTCCCGAGCTGCACACGCTGCCAAGCCACTGAGTGCGCAGAAACTGCACAGTTGCAGCGCTGTAAAAACTCCCCCCGGACAAGAGGCGCAGAGCTTTCTGCACGGGGGCACTGCGCCTCCATGCCAGTGGAGACACCCTGGGCGATTACAGCGCTGCGATTGGCCTCCGGGAGCTGTCCCACAATGCCTGTTCTCGCCTCTCTGGTCATCGCTTTGAACCTCTACTGCCCTGCCCTCAGGTGACCAACCGTCATCTCCACCCCGTAAATTCCTTGGGAATTTTGAAAACCCCCTTTCCTGTTTGCTCGGTGATGCGAGCAGTGGTCTCAGTGCATCTTTCCAGGTGGCCAGGCCGGCTCCACGCACCAGGCGATCCCCCGCTGGGAGCGATGCCGAGCTGCTGGATCTCATCAGCATTTGGGGAGAGGAGGCTGTCCAGTCCCAGCTGCGCTCCAGCCGTAGGAATTATGATACCTACGGACAGATTTCACGATGCATGACAGAAAGGGGCCGTGACCAGGACACACAGCAGTGCAGGGTCAAAGTGAAGGAGCTGCAGAACTCCCACCACAAGGCGCGGGAGGCAACCGCCACTCCAGTGCTGCGCCCACGAGCTGCCGGTTCTACAAAGAGCTGGATGTGTTACTTAGTGGTGACCCCACCTCCACTGCGAAGTCCAGTGTGGATACTTTGGTGGCTCACATGCCAGTTGAGAGTGGACTGAGCCAGGAGGAGGAAATCTTGGACGAGGATGTGGAGTGGGGAGGGGGACCCAGAGGAAGAGGACGACTCGGAGGCCAGAGATGCATACCAGGAGCTCTTCTCTATCCCAGAGTTGTTGGGGGCAGGAGGGTTGCAGAAAGCAGGCTTGTGTCTGTATGATGTGTGTACCACCACCGAGCGGTGGAACAGGCTGTTGATTGACTCCCTCGCTTCACAGGAATCTGCCTCAGAGGTCACCAGGAAGCTCTCATGGAGATACTGGGCAATCCGCTCACAAAGTTTCCACACACAAAGTTTCACAGAGTTAACTCCATCAGTTTAAACACATACCATTCGTAAAACCAGTGCAAACAAGCCGCTGGGTCACCACATGCTGCTGACCTCTAGGACAGTGACCAGGGATTGCCCTCTGTTCATTTTTTAAAAAGGCATTTGTTGAAGAGAGACCAGCCATTCAAACTTGTGTCATTGTGCTAGGGAAAGACAATTTACTCTTCTCCCAAATTAGGATCAGACACCTGCAATTTAGCAAAATTAGTTCGGAGCAATTAGCACAGGGCTATTAAGTTCAAAACTAATTTAAAAAGAATTGTTGAGAAAAGTCAGCAGGCAAAGTGAATGCTCACATTATTGAATCAATTTCTATGGGTCCCTTCGGCACTACGGAGAGGTTACTGTGGCATTAGGCACTTCAGCACCTTCCTCAGGCCTGGAAAGACTGTGCTGGTGCCAGCAGCAGAGAGGGATAGTCAAGAAGCCCTAAAAAATTAGTCATCTGGGCATTTCAGGTGGGTGGCATGCCGCATAGGTAGAACAAGACAGACTAGGTGCTACACTCCGTAACGGGGGAAGGTACCCCAATCCCACTACAGATCAGAGTAAACCACAGTTCACTGTTGGTAAGAGTCTCTCTCACAAGCCAACACAGTTTTAATCAGCTGTTTGGCGGCTCAGAGCTTAAGAGATATCCAACTCAAACCTTCAGTGTCCGCCAAGGGCCATACGTCCATTACTGCTGAGCTAACAGACCAGAGCCCACTGCTGCACAGCTTAAAGATACACAGCAGCTTTCTAATGCATGTCATATTTTGTTAATCAATAATGGAGCCAAGTCCCGGTAAAGCAAGTAATACCTTGCACTATTATATTGACTTTCACATAGGGATCTCAAAATGCTTTATGGCCAATGAAGCCCCTCAGCAGCTCTGGGAGGGAGGTATCACGGTCCCCATTTTACAGATAGGGAAACAAAGACATTGAGAGATAAGCGACTTACGCAAGGACACATGGTCAGTCAACTGGTAGCAAAGATGTGACTACTAGAAGCCTTCTGACCCCCAATTCCCTGTTTCGGGCACAAAATCATCCATCTCCTGATAGGAATGGGTGTGCCAACTTGAGGAAAAATTTTCTCCCCTCACACTTTCCCCTCTCTCTAGAAGAAAATCTTTGAGGTTCTGAAATGATCCAATTGTGATCCAGGGAATCCCTCCATGCCAAATGGCAGAGGGCACAGCATACCATCATTCACATCAGGCTGATACATTGCCCCTACTCACTGTTGTCACAATCTGTATCTAAAAGGTGGCATGTGAGGCATCGCATGCAAACTGGTAACACATGGGAAATTAATTGTGTGATGGACGTACGGGCGGTGCATAAAGATGTGTGCTGGAAAGATGCTCTTAACAGGTGTATGGAAAGCAATGCGTAAGCCCAGCCTCTCCTAGACAAAGGAATGATGTTTTGCCTGTTTTCCACTGTCAATTGAGCCAGGTAGTACTGCAGAGGACAATGAGAAGTACATCTACATAAAAGGCAAACAAAGCCATCAAGCTAAATGAGCAGGGCGTGGGGAGGGAAGACTGCTTAACTGTTATGATGGGGGATGAAGCCTCCACCGCAGGAAGCCTTCCTGGCTCTTGAAACAGAGACAATAGACTTTAGGAAATATAAGCAGAATCAGAAAGGCCATAACTTGTGGGACACAAGAGGCCAGAACTCTTGTATTCTGAGAAAGGCAGATCTTCACCCAAAGGGACTGAAATCTCTGGAGCCCGACTATAGGTGAGAAACCTGCTTAGACAAAGATTGCAAGTAGGTTAAGTTTCAGCCAGAACGCTGCGTGTTTTGTTTTACTTGTACCCGTAGCTGTGCCTTGTGGTTTTACTTCTCACTTAAATCTCTGTTCCTTATTAATAAACTGACTCTTGTTTTATTACCAAACCATCGCAGTGCTGTGTGTCCAGCTGAAGGGTGAAGTCCTCAGCTAAACTACCAGGCTGGTTTGTGCTCTGTCTCTTCGGAGGCAGTGAACTCATAACTTCTGTGACAATCCAACTAGAGGGCCTGGACAGTGCAGGGGAGACGGTATGGGGGAGACACAGGAGTGGAAGGGC